TCAAACAGGGTATCAAACAGCAGGGTATCATACAAGCCCAACCACACTGGTGATCCACTCGATTACGCTGGTTACCAAAATGAACCGTTTTGGTAACGAAATGTCGGAACATCCGGAAGGTACGATTTTTCTCGTTTCCTTATTTTACACATTGTAGGTAGAATTCCCACGACATTTTTAACACAAACGTGTATCAGTATCAAATTTTTAAGAAAGTGTACACATTTGCGAACAAATAGTTCAGAAGACAACAGTATCGTCGATTTACTTCCTCACATAAGTTACATAAACGGTTTGGGTAAAAAAGTGCAGATCTTAACTGTTTTTCGAAAAACCGTTTATGTAACTTAAGTGAGGAAGTAAATCGATGATTCTGTTGTCCTCTGAGCTATTTTTTCGCAAAAATGTACATTTTCTAAAACATATGATACTGATGCACGTTGTGAGAAAAAACGTCGTGGGGATTCTGCCAACAACGCGTGAAATTAGGAAAAAAGAAAAATCGTGCCTTCGACGTTCCGACATTTTGTTACCAAAACGGTTCGTTTTGGTAACCAGCGTAATCGAGTGGATCACCAGTGAACCATTTATTAACGGAAACAGATGAACTAACTTTATGGTACACCAATGACATCTTAATGAGTGTGTTGTACTAAAAGCATAGCAAAGACATTCCCAATTGGATTGCCTTATTTGGATTATCATAATCCTTATCCAGAAGGAGAAGGAGCCCCATATATATTTTGAGTGATAAAACATGTTTTCAAGTACAATAAAACTTTGAATGAAAATTTGTAAAAAGAATGATGGACGATGGTGAAAATGACGAATGTATTTTGAAAAGCTTGTTGATGGGTGTATTAAACATGGATTATGAGAACCATTCTTTGTTTTCTTGAAGATTATATATTGGCCTTTCATTTGCATTTATTTATTATATACAGCAAGACACCACTCAAAAAAAATTATTTACTGTCAAAAATCTTTTGGGTAACTTTCCCTCTTTTAAAATGAAATATCAGGAATGGAAAGCCATTACTTAATGTAACACTTGTCATTAACACTGGATCAATCATTAACATATTTGTTACAGTAAAGAGATCATAATCATTATATTTATTTCTTAAATATATATTACATGTGCGATAAATACATACTACAATTTACTTAACACAAATGACGTCCAGGTAGTGCAAATTAAAGATTCTACTCGAGGCATCCTTCGATAGCAATTTCTACCCAATCATTGTAATTGTTCGAGATAACGGTACTTGGATCATCAGCTAACAACCCAAGTCAGATCCTTTGGGCAAAACTGTACAAAGTCCGATTGATGCATGACTAGAACGTAGCTATATACAATGGGACACAATGTGCATAATATTAGTTGGAATATATGTCCACTTTCATAAATTGAAGTTATCAACCTACATGCTACATATTATTTACAGCCATCGGTATAGTATTTACATTAAAAATATAGTTTATATCATATAACAGAAAATAATTGTACAAAACATCTCAAAATATAGTTAACATTTCTCTAATTGAAATAGTTTTATACCAGTGTCAAAATGATATGGTACATTATATGAACATACATCAAATTAATACTTCTTGGCTCATTGATCATTTTTTAAATTTGTTATTTGTAAGATAATCATATTATCTTATAACATAATTTCTACGAATTGGATAACTCAAATTTTGAGCAATTCGATGATGGTACAACAGTTCTTCAATGCTTGTCGCTGCTGATACAAATTCAATCATGTCATCATAAATTCCCTAACGTCGGCATGTGGCAGCACATTGAGTGTCAGTTAATACAGTCTACGATCTTCTTGAACATTATGTTTTTAATCATCATCAGCTGGTCTGCTCCGCCGTGACTGGTCCGGACTTTTAGTTCGTCTTCCTGGACCTGATACTGTTTTATGTTGTTCTTCCCATTCAAGTTGTTTCTTACGTTCTAACTCCCTCTGCTTGAAAACCTCCTAGAAACAAGTAATGGTGTAGTTAATGATATTGCCAAACACCTAAGCACCATACTCTAAGTGAGAAAGGTAGCCAAAACATGTACACGTGCATTAAATGATATTAGAGAGGTTAAGCAACACCACTTTTTACAACGTAAACCGCGAACGGGAAGGCGCGCGCAGGTTTTTCTCAGAATGTGACGTCATATTGTTCTACTTATTTCCCGGTTAACGTACATCCAAACGTGAAAAATCAAAGTCTAGGTAGGTCGTTCCGTAAAGGATTTTTCATACTTTATCAAGTTCGATTGAGATAAATATGATATAGGTCGAATACATAAATATGTTTGACACAAATCTGTGTATATATCGAGATCATTTGTGTCCAATCTAAAGTTCATTTCACTGCTTCATTTCGTCAGTAGAACGGCAAAAATAAGAAATTGGGAGACCATTGTGCAATAATATATGGAAAAGTGTATTCATAATGTACATGAATGACATTTGTATATTTCAGATTTTTTAGTTTTTTGTGCAATAAGCCTGTGCCGTCTTGTAATTTGAAGAATTTCAGCCATGTTAATCTTATTGAAAATAACATGGCAGAGAAACATCCAAATATAAGAGGCCACACACTTTATAAGCCAAACTAGAAGCAATCCAAGATATACAAATGCCATTCATGTACATTATGAATATACTTTTCCATATATTATTGCAAAATGGTCTCCCAATTTCTTATTTTTGCCGTTCTACTGACGAAATGAAGCAGTGAAATGGACTCTCATCAAATATAACTTGAATATTGAGGCACCCATTCCACATGTAAAATCTGTTGAGATTACATGCAATTGCAATTACCCACATGTCAACTCATCCTAATTTTTTATACATATTGTGACACCATAGTAATAAAAAAAACTATGAATGCCTTGAAGACTTGCTTTAAAGATATTATTGCGTCCAGTTGTATTTTGTAAGATTCAAGATGTCATAGAACACTACCAGGGTGTGAAACATCTCCTTTGTCAATAAAGTAATCTTTTTATACTTTTAAAGTAGAAAATAAAACGAAACGCCGCTAAGAAAAAGAAAAAAATCATTTTGAGGTTTGCGTTTGCGTTACGCCTAAAGTGCTCAGCTTAAAGCACGTTTGTTCATAGTACGTATACGGGAACGTAAAGGTTTACGTTTGCGGTTCGCGTCATAACAAATCGTCTTGCTTAACCTCTCTATTGTTTAGCATCAAACTCTAAGTTAAAAAAAGTACCCAAAACATCCTAGCCAGAGAATTTTATCAAAAAAAACCATTATATACTCCTCAAAAAAAGTTAAGGACCAGTGGTTTACCTCATAGGTTTACATGTTAACCCCCATATTTTTGAACGACTATTTTTTAAGCGTGGAACAAAAGAAAACCCGATAAAGTGAATGAATTTATATCTTGATTCTTTTCTCTATTAAGTCTGCAAAATTCAATGTTATATCTCCATTACAATGGGTCAAAATTTGATGTCAAAATTTATGAATTTCATGAAATTTAACAAAAATGGCCGATCCCATGTTAAACAAATGGGGAATGGTGGCTTAGGGGCAACTCAAATTTTTGAATATCTTTTCATTAAAACATTTGTTAAAATTTCTTCCTGAGTAGAAAATTGAATGGTTTTACATTTTACATGCATGCTAAATATCTCGCTTACATTGTTACAAGTAGCGATACAGAGCTTTAAAGTAATTTTGACCACCTCACTGACCACCTGTGTTATTTTAATAAGAGGATCATTAAAAGAGTTATTATCCCAACGAACGAAGTTCGTTAGGGATATAGTGCAGCCCTCCGTCCGTCCGTCAGTCAGTCAGTCATTCAGTCAGTCCGTTCGTCTGTCCGGAAGATAACTCAAATATTAGTTGACAGAGTTTCTTCATATTTGGTGGAAAGATGTATATTGATGAATAGTTTTAGGCAAAAATATTTTTTCAAGATGGCCGCCGCTTTAAAAATGACGGGACTTTTTCGCAAAAATCATAAATGTTTCATTCTAAACCAAAGTAATTAATATTATTGTTTGACATTTTGGAAGTATATTCCCAACATCTATCTTTTTCACATTTATTCCGTGTTTTTCATACTCACCACCAGGGGCCGTGTATGGGGGGTCAGGAAAACAGAAATTTTCGCTAATTTTTAGATCTTTCTGAAGTATAGCTTTATTTTGCTCAAATGAAAGGCAATGAAGAGTAGATTGCAAATATTGTATCTTTTTTCTGATTCGAGCCTCGTAATATTCAAAATGGCCGTCTAATGTACGATTTGGCAATAATTTTTCGATCTCTTCAAAGTATGGCTATATTATACTCAAATTGAAGGAATATTGGAGTAGATCACAATTATGGTATTATTTTTCAGATTTGTACCCCAGAAAATTCAAAATGGCTGCTTTTCAGGAATTCGCAATTCTAAAATCTATATTTTTCAATTTTAACCAAAGTAATGAGTTCTTTTTAATTGATTGGAATTCTGTAATTGATATTTTGTTCGTTGGGATTTGCTACTCCGCGGAGTTGCCGTTATCTAGTTGAATTTGAAACCACTGAATCTTGACGAAGCTCTCTTTCAAGAAGTGAAGTCAAACGAATGCAAAGGGTAAATTTTGAAAGCAATTAATCGGATGGATGGATCGTTCCTCGTATCACTTATGGCAACCAAACCATTTCCTATTGGTTTACATGGGGTCTGCCATTTTTTCTAAATTTCATGGAATTCATCAATTTGACATCAAATTTGACCCATTGTAATGGAGATATAACATTGAATTTTGCAGACGTTATAAAAGATAGAATCAAGATACAGATTTATTTAGTTTATGCGTTTTCTTTTGTTCCAAGTCTAGAAAATAGTCGTTCAACAAATATGGGGGTTAACATGTAAATCTATGAAGAAAACCACTGGTCCTTAACTTTTTTGAGGTGTATATTATATGTCTTGATTAAAATCTTATATTTGAACATGCCCTACTATATCTAACAGACAGGATGGTCAAATAAGACGGCAACCCTGCCAACATTTTCCTCATATCTTTGTCATTTTTAGAAAAGTACTCCCTCCTACCAGCCTACACTATTTCATGACCCTCAGAATGATAGTTACAATGTTACAGTACTTTAAACATCTTGCTCCAGAGGCCAATATTTCTCTGTTGGCAAACCTGCACACAATGTAAAAAATGTCAATACCTGACTTCCAATTGTGGGATATTTGGAAGATAAAGTGTACAAAAATGACCTAAGGACGATTACAGGCCTCAAGAAGAAGATAATAATTGTCATTCAGGCCATACCTACTGAGGATTGCAGTTGGGTACAATTTGCCTGAGCCCAATGATGGCCACACCTTGGGCATGTTGTTTAAAGTGCTGTAACATTGTTAGTATCAGTCTAATGGTCATGAAATATGGTATGCTGATAGGAAATCGAAATAGGTACTACTTTGTAATGGCACAAAGATATGAGGAAAATACAGGGTTGCAGTTTTTTACCACCCTGTACTTGTAAAAACCAAGGTGATCGGGGATAGAGGGGCAAAGTTATGATAGTTGGAAGTTGATGCCAAATAAATTGAAGTTCATAAAATATTGATCGTTACCTTGTTTCTAATGATCTAGATAATACAAAAAGATGATTATTTCTTTGTTTAATTGACGATTTAGCATATTAAATTGTCTTTCCAATACGCTTTTTTATGAAAATCAGGCCAATATTAACTGTGTAATGAATTTCTAAAGGTAAGAAACTTTCAATTGCAAAGTAGTCGTGAAACATTCTCTTCATGAATTTCAAAGAAAATGGATTCTTTTCCAAAACTACTTCATGAACACCTTTGATCTTTTGCATTTTCCTTAATGTCTGTCTATGCACACTGTGGTGTTAGAATTATTATCATGCCTCTTTCATTCTCCTCTACCCCAAATTTTTCAATTTCACTATTTTGAGGTTTGTTCCGTTGCTAGGCAACATCATTGACCGAAATCATATTGAAACAATACCAAGTCATACATTCATACATCTGCATACTGAATCGCTGATTGGCATTTTTTGTACATCTTGAAATATATCTGCTAAAGACAAAAACAAGTTGAACTAGAAATTGCAGATTTTTCAATTTCAATTTCATGTTACATTGTTTTAAATGGGATTTCACGACAACTGCTATTTTTAAAGTGTGTGTCTTCAATTTTAGAAGATTTTTCCATGGTTTTAGTTTTATTTGAAAGATAATAGATTATTCTTTGTCTACAAAGCATTTTTTGGCAAAAAAAATTGTGAAAGAAAATTGACAAATTATCACAAAATGTGAAAAAATTACAATCCCTAGATCACGTTGACCTCGACTTGACCTATATTGAATTACATTTTGAAAAAATAAAGTTTTTCAGAAGAAGAAGGTTTGCTCAAAGAGGAACACAATCTGTTCCCATTGCTATGCCAAAGCTGGACAGATTACAAAGATATTTACTTGACTGTGCAATGAATGATATTGTTAGCAGCATACACTAATTTAGCTTTTTTAGAACATTTCACTCACATCTTCCCTGACTCGTTGTACCAGGAAGTTGATTTGTTCTATCATCAGTTCCATCTTCATCTCGGCACTGTCGCCCTCATGCTGTAAAGCTAGAGCCCTGTTCATGGGGAAGAAGTCCAAATTCTCCTTTTCAACCTATAGGTTAATGCATGTCAATAAGTCTGCATTGGTGTATAGGATTTTTCGACTACAACTATTTTCATTAATTGTAGACAGATATAAGAAATTATTCTGATATTCTGAATATAATGTACTTCTAGATAGTAACTACTATTGCTTTTACTGTTTAAGGCACTGTAATACCACAAACATGTCCAGATATATACAGGGCGTATCAAAAAAAAACGCAACAAGTAGTTATCTCGTAAAATCACAAAACTAGTGATGACTACATCAATTTCATTTAATGTACCATAAAGCCATATCTCTCCTCTTTTCAATGATATATCATTCATTCACTTGTGGTAATGGTTGGGAATCAGTGCAAGGGCTAAGTGCCAATGGAAGTTCCCCTGACTTGAATTGTTGTGACTTTTTTTTTGGAGCTATCTCAGGAGCATCTGTGCTCATAATTTCTCCACCAGATATTGCAAAACCTCGAGAAAGTTTTGCCCATGGGCTGCTTTTCTTTGCTTTAACCTACACATGATTCAGGGCTGAACCATGCATGACTTGGACAGATGAGCGCATCTTTATATGCAAGGAAGTGGTGGCAATTCGGAGGGGTATAGGATGTATTCTTGCAAGAGTATAAGTATGAACACTTTACTGTCTATGCCATACCTGTCACACCTTCTTCCAATAGCCCCTGTGCCCCCTGTACTGACTTTTGCAATGTTTTAACTTGGGTCCGAGCTGAATTTTGCCCCACTTTGCAAAATTAATGATTATTCGGCCAGAGATGACCCCCTGTGAATGAATGATATTCCATTGCAAAGATGAGTAATTTGGCTTTTTGGTAAATTGAATTAAAAGGATGCAGTCAGCATTGGTTTTATGTTTTCATCCAATATTGCATCGGGCTCCGTAAACTGACTTTTGCAATATTTATAACTTGGCACGAAGCTAATTTTGGCCCACTTTGCAAATGGAGTGATTACTCACCCAACCATGACCAAATATCAATGAATGATATATCATTGTAAAGAGGAGACACATGGCTTTATGGTGCATTGAATGAAATCAATGCTGTTATTACTGGTTTTGTGCTTTTCAAGATAACAATCTGTTGCGTTTTTTTTATACGCACTGTATACCAAATATACTTCATTTATATTCGACAAAAAATATATATCTACCAGTTTGTTGACGTAAAACTCCAAGGCCGTGTAGTCATTTGCTCGTGTCTCACTTAGATGTATGAAGAAGAAGAGATATGCCCATTGGTTGTGCTCAGTCTTGACATGGTGCTCAAAACCCTAAAATATCATGTCAAATAATTGTTATAATTATACGAAACACTTTTCAAATGATATATAAAATCAAAATGTCTTAATTCACTCATGTAACTTCATATTTGTGAGCCAGTTTGCTTACCCCTCCTTGGTGCTCAAAGTCGTAGCTTCCTCTGCTACATATGAAACATGTTGTCATCAAATCATTGTCAATTTTCCACTATAATCAGAAAGGATAGAATATGAAAGATACGTGAATCATGTAGTTGAAAATTTGGCACTAAGATAAAAACTGTAGAATATGAAACATTAAGTTGTCTTGCTGTTGTCACCCTGTTTCCTTTGAGTTCAGAGAAAGTGATGCAATATAATACAATATAAATCTATTTATATACAATTCTATTGGCAATTATAACCATACCTTATTGTCCCTGAGTTCAGAAAAAGTATCCACAATGATACCAAAGATGATGTTCAGACCAATAGTGGTGATAAGAATAAAGAATGAAATGTCAAGAGCTGCCTTCATTGCCCAATATTGAAAAGGCTGGTCGCCGGGTGAAGTCATGTACTGCAAAACAAAAAGTTGATATATATAACACATTGCGAATAATATAATAAACACAACCTTTATAAAGTGAGTGGAGGAAAACAAAGTGTATATGATAAAAAAGAGAAAAAAGTAATAAAAACCTTATTAACTTAAATCTTAATACATGTACACCTTATCTAAGCTAAGCTACATTATTCGATTTCTAATCACTTGTATTGTCAATTATTTTCTTCAAATTTCTGATTTAAGTTTTAAAACATATGTGTTTCAATTGCTTCAGAATAACAATTATGGTGACAATATGAGATCATAATTCATTTTAGGAGATTTACATTGTATTTCCAAAAGACTGTTAAACAAATATTGATGTACTTCTACATCAATTATGACCATGCGGCACTAACTTTGACCTACCAGATGTTTGAAAATTTAGAATTGACAATCTCACACAGCACTATTTTTCTTCAAATATGTTCTACATTCAAATCAAAACTAAATTGACTTTCAGTCGGTGCATAGCTTTATTGTACAGAGTCTATCATTTGAGCAGGGTTTTGGTCCCAAGCTACAGGAAGCCCTTTCCACATCTGGGGACCCAAAAACCACTCTGAGACTCTGTATAAAAGAATAATGTACCAACAGAAAGGCATTTTGTTATGTTTTATTGGAACAAGTTTGAAGAAAAACAGTGTAGTATGAGACAATTCCTGATTTTCAAAAGTCTTTGTAAAAATTACCGGTCGAAGTTAATACCGCGTGATGATATATCTCTAAACACAACACAAAGTATCAAATGTACTTACATCCTCATCAAATATGCCGAATATTAGCCCCTTGTGCATCACAGTGACAAGACATTCGTACATTGTTGTACAGTAACCGCCTATTTGAGGGTCAAAGATAACCCTCCAGAACCCAAAGAGAATGAGGGCGTAAATGTAGAAGAATATCAGGCCTAACACTGCGACCCACAAAAGAGATTTACCTGGTCAAACAGAAACATAACATTAAATCTTGGAATGTCGTAAAGGATCCAATTTATATGCAATAAAGGCACAAGTCCAGTCTTTTAACTGCTGGTTCTAAATAGAACCGAACTAAATGTTTTAACACATGCTCCATGTAGGCAATCTATGCCCCAAAAATTGTATCCCATTGTAGGTTGAGCACTAAAACAACGGCCATGGTGAAACTATTATCGAAGATCTAATAGCAAAGGCATCACCAAAATGAATCAATGTAGTATAAAACAAATGTATGTATGATGAAAAAACAAATATTTAATAAAAAATCGATATGTGTTTGTTATAATGGTTAACTTAAGATTAAAAATTGTCACTATCACTTTCATTTTTCAAAAAATATAGTGTCACGTGACATGTGACGCGGGGCATACTACTACTACGACAACTATATTCATTCAGGAGCCAGGTATAGTCAACCAATCAGAGAGACAAATGTTCAAACAGTGGTAATTCATTAACATATTCAGTGTTCACTAATGCCTTTCGCGCCATGGCAACCCGAGTAGTAACCAATCAAAATGCAGTATTTTATCGCGGAGTTTAGAGTGACATACACATACAACATGGATAGTCGCGATGACGAACAACTTCTTTTCGGAACTTGTCCAGAGAAATCTGTGATTCTAAATGAAGGTAGAATCTACCATTTCTTCCTGTACAAGTTATGGCGTAGCTTAATCGAATTCTGAAATTTCGGATGAAGCATACGTCAAAAAACAAAGCGATTATTTGACGCGTCTAACCCTACTATCACACCAAACTAGTTTTCACTACGTTCTCAAAAACGGGCTTCAACTGTATATGAACGGACTGGACGTACTTAGAACCGTTTGGGGTCTATTTACAAACGTCATCGAACGTACTCAAACGGGTAGATCCTCTAGAACCTAGAACATGCTCAAAATGTTCTCTTGGTGGGTACGTTCTACAATAAGAACGAATGACAACGAACGAACGGCGAGCTGATAGTACTACGAACGGAACTGTCATACTTCAATCCTACTAGGGACGTTTTAACAACGAGTTGAACTGTTCTGCTCTTACTGGTATACTTGGGCACCCTTTCACCTCTTTGAATTGTCCTCAAATGACACCCTCGCCAAAATAGCCATTAGCCAGAACCCGTTGTGAAAAAATGATGGTCCCCAGGGATTATGGTCCCTTTTCTTAACGCCCCTTACTGGCCCTGAGTGTAAGATAATGAGGGGAAGACTAATGAAGGTCACCATATAAATCAATGGAGAGTGGGACCATTATTTGATAGGACCTCCTACTCTTTTACACTGGGAATCAGAATCGCTGATGTTTGCCATAATATCTGTAATACTAGGTATACCGCTACACGTATATGGTCACGTGACTAGCGCGATTCAGGAAAAAATGAGGAATTTCGAATCAACTTTTATTGCAAATTTCAGGTTTTTGTAAAAGGCTTGTGGTATAAAATATAATCCACAGACATAAATGAACAATTAAGCTTTATGTTTTATTAAGTTTCGGGGCCATTTTTGCGCTTATATTTACAACTTTAAATAAAATATTAAAATACTGATATAACATATTCTACAAAAGGGGTAGCAATATGCTAGTATATGTAGCTGATGATTTCAAATGTCTTCCCGTTGCTAGTAATAGCCTTTATCAACAGGGTCCAAGGTCCTACCATTTCTAGTGATGTCCTTTGTGAACGGGGTCAAATACGTTACCTCAGCTTGTAATTGTCTTTTTTGAATCGGGTCAAATGTTTTACCATTGTTACTTATGTCATTGTTAATGGCGTTGAAGGTCTTGTGTTTCTCGTAATGGTCTTGATGAATTGAGTCAATGACCTTAACATTGCTTGCGATGGGCTTCATTGATGAAGCATTCATGAATAATTTTACCTTTGATAGCGACGCCCTTTATAAATGAGGCTAAATAACTTACAATTGCGAGTGATGGCCTTTGTTAACGATGAATGAAAGTCCTACCTTCACTAGTGACAGCCTTCATAAATGATGTCAAAGATTTCACCTTTGCTAGTAATACCCTTTATAAAGAGGCTAAATATCTTACCATTGCTAGTGATGGCCTTCATAACGCGACCAAGTAGCTGGTTGACATTAACAATGTGGATGAGATGGAAGCAGGAGAAATATCCATGATATACGGTCCCTAGCACAGACATAACCAGAAATAACTGAAATATAGTAAAATACCTATTAATTTTAAGCTCAAGACAGAGACACCATGAAAAAGTACAATGGAAAGAAATTACGCAATTGGTGATATGTCTCTTTATATGAAATATAATTTTACTTGTTGAAAATACAAGCAATGGTCTTTTTGCATCCAGGAGACACAATATGATACGATTTTACGTTTTTCACAAAAGATTGGCAGGTTTTCTAGCACGTGACAGATGAAAAAACTCACTGTATAATAAAATGTTTTGGCACTAAAGAATTTAATCTCAAGGTTAGAATCTCTATTGTCATCATCATCATTTGAGATTCCATGCACTTTGCGTTTGTCTGCAGGCCTCCCCATACAGGATATAAAGATTTTACTGGAAGCAAAATAATAATAAGCAATAGTGATCGCCCCAGTCACATAAACACATACTGTCCTTTCAATAATGCTCTTGACATGCCTTCGTAGATTACATGAGTAGTATGATTCAGATTATTGCCACCTTGCCGGGCCTGTTCTAGGTAAATTAGTGCTAGTTTAGAAGGCATTTATTATTATTATTTATCGACCTAAGCAATATGTGAAGTTAAAGTGGCGGGCCATATTGCCGGTCAATAATGCATCAACGACCGGCAATTATCTCCGGGAATGTTATAACAGCCCTAGGCATAAACGGTGGACTTCGGCCCTAGGTCCAATATTTCACTATATTGCCCGCAGAAATGACGTTATTCTACTAATGTTTGAATTACTATTTACATATTGCCCTATGTGACTGACCTTGGTGTTGTACCGACCATGTGATGTACAAGTCGCAAAGCTATATTTTCGCTGATCAATCATAATTATCATGTAACATTGTTAGACCAAAACACATATATTTTGTGCTGAAAAAAAGTAATCTACCTAAAGAAGCTCTTCACATCATGTGATGTAGGAAACGTTGGAGTATTGCTCAGGAAGTAACTGATGTAGACGAAGAGACATATGAGATTATGTATTCCACATAGGACGTAAATTGTAATCTTAGCCTCGTTCCCAGGTCCTAGGTACAATGGTACAGAGCTGCAATCGAAAAAAATACAAAAGCATGATGATGATCCCACGTGTGTCAGTATAATATGTAAGCTAATCAAATTCGACGTCTATTTTATACGCATGTGTTTAATGAGTCTACCTGTTTGTTTGTGATGTTCCATCTGGATTGACCGGTTCCTTCCAAGTGACCAGTACGACAATCGCAATCAGAAAGCTAAACAGGATCGCCATGATGTTAAAGTGCCACCTAAAAATATCACAAGAAGGTCCCAAATGAAACAGTTAAAACAGAACTTAATAGAAAAAAACGTAAACCAACACAACAGCCGTAACTGTTGAACTTCCAAAATAGTATAGCAGTCAAATTTCAATGGTTCTTACCAGAACTGCACCAGGAATCTAGCAAGCGGATTTTTTGATATTCTTTGCTGTTTCTTAATATCGAGCATAATGTCTTTTGACCAGTCCATGAAATCTCTAAGTTTGTTGCTTGGCGAAGTCCTGTCAACTTCATATTTGAACTTTTCTTTGATTTCTTCTCTTAATACATTCTGAAAAACAAACATGGAACTGTAAACTTGACCTTCCCGAACATGTTAAAATAATAATGAATTACAGTATTTAAATATTGTAAGAAATATGGAAAATATAGAACATTGTAAAAAGTAGTAACAATTATATTGTATTTTTGGATTTTGATAATTATTTCTGAATCATAGATGTAGCAGACTGTCAGACCCTCGTTGCATCATTGATTGTGAATGTAGTTTGGGCTAGCCGACCCTCGTTCTAATTTGTTTGTATGTTTGGGTTTGTTAGATTATGCTCCTTTATTTTCATATATATTCCTTAATTCCATAGCTTTCGCATTGAATTTTTGATATCTCTCCTGACTGTGGGTTTTTCGGAAATACAACAGGTCAATGTGTTAACGTGTTAAATTATACTTTGTGTAACAGTTCATTTCCTTCTTTTCACAATGACTTAGCCATCCCCGTAGTCTTGGATGGTAGTTAATCGGATTAGTTTGGAACCATTACACTCTGTATAAGTGGACTACGTGTAGCAATTGATTTGGTTATTTTGAAACCATTACATGCTGTACGGGTAAAATACTCGTAGCACTCGGTTTGTTTGTTGTGTCATTTAACAGTTATATTTTATATTAGGATAGTGATAATTGTTATATCATGTGCTCCAACTCTTACCCTGTCTTTTACACGAAAATAAATTTTCTGAAGTTGATCATCTTTGAGTATTTCAATGGAAAGAGTGCTTGCGCTGTAATATTCCCATGCTATCTCGTCTAGGTTGGTCTTTATCAGGTCTACAATGTGAAATATAAACATTTTATTGAAATTAATTAATTCATCATTTTTCAAATTTCTTACGACGTAAAGTCACCGATTGAAAGATATGGTCATAAGGATGATATTCATCGATTAAGACTAGAATTCCCTGATTTGGACAATTTGTATATATCTTGGTATAACTCATAAATAACTCTTTATTTTGCAAAATGATAAGATATTAACGTATTTCGGGACATTACTTCAACAACAACAACAACAACAAAATAACAGATGTAAGATATTCAAATGATGATGAATTTTCATGTTTTTGACTTTAATATAATTTTTACTCAAAGGTTTGTTGTAAACTTCAACAATCCAGGCGGTTCGGACAAAATAAACTACAAAATCAAGCCATTCAAAAACAAATCTTTCCTAAAAGCAAGAACTGAAAGTTATTTTAATTATAGACTTCACATTAAGACTTAGTTTAACCTATTAGTATTCACGATCTACTTTCCCTTAAAGGGTGGGCCAATAAAAATTTGAACATTTTTCTGTTTATTCAATTGTCTTTATTTTTGCAGTTCAATCCATGAAAATTCAGATTATGGTAAAATGATTATTTGTGAAAATGTAAAAGATAAAAAATATGTATGTATGATTATTTTTGGCTTGTCATGGTCATGATCTGTATACTGTGTGTATCATGAACAATTTCCAAATTTTCTCTGCTTGAGACATCAGTGCTGAAAATACAGTATTTTTTATACTATACAATATGTACCCTTCAGATGGTCTCAACACAATTTCAGCTTTTTTCAAAATTGGCACAATATGTTTCAGAACCTGTGATTTAAGCCATGTATGACTGTCAAATACAGCTAAGACTGATTGTTCAGGTGGGCAAAGGACACGTTCAGGAAACCCTTGCGTTGAGTAAAATAAATTGGAACATTTTTCCATCAATTGTAACTTTTTGTGTATTATCTTCAATAATTTAGGAAATTGAAAAACAATTCATTGTCAACAGCTTGTACAACTATGAATATACAAGCTCAACATTTAATTACTGAACATGTCCTCCACCCACCTGAACAATCAGTCTGAGCTGTATTTGACAGTCACGCATGGCTTAAATGATAGGTTTGAAACATATTGTGCCAGTTTTGAAAAAGCTGAGGTCAGTTAAGCTATATTATCCAAGGGAAACATGTCTAGCTTCTCCTAGAGATAACTACATATGTTTTAATTTATGGGAATTGTATTGAGACCATTTGAAGGGCAAATATTGTATGGTATGAACGATACTGTCTTTTCAGCACTGATGTCTAAAGCAGAGAAAAATTTGGAAATTGTTCATGATACACACAGTATATAGATCATGACCATGACAAGCCAAAAATAATCATACATACATATTTGTATCTTTAACATTTTCACAAATAATCATTTTACCAGTATCCAAATTTTAGTGAACTGAACTGCAATAATAAAGAAAATTGAATAAAAAGAAAAATGTTCCAATTTTTATTCGCCTACCCTGTATTTTCGAATATGGTTTTATAGAGCTGACTCTGTCAATTTCAGTAACTTGGTTAATACAATGCTGACTGTTTTTGGCTACTTCATTAGTACTATAATAACTTTATTATACATTACTTATGTTGTTAAAAGGCCATACATATTCAAACAATATGTTAGAAACAGTATTAGCAATATCCATCTTGTACCCTTTCTCATAAGGATATGTGGCTGGCTGCCGAAATTACTAATATTGTCTTAAATAGCCATTTCTACAAATATGTGCACATCGAAAGTCAAAGCGAACACATAACAATATACAAGCAAGGAAGACTTCAAAGTACATTGAAAATACTAATTAAACATGTGGATTTAAAATGTTATGCAATCATTTTATTACACTGCTGCCTGGTATACCGCATGAAATGCATTTAAATATTGTCAATTTCTACGTAACAGATGTTTTTAATAGTCCCTATAACTTCTATATAAGTTCTCATCTTAATTAACAACTGTCTTTGAGCATTACTAGTTTCCCTTTTACCCAAGTAATTTGTCATATATTTCATCATCTATTTCACGCCCGGTGATCGGAAGAATGGGACAGCAGAGGGGTAGGCGGCGCCGGTTTTTGCAAGAAAATTCAACAAATCTGGGTGTAAGAACATAAACGTGAAAGGATTGGTATTGGTATTACGAGCTGTACAGAATACGTGTTCCTCTTAAATCTGTCATCAAGAAATTCGGAAAATTTTAAACACCGTCAATCTAATGATCATTTTTTGAATTGTAAATATATATATGCTTTTCTCTGTATTTATTTTTTATTTATTTGCACATTCTTTTACAGCAGTGACACATGGGTCCTGAGGTCAAAGTGTAGCATATCACATGTTAAAAGTACATTAAAACATTCAAATCGAAACATTAAATTGTAAATACAATAATCATACATCTTATTTTTAATATCATTATATATATCTTTACTAAAAACGTTTTGCGCAGTGAGTCACTCACCCTATTTTCCAAAACTAAATTCGTTTTACAAACAGGGTTTGAGAATGAGAATTCTAGTGACATTTCGAGGGTACATTTACATGAAATTTCATTTAAGAAAGTTATTCTGAAATCTTATGTTAAAGGGCACAAAAATAAACGATGCTCTATCACTTCTTCACATTCATTGAACACGAAGAACAGATGCCATTGCCTTGACCTATTTTTTCAAGATATGTGTTTGAACCAAGGCAGCCGACCCCTACTTTAAATATAATGTTTTGCCCATAGAGGTCCAGATCTTTTTTATGATAATTTTCTTGGATTACTTTTAAAGAGTCTATAGGTCTGAAAGAAATTGGTCTCATCTTTCGTTAGAAATCTTCTGATAAGATGAATACCATTCAATATCATCGGAAAATTGGTTTATTGGTTAAAAAGAAAAACAATGTTGAATTCAGTGCGCCACGTCGATATTAATCCTTTTACCGTTTAATTGCCAAATGAATGGGCACATGGTATGGTATAGTATGGAAGGTGCAACGCCATCAAGGTGCTCGTGACAATGTTTTGCTATAAATCAAGCAATGATGGTGTACACGACTTGTAATTGTCGTTATGATATCAAAATGAATGCAATTGCTGACTTAACAAAATAAATGGGATGGCGGAGAGAAGGGGACAGATGGTGGTTATATGTCTAAAAACATGATATGTTGAGATATGTTAGTTGACTTTATGTAACATAATTTCAAATTTACCCATCTTTCACTTTTTAGTTGAAACATTCAGTTTCAAACCGAGCTAATGAGTTCATTTTTCAAGTACAAAGATTCGTGTTAATTTTTTCCACCATATAGACATACACTCCTCTCCATAAGTTTCGCAACCTTAGCTCCCTCATAGAACTACGTGTTAAAGCCTCTTTATGCGATGTAATAACTTAGAATATTGATGGAAACGTAACTTGACTTTATTTTCAATACCTCCAATTTTTTTTCTCTCAATAACAATAGGTCGGAAATTGATGATAAATTTGATGAATTTTTGAAAATCGTCATTTCTATGTAAACCAATTGGAAATGGTAAGTTCAGCAAAAAAATATTTTTATATAGAAAATTGAATTGTCTCACCTTTTGTCCACTAGGTGTTTAGTTTACTTGATAAATACAGCGACGCCATTGATGAATACTAAAGTTACAGCGCTTCAAAGTCATTTTTGAAAATAATTTTTCGCCTCTTGTGTTATTTCAATGGGAGATGTTTTTTGAAAAACAATTTTGACTTTAAAGCCCTATACTTTGTTGAACCTTAAGAAACATATCAATTTTTGCTAAATAAAGTTAGCAAATTCAATTGCCCACCTACATTTTTTAACTTGTATTTTTGCAAAGACTCTGATGGATATAGATATTCTGTCATATGACTTCCTTCAAACCTACCATATCCTATTGGTTAACATGGAAATGTCGAAAATTCATCAAAATCATCAATTTTCAACTAACTGTTATCGAGGAAAAAATGAGAAAATTTTGAAGTATTGGAAACAAAGTCAAATTAAGTTTCCATCAATAGTATAAGTATTTTCATTGCAAGTTAAGTAAAGAAAAATTCAAAGGTAAAGAGGCTTTAACACGTAGTTCAATGGGGGAGCAAAGGTTGCCAAACTTAAAGGGGGTGTTTGTCTCCCCTCCCTCCCCCCCCTCCATCCCATTTGGATTATTTCCGATTATCTTTTTCTTGCAGAACTCGCTCACACCCCCCCCCCCCTTCCCGATCCATTTTCTGGTCAACGGGCATGTATTTGTGGACCTAAAACCCAAATCCAAGCCTAAATGGTTCACAACATTTCTAGTAACAACTTTCTATAAGCATGACATTATGAAGCCATATATACATCAATTTAGAAATTCTAAATAAGAAATCATGACTTGTAAGACAGCCATAAGTATACTAGATTTCAATAAAATAACGATTATAAGCCAAAAATAATTCACCTTGTGCCAGATTGTACTTGATTAATTTACCTGTAAATTGTATTACCTTGTTATACAGGGTGAGACAAAAATGAAACCCAAACAAATGGTAATACGTCAGTCACCCAACGTGGTTTTAAATTCATATTTAGCAAACGTAAAGCTTGTCCAATGTTATTTCATTCTTCGAAGTTTCGTTGATATGTATCAAATGACAACCACTTTAAGGCTATTTTACAAAACAAAACATGACGCCAGACTCGTTACGGTAGAGTTGTTCTGACTGCACACTCAGAGATATCTTGTGCTATTGCTCTAATCATCCTTCTAGCTTCTTATCTCTTGTTTCAACTCTATGATGCTTCCAAAGGGGCGCAAGTGAGTGAGATTTATACTCGATAGTGCAGAAGGACAACAATATTGTCACCTACTGTGTTGAAAAGCTCAAATTACGGAAATTTATTTTTTACACCCGGGGTTTTTCAAAATTCAAATAAACTGGGTTCAACACATTATTTCAGTTTTATTTTACATTCTTCATCACGTATATTCGTACAAATCTATAAAAAAAATATGTCCTTATGACGAAGCGTTTCAAGATTTTTTCAAAACTGATGATAGTCATGAAATGTTATTAGGTCCCGGAAGCTTAAACCAGATGACTCAAAATGAAACAAGAAGCAATTTCTCGTGTGTATAACATAACGAAATGGGTATTCGACGAGAATTGGGGTTCACACGAGTCTATTGAAACTCCTCTCACCATGCCCTTGCTTCTAGAGTTATAATTATATAAGCGTGGACAAAATCTTTGAAATAGTTCCAATGATAAAAGTTTTGGGATATATATCGGTCGGATTTTCCGCATTTGGAGCATGCATGTCTTTTAAAATGGCGATTCATCAAGATCATAATAATAATAATATAATATATAATTGAACGAGGTGCAATTAGGCTTAATATGATCTGAAATCCATTTTGGAAGACGGAGTTATTTTCATTTTTTGGATTTCCCCTTACAGCTCACGCTCTACATGCATACATTGAAAAAACAGATAGAAAAAAATAATAATACATAAGTGTACGAATAAAATAAAATAAAAATGCAAAAGCAACATAATCGAGAAATAAAATTGACATATAGCCAATTCACTTGTTACATTCGTTTTCTATTGAAATGTCTACATTGTAATCAATAAACCATAACATTTTATTATGGTGGGTTGGTATGGTTTTTACCACACCCCTGTTCCTACTTGAATATCTTAGGGTTCAAATACTGTTTTGATTTGCCAACCGCAATGGGGTACTGTATGAATCGAAATTGCAGGGTGGGCCAAAAAATATTTTTTATTTGTTCAATTGTCTTAATGTTTGCAGTTCAATCCACAAAAATTCATATAATGACAAAATGATTATTTGTGAAAATGTTAAAGATAAAAATATGTGTGTACGCATGATTATTTTTGGCTTGTCATGGTCATGATCTGTATTCTGCGTATTTCATGAATAGTTTCGATATTTTCCCTGCGAGAGACAGCACTACAGTATCTTTCATACCATACTATATGTACCCTTGATATGATCTCAACGCAATTTTCATCAATTAAAACTGTATGTAGTTATATCTAGGAGAAGCAAGACATGCCACTCTTGAATACTATAGCTAACAGTAATAGCTAACAGTAATTTTTATTGACCCACCCTGTATGTACTTAGAACATATGAGATATACAACTATTGAATGAAGCTGACATAACGTACAATAAGTACGCGGTCAATATCATAACAAATACAATAACTACACATCTGCATGGTCATTAATGGAAAAACATGTTGCAATAAATACTGCATTTAAATTAATTTGTAAAAGAAAACATCGAATGTGAAAATTGAACATACCATCTTTCTTAATTGTGCCCTTTTCATCGAGATCCATCATCCTGCACAGTACGTGGTAATAGGCAAACCCAACATCATTTAAAAAGTCGACCATATCTTCACCATGCTTCTGTATGGCATCTTTAGGCTAATACAAATATAGCATGATAAAATGAAACATACGAGGGTTCGGTTATGTGATGTTTTAAATATGGGGTATATGCATAGGGAAATATAGATATCTAAATGCTCGGTAAGATATCTATATTTCCTGATATACCCAATATTCCCCAATATGCCACATATTTACCTATATGCCCAAAATTCAAAACCGAGCATCACATTACTAATTTATCCTTTGAAAAGTGAGGTTTCACAAGTGAAGTTTTCAGGACACCTATGTCTTGGTCTGTTTTCTTTAACGTGTTCCAATCCTCACTATTTTCTAAATATCCACCAAAGTTTGGTCAAGAAAACCCCTTTCGTTTGCTGTGTCAATTTTGACAGTTTTGTTTTAGCAATGTATCTTCTTGGATAGTCTCAATGCTTCCCAAGATAACAATTCTATATTCCTCTGTAATGTACCTGCAGAAACCTAACGTGTCACAGGATTAAACATCATATCATATCTCCAATCTTAAATCAGAAAAAAATTTAGAAAAAATTGAAGTCCGTCTAAACAGTATTTGTTAGGTTATTGGAAGTCACATCGTCACAAAAACGGAGAGATCATAGCAATGTGTCATCATTTGTTGGTGGTGGCATAATAACATCATGCAATTAATGCTACTTACATGTAGCAATGTGTCTTCATTTGTTGGTGGTGGCATAATATCATCATGCAATTAATGCTACTTACATGTAGCAATGTGCCACCATTTGTTGGTGGTGGCATAATAACATCATGCAATTAATGCTACGTACATGTAGCAATGTGTCATCATTTGTTGGTGGTGGCATAATAACATCATGCAATAAATGCTACTTACATGTAGCAATGTGTCTTCATTTGTTGGTGGTGGCATAATAACATCATGCAATTAATGCTACTTACATGTAGCAATGTGCCACCATTTGTTGGTGGTGGCATAATAACATCATGCAATTAATGCTACGTACATGTAGCAATGTGTCATCATTTGTTGGTGGTGGCATAATAACATCATGCAATTAATGCTACTTACATGTAGCAATGTGTCATCATTTGTTGGTGGTGGCATAATAACATCATGCAATTAATGCTACTTACGTAGCAATGTGTCATCATTTGTTGGTGGTGGCATAATAACATCATGCAATTAATGCTACTTACATGTAGCAATGTGTCATCATTTGTTGGTGGTGGCATAATAACATCATGCAATTAATGCTACTTACATGTAGCAACCAGACACACAGTTACAATGAGTGATAGAGAATATTACTTATTGTACATACCTGTATAAGTTTGAAGCAATCTATCATCACCTGGTGTATGCTGTCAGTGTCCAAGGACTCAGTCACATCCTAAATAAAATATTAGAATAACATTTATTATATCATTTTATTACACCTTGCTATCATACAAAACATGCGTCAAACATTTAATAGTAAGCTGGTTTAAAATATGGACCTGATTTTAAATTTGTTTTGTGAAATGAGTGGATAAATGAAGTGAAAACAATTTATCGTGTCACATACTTCTGCATTATTTGATATTATATGCATTGAACACTAATGAAACTAAATTAAACATGTAAGGAACAAAACATGCGAAAAAGACTTATTAGATTTAGTGGAACGAATTATAAACATGAGCAAGACAAATATAAACACAACATGCTCATAAAAGAATATGTTAAAGACACATAATAAAACGCAATTGTGCTATGGGTGAGCTTTCGTTATACGCTTTAAATGACGTTAACACCACTGGGGAGGAAGGTTTCTCAAGGAAACCAGGAAAGTACATTTCGTTAGAAAAATTTTCCTCGTTTCCAATAAATCGAGGAAATTGATTTGTGAATATCACAGCAATGGCAGACTTAATTTCTTAGTTGTAATCAAATTTAGAAACCGGAGTTCACGAACTACATACTTGCCAAATATTTGCTGTGATTTGAAGGATAAAGGATGAAAGCATCTTCGCCCCCACCCCCCAGTGCTATACCTGACTTGTACAACTACAGGTTTGCTTATACGTTTTCCAAATAATTGATAACAAAAGCTCTAATTGGGAGTTTAAGCTTGCAATGTTTTTCATAACCTAAACGTGAACGGAAAATATTTAAGCGATACATTTGTATAGGCGATTGGTCATATGTATAAGTTGGCGTTTCGATTTATATGCAAGCAAGCTTAAACTCCCTATTCATGCTATTATCTAAATTATACACATACGTATAAAGGGAGGTACACGCCATACAAGATATGGCAACAAAATGTATCGCCAAAATCTAAATGAAACGTGTTAGCCACAGCATAGACAGTCCATGTATACAGGGTGTCTCAAAAAAATGTACCCAAAAGTATATCAAGAGCACAGATAAACCAATCAATATTTTCAGACATTTTTTGCATAGTCATGTTGCCAAAACTTGAAAGTTTTCTCCCCAATACACCGTTTTTATTTCAGTCTTGTCTTCTTGATGCTTTAACCCTTTACCTTTTACACCACATAATCGATGTAACCTCATATTTCGATGACAGCCTTTATCTTTACTGCTACATTGTTCATCATATTTGATAATAATTCCGTTGGAATGTTTTGGATTTCTCTTTGGATGTTGCCCTTAAGTTGTTCTAGGTCTTTTTGCTTGGAATGAGCATTAAAACACTCCCTCAAGTAGCCACAGAGAAAGATGTTCGAGGATGACTATGGCAGAACAAACACAGATAATCTGGTCAATTATCGGCAAATGATTCAGGAGTTACCTTCCAGAGTTATGCAGGCTAGCATGGAGACCAAATGATATCCAAATGAAAACACAGTGGTCCCAAATTGATACACACAACAAAAGCTACTCTAGAATCCCAACCAATGCAGTTTCTTGATCCTCTGACCTCTCTGTATAAGGGGGCTATAAAACATTGTGGGGGCCTCCCTATTAACCATATTTAACGGCCCATACTTTTTTCTCTGAGGCTATTTGAAGGACCATTTTTATGCTAAACCCAAGCTAAGAGACCTAGAACAACTTAAGACCAGCATCCGAACAGAAATTAAAACATTCCACCAGAAATATCAAATGTGATGAACAATGTAGTAGTAAGGATGCAGACTGTCATCGAAATATGAGGTTACATTGAATATGTGGTGCAAAAGGTAACAGGTTAAAGTATTAAAAAGGCAAAACTGAATTAAAAACTGTGTATAGGGGAAAAAACTTTCATCTTTTATCTACAAGACCATGCAAAAAATATCTGAAAATATTGATTGGTTTGTCTATGGTGTTGATATACTTTTGGGTACATTTTTTTGAGACACCCTATATAAAGTGTATCACTGGCGAATCATACCGTATCATACATTGATCGCGTTACTTGAATTCAACAGCAATGTTAGATGTAATCAAAATGTAATAAACCAAAACGAAACACCACTTGAACTTATTTATTCTTTACATTCCCATCTGAGACTAACATATGATGGTCTCAGATTCCCATTATGTTCAAGGGATGAAACTCATAGTGACACAATAATATTAGATTAGGTAAATCTGCAAAATCAAGCATCATTCCACCTTTCGTAACGGGTTAATGAATGGCAAAGCTTTAAGCATTGCATTGCTTTTCTTGTCCTTCTCATGCGGTAATTGCATCTCTTCAAACGGCTCTCTTTGTAGTTGATCTCCCTAATAACAATCGCAAGTTTTTAAAATCACTTGACATTTTATACAGGGCCCTACATAATTCAATGATAGGTTTACCTATGAATTCTATCGTTTTAATACACATCACATATACAGGTTGTTCTAGAAGTAACAGGACTGGTATAGGCATTTTGTTAAATATGCACCATTTGTCAACAAAATGTACTTTCAAGTATTGGGACTAGGACTTTTGGGTTTCCACAAAAATTATAAAAATCGGGTAGAGTTGGGTTGCTATGGTGACATAATATCACAATACCCGGGTCAACATTCTATACAAGAAAGTTGCAGACTGTAAGCATTTTGTACATCCCATTTGTCAACGTTGAAATGCAATACCTGGTGGGAATTATATTTGCTTTACATCATTTAATATCCCTTTGTATCCTATATTTTTGTGATATCGGCTCCTCATTAATCAGTACAAATGTAGTGACGCTGAATCGACGTCTCAAACACATGAGTGAACCGATTTTAGAACATGTAACGCTGGGTCAATTGGACTACTTGGAGAAGATCATTTTTATCTACAAAGGTCTTACCACGTTGATCAGCTTTTCATTCTCCATACGGGTAAAATCTAAATATTGCATGATCAAAAGAATATGGTGCATTGTCTTCGACCTCAAAACCTCCACGGGCAGGCATGTTATCGAATTGAATCCGTTACAAATTAGGTATTTTCATAGTCTAACCTGAATTGTGCAGATTGTTTTAGACAGTGATATTCCAGGAAATTAAATAAATAGTATTACTATGAAAGCACGAACACTCAAACTCGAGTCGTTAAGCAACCCTATTACAACAAAACATAAAAAACAAGAACTGTTGTTCAACTGTTGTTGTAGATTTCACATTTTCTTGGAAAATTTGCACGGGGTATTGCGATGTCACGTTTCTATAGTAAGCATAACTAAACCTGCATTTCATAATCCGAACTCCCATGCAGTGTCTCGGTATAGACACTGCGGCGGGCAGATGAAGAAAATCCCCAAAATTTGGGGAAAATAGTTCCCCTTTTCATCATATATGTGGTTAATTTTCACACAACTTATAAAATATGTGTTCCTGAATGTTCCCCAAACATTATTTTGTCAAACTATTTCAAAATTATTGAAATATGAGAAGAAATCACCGCGGAAGGAATTCTGAGTAAAAGTTGTGTTGATAATAGTTTACCGCAAGTGTTGTTTACTAGTTAATACGCGCAATTCACCCAATGAAATTGTCTAAATTTTACAATCACGCGACCCGAGCATGGGACTAGAACCAATCACGTCAATTGTTTATTACGAAGTTACCATGCTTACGGTGAGATACCTGCCCGCCGCAGTGATATATCACTGCACAGGAGTTCGTTCATAATCTTTTTAAATGTTGAGGGTTTACACGCCTAACCATCGACAGCGTCAGTGACAAAATATACTGTCGTACACTTTAGATGTACGGTGTCACTATTCTAACTGACATGTAGCAAAAATTATGATTACAAGTACTCGCCATCATCATCATCCTGAACTTTAATATGTTCATGTCATCCCTTGTCATGTGTTTATTCCAAAATACCCAAACCTCATTTTAGGAAAACAAAAGATTTTGCAAAACTACATTCATTTTCCATTATATGGTTACTATTTCTTTTATTCGGGAGAAATTAAACATCCCCCGAATTTTGCAATTTGAATCTTAAATAACTTCACCAATTGATACCATATCACGGATCTTTTGGGATATATTATATTCGAACTTATTAATAATGCATTGGTCATTTGTACATATTGCATGCAATATGCCATTTCTGCCTTTAATTTATATCTTAATTTTAATTACTAACAAAATCAAATAAACGTGTTCAGTTTGTCTCTCTACCTCCTCTAGTCAGATCGACTGACAAAACAACCTTTTTTTCAACCCCACAATTCACTGTCAGACAGCCTTGCAATACTCATGTGATAGTCTTGCTTTGATTTTAATACCGGGGCCTGGCCAAAGAGTATTTTGCGATTCCGTACAAATACTCATCCGCTTGGTCCTATGAGAAATTGAATCCAAGTTTTAACAAAATACTCATCCACCATGCCCTGAGGTTAAAGATGGGAGCAAATGAGACCACGTCATTACTGGCGCAATGCAAAATCGAGAAATCAGAGAAATGTCAACAGCTTCTAATATATAGATAAATCAGCCACTTCCTCCAAATCAGCCCGCACCCAGAACAAATGTGACCTAGGCATAATATACATTTCAACCGTTTTGATAATTCTAGTTTTGTAACATTAAGACAATGTTTAGAGATAGTCGAAAACATATCTTTTTCTATAAGATGTCTCACAATTGTGTAATTAAATTCCCCATAGTCCTCATTTGTAAAAGGAAGGTAGACCTCTTTTGGTAAATATTTATCTAAATAATGGGATTTACAATTATCGTGACGGCTGCTCATTGTGATTATAATTATCGTAAAAAAGTCATTGCTGCGGAAAATAAGAGTGCATTGAATAGTAAAAAGAAGTATTTCAATTCAAATAACTCTAATGTCTACAGGGGGAGTGGGTTAAATTGACTCTCCCCATCGATCGTTTGTACATTTTGCAACATTTTTTGTGCCTTCATTATTTTTCTAGCTTGAGGCGCAGTACAATTCTGTAGTCTCCTTAATTTCATACTTAAAGTGTGCAAATATACTTCAATATTTACTTTAAAATTTATCACAAAATGTCAAAGATTTACAACCTCGGTGTACAACAATACCAACATTATTGTACAGAAGTAATATAACATTACAGAGTGTGAAAGGGGAAAGGGCCACCTCCCCCTGTGATTTAATGTTCTAAATAATGTGCAGGCATTAAGGTTAAACGTTTGTAACTTATAATCAATTTGTGGCAATGGGAAATATGAAATAAAATGTATTTCCGAACCTTGTTGGAACAAAATAGCATATACAATATTATATTATTATTAAAAAAATTAAAACAAAACCTCCCAAATAGATGAAAATTAAGAAAACCCTTTCATTGACAATATACTTTTTAAATCAACGAAACTTTCAATTGAACAATTACAATATTGAGAGACCTAATCTCATTGTGTTTGACGTTCTGTTCCAATGGGGCTCGGATAGATGTTTCATTTCATTCCGAACATACAATACCAAGAACAAAATAAGTGTCTGATGTTTTTTCTAAAACAATATAGAAAAAAGTGTAAATATATTTTTCAATTTATATTGTAACCATTCAAAAATTGACGATGTGTAAAATTCACAGAATTTTTTGATGACTGGTTCAAGAGAAACCATATCGATACCAATCCTTTTATAAAGGATAAGACATTTCAACCTAATGATTCTTGAAAACTTCGTGAAGGGATTGGTATCGATATGGCGAACTAAATTGAACACATGCTTCTCTTAAACCAGAAAGTTTTACACATCGTCAATCTAGTGATCAACTTTTGAATGGCAATAATTTAATTTTTCTAAATACGTTTTGTTAAATGTTGTATATGCTATTTTGTTCCAACAAGGTTTGGAAAGAACTGGAAGAAAGGAACAAAAAACAATTGCACCAAAAATCAAAAAAAATGTTAACAAAAATAGTTATAAAAATATATTCAAATGTTTCCAATGTTTTACACAGTCTAGTCTTTCCAGTCAGTTTAGATAAGGTGGGGGATGGGAGTTATACAAAATGACATTAAGGATATCAAATGTAGCAGAATGTGGGGGATTTTTGGTTACTTAAAGTACTTTACATAGTCTATCTATGTTTCTATACCTGTAGTTCGTATAAATCTTGTAGTCTATACTGAAGTGTAAAAATATTGTGGAGGATGTGAACTTAATGTAACAAGCAGTAAGTTATGATAAATCATATAAATAAATTACATGCACAAAAACAAATACAAATATATACCATGAATGAAAATAAACTGTAAACTTGATCTGGCGTCTTACTTTAGAATTTGGTAATGAATTTACACGGCAATCCTTGTTGAAATTAAAAACAATAAAGACAAATACTTTATTCTTGTAATAACTTCAGTATTGATAAAATGCCTTGGAGTTCTGATCTTGGATCGTGACATTGGATATTGAATATGAGATAAAAGGGTTATTAGACATTGTTTCTTTTCACGTTACATCATGGTTTGAGAATATATAGGGTTTCTTTTCCCCATGACTGCTATACACTTAAAAGTTTGCTTTTTCTTACTAGGTTCGATTACATTCTTTTTACCTTTTAATTTGGCATTTTAGCTTAGGTATTGTAAATATCTATGCTTATATGGAAACAATTCTTGAAAATTACTGCATGCTTATTAAAAGTTAAATGTCAAATTTCGATTTATAAAATGTTAAAGCATAAAATACTCCAAATGTTTCCAAAAAAAAAAATAATAACCAGAGGTTTGTTTTTGTACCGTTCGTAGTTACGAATGATCGTACGTCCATTGTATATTTTGCGAATTTCATAAAGTTGCATTTTCGTAAGATTCGTAAAGCTACGAAAGATTCGTAAAATTACGAAATATTGGCGTCATGCTTGCTCGTAGATTTAATAGCACTTCTGACCCTTCCGTAACTTTGCGAACGGCTTCATATTTATTCATTTATATTGTGATTTGTGACGTTTTGTCATTCTAAATCAGGGATCACAAAGGGCAACATCGTGATCAACTTATTATCAGCCCTTTTACTCTATTTTTTAGTATTGTTCATGGATTCTTTATTTTTATAAGGTTCTTATTGTATACTTTGGTTTTATTATTTTTATAAACCCTGTTTGATGTACTATCTGTCTTGCCAATGGTGGAATATGACGTCAACCCATTCGTGAATCGAGCTCTAAACAATTGAAAAATAACGAATGACTTACGAAAGTGTACCAAAATGGTTCATTCGCAACTTTACAAATTCGTATCTCATTCGTAACTTTTTAAATATTTACGAATTGTGAACGTTTGCTTACGAACGGTACAAAACGGACTCCAGGACAGTTAAAACGCTTACTCTATGAAACAAATCTTAGGTAACATGTATAAATAAACCATAAGGACAACATTAGTTCTTTATATGCCACATCTATATTATTACATATACATCCCTGACCATACACTGGAGAGGTTTAAAGAATTACATGTACGCTATTAGCTATAACACGTTGAGCTACTTGTTCATTAAAATAAATTTATTTCACTGCTATTTTATTAGAGAGGTTAAGCTACACGTATAAATGCAAACCGTGAACCTGAACGCGTAAGTCCACGCTCAAGTACACGTTAAAGAAAATTTTCAGTTAAGCTACACGTCTGAAACCATGTCAGTGGACGCGGAGCTATATTTATGTGGCGACTGTGTCTAAAGGTCATGTCTCTATGGTGTAATGGATAGCACTCCGGCAATCTAGCACTTCACGTTTGTCCGTTAGGCCTGGGTTCGAATCTTGTCGCAATAAAACATTTTGTTTTTTATTTTTTATTTATTTCATATTCAACCACAATAAGGGTCTAGTGCACTTTCCATTATGATTTCCCAATGAATAAAATGATTCATTTTTAAATGTATATCATAAAGAATACAATGTCACATAATACTTTGAAAAATATTTAAGCGTTTAGACCCACATTGGCTGAGGTTGAGGTCATTAAGTTCTGCAAGGGTATATTGACTTGGCATTGGATGTGTTCTATTGACTTAACATGTTGATACCATCAGATTCCGATGGAGGCCATTGGTTTCTATTGATTTTCCCAAAAATACACTATGACCTGAATTAATTGCAAATTAAATAATTTCACAATATGACACAAATGGTATATCACATCAGATGTGCAAATATAAAGTTTGCAATCGATTCAGGTCAAACTTCAAATTAAAAGATAATACATTTTTTCATCATTTTTCATCATTTTTTCCTACAAAATGGCTATAGAAAAATGCTTCAAAAGCAACTTTTACACTTACGAAATCCCATACAACTTTGTAAATACAAAGATTATACTGTTATGTTTCATTAATGAATATCATATTTGGATAAGATGTAGGGATGTGTAGGATTCAAATGGATTTTGGCAGACACAAAAAGGCTTCATGGTTTGGCATCTCAACCCCTGTACACTTTATGATTGAATATTGGCCCTAATAAGTGGCCCATTCATCAATACAGTGCTGAATTCTAGTGTATATATAAATGAAATAATAAAAGCAGTATATTTTTTTGAAAAATCAGATGAATTTATTTTTGTTCATGGGGAGATCATAGCACACTAGATCCTTTCTTGCCCTGGTTGTCATTTCATTTCGTTTAGTTTACATATTGTACTAAGCCCCGGGCATCAAATTGGTCTTGCTAATTTATATTGTACGGAATGAACAAGCGATCACATTTGAAGTTGTCATTTACCAATTAAAATTTATTCTTATTTCCAATTAAGGATTGGGGTTTACCAATATAACAAGTAAGATTGTCTGTGTCAAATATGGGCTCCAGGGCCATCCTAGAACATAGCTAAAATCAATCACGTAATGAGCGATGTGTAATCACTCATCTACACGTAAAAACCTGGAACTTTCACGCTTACCTGAAGAAAGAAGACTAATCTGACGTCATTTTCCTGCGCACGCATAGAAGTACACGTTCATGCTTTGTTGAATACGCGTCTGTAAATTGCACGAATATGATAATTTCATGTAAAAACCTGTAAACTTCACGCTGGCCCACAGGAAATAAACAAATCTGACGTCATTTATCTGCGCGCGCATTGAAGTTCACGTTCAAGTTTTGTTAAATACGTGTAGCTTAACCTCTCTAATGATCTAATGTAACCGTTATATATCTGTCCCAAGACCACGGTGATATGAAAGGAGTCATAAGTTAAGCAAATAAAGTTCTACCTTAGCATCGATAGAGAGGTGTTGCATGTCCTGGTAGAGTAATATAAATTCAAATGTAGTTTTTTTTATCAAAAGCTTTGTGATGTAAACTATGATCATGGATATACTTATAAATGTTGTAAAGTCCTTTAGTTGTCATGAATAATAATTAAGCAAATGTGTCACAAGCATATTTCATCAAGATATTGCACAATACTTATATAAAATAAATACTATTTTTCTCTTAAATATATTTCAGTTAAATTGAAATGTGCATACATGTTTAGATTGTTTCACATGAAACTATTTTTTTACAAAATGATGTATACTGCATGTATATATACTTGATATGTATTTTACTTATGTGTATCTTTAGCTTATTTCATACACAAAGAAATCCACATATACACTTAAATAAATATATAATATTTCACTTACTTTCTGTGTTGGTGATTTAGCTGGCACATCCTTTGATATCTTTGTATTTTCCTCTGTTAGAGATTTGATAAGTGTCACAATAGCTTGTTTAAGCTCTAATATCTATAACATAATTAAAAACTAGCTATCGTTAAATGTTCAGTTATGTTTTGTGATGTTTTGCTTAGCTACATATAGCACCGACTTACTACAACATTCATTCTATCAAATGCTTGTACTATTAACATGTAAATCATGAAACAGTCCTCACCTCTCCAGCAGTGCATCCTTGGAAAGAAGAGCTTCGCAATATAAAATTTATATAATCACAAACTTTATTATCGAACACAATCGCCTGATTGTAGATATTGCCCTGAAAAAAGAAAAAAACTACTTTATTTTCTTCATCGTTTTTTTAATTTTTACACCTTCTAGAGTTTTTGGGGTCCATTTTGACCGAAGATACATATTTTGCAATAAATCTGCAACCAGACACGGCTTACTGATTTCAGTTTTAACGAGGTTATCTAATTAAAATATATATTGTTAATTGAATACGTTATGTTGATAGTGATGTTCTTTTACCTCAGGAAGCACAAAAACTTATCAAGTAATTTATATCTGGTTTGTTTTATCTGAAAGGAATGAATTAATTGAGGATTAGAATGAATTTCATGTAGATTGAATGATGAAACTAGATAGCAGCAATGCCAAGGCGTAGCCAATCATACAGAACAACAATTACTGCCATTTTAAAATAATCCTTTTACTACCCTTTCAGCTTGTAAAATTGAAAATAACTAAAATAATATGGCCATCATTTTCAAAATGGTCAATCACTACTAGCCAAATTGTAAGAAAGTGTAATATGCTTCTAAGTAGGCACAGATAAAATTTCCACAAATTCGCACACACGTACATGGTACTCAATAGACTGAGTGTCATAAGACAGTGTCCCATGCTTATGATAATTAACATATCAAATATCAACAAAATCGCTCTATTACTTTTTGAGTTTTGAGTACGATTAGGGGAGGGGTTGTATTAGGCATTGTTTATTTTCAACTTAGATCATGGTTGGGGGTAAGGTGGTCTATTCTTCTTATTACGGGTTTACACTTAGAGTATGATTTTCTTGCTCGGAATTTATATACATATATCGAATGATCATTAACACTTTTGAAGAATCCAGACATAATCGGGTCTCTAGTCTCAGGAATGCCAATTTAGTGATTCTGAGTCCGTGTAATATCAGTTGAGACGGAAAGTTTCATTATTGCTCGCATCTGTATGTACATGTTCTTCACAGCTGGTAGCCTTGCCCAAGTCGGTATTTTTTACTTATCTGATCTTGAATTATTACCGCCTTGTACAATCCAATACATCTCCGCTGTTATTATGCTGAAATATTCAACGGTTTCGAGATTTCCGCATAATACCTACGCTATCAGGGGTATCACGAAACCTTATTGATTGACAGATATCGCGTGGACACGACGTGTGACTTCAGGCTGAATGTAGCGGGTCATGTTGTCGTCGATCGGTGATTGAATCTCAGTCTACATGTTCAGCGATCGTTTCAACGTTTATTGTTGAAATCTTCTCACCTTTGGTTATCCGATCGATGCCCGGGCATCCACTAAACTCTCATTGATATTTATCTGATAAAATATTTGTATTTTCATGATGAATTCGTGCTCAGATTCGTGCAAGATTTGTTCGTGAAAAGTCCCGGTGAAAAGTGTACTTGTTTTTGACCGTGCATAATAATGAGCTAACGCTACAGGGCCGTCGTTGATTGGTCAAATTTTACCGACATCAACAAACTGTCGGTAAAGCACGTGGCTTTCTCTTTGGTACAAGGCGGTCATAATAGAAATCAAGATAAGTAAAAGAGACCGTCTTGGGCAAGGCTACACAGCTGGTGACAAACGCGTTATTATTTGATATACTGGCACAGTGAAAAAGATCATTAAAATAACTCACCGATGTGAATTCCACAAGTGTATTGAAGAGCTGAGTCACAAGGCCTATTGTATTGGCATTGATGTTGGAATAAAGGAGACTTAAGAACCGGGCAGTCTCAGCCACAAGATTGAACGACTTAATGTTGTCTGGCTGTTCCCTGAGATAGTTCTAAAATAAGATTTCAAATTGAATAGCAAGATATACGACATATTTTACAAAATAACCATGCTTTCTGTGATTGAGTTTTCCAGAATTTAACAACTAGCATGCTCTTACTTGGATCTCCGCGTTTTGACCATCACACATAAACGCCAGCACTCTGAGAACAAGTTCTATATATCCCTCGTCCTTATAATCAAGATCATCCATCTCACCAACCAGCATTGATGCTAACTGTTGTAGCTCAGCATCGTCGTCATCATCTTCTTTCAAGTCTACCTCACTCATCGGTCCTACTTTGTTTTTGGAAAGAGTCCTCTCTTGTTTCTGAATGGGAACCAGTTCGATGCCACTTGGCGTCTCGGCATCTATTGAGGTAAACATGTTTCATGTCGTAATTTAGAAAGAAAATAATAGAATTAGATGATTTTGTTGCTAACTTTGACTTACTTGAGAAACATATAAAAACTATTTGATTTGTGAAATGTTGTATACTTTAACTTTAAAAATTTGTGACATTTCAAAATGTTTACGAGCCATTTAAAGTATTTGAATAATCAAATGTCCACAAAATGTTCAATAGTTACTCGTTTTAAAACAATGCAACATTTTAATTAGAAAACTTTCCACGGTGCAATGAACAATTGAAGTGTGAAAACTCAATTTATTCTTCACTGAATTGTTTTATAATGATAAAATCGTCGGATCTCGTGAAGTAGTAGAGCAGTCGGGTTTCAATTTCCTCGATTATCTATTCTAGAAATGTAGACCAAAGATCAGATGTTTTATCGACGAATAAACCCCGCAGGGCTCGGCACAAACGTATTCTGTACCCAGAACGACTGAAAAAAGTGAGGGTTCGAAAGTTTTTGTGCCTAGCCCTATGGGGGTTATACGTCGAGATAACGCCCGGTCTGAGGTCTATACGATTCGAACATGAAAACTCCTCAAAACGATTTCGAATATTCATTATGGCCCACCATTACCAAAGTAATGACGTTACACATTACTCATATTACCCGGGGAATTGTTGATGAATATACCCCGGGAGACAAATTGACTTAGTTCACAATTAATAGAGGGCATGAATACAGTCATAATAATGTATACAGCATGAAAAGTTCAGTTTTACCTTTGGCTGGTTGAGACAGAGTATTGAGCTGGCTGACCAACAACTGGCTTCCATTAGCATTGTTTGAGTTCAGACTTGTATTACTCGCCCTTAGCCTTCCGTATCTTCCTTTCAGCTTGCTAGATGATCCATTCTATAATTCAACAAACCAATAACTTGCATTACACTCTGGAAATAGTAACCCTATAATTCAACAATTACATTACGATGTATAGGACTTAGAACCTGTAAAATACAACTAACATATATAAAACAATACTGGAAAAGATCGATGAATTTCATTAAGATTAAAAATGACATATCTAAAGTAGAACACTTACGAGTATTTTAGCTAAGATGCATGTAGGACAATTGTTTCAGACCAGAAATTAGAGGAATATGACGCCCATGATATAAGAATATTATCCACAGAAAGTGCAAGAAGATGTCAAATAAAGATAGACATGCATTTCACATTATTATACTCGGATGTGCATAGTGTAAAACACGTCTATAATCAAAACTTATAGCCCAAGTACCATATTTTCACAATTCTACACTCATTGGTTTACAGGACCAAGCTAATAAAACAACGTGCAAAATAAATAAGTAATCAATTATGTTAAAGTAAATCACACAAACTTGTCACACACATGTCCTTACATCAGTAAACAGTGCATACTTGAAACTTCTGCCTTCATTTTGTTTTCCCTATAATTGTGAACATCGTTGATACGATTAGAAACCCATGTTCACATTTTTGCTATAATATACGTATGTGCATAATATAACGTTCTGTGTGTCACTGAAAATGTGCCCTTGTATCTCACACAAATATATCTAGCAATTGATGAGTCTGCATCAATAATGTTCATTTTGTCACAATAAGCCTGTATGTAGAAGACTAGAAGGCAATATTAAAAATACATAACAAAGCCTAGTTGTAGCTTAATTGCTTGTTGACGTGTTGACGCTTGTTCATATTGCCAGACTTTGGTCACTGGCAATAGTATTGAGCACAGTCATCACCATCTATATAATATCTAAATAAATAAATAGAAGTCAGGTTACTTTGGAAAATCTAAATTATTCGTTTTCTCATGCCAGGGGCTTTGATCAGTTATGTTATCGATCTTTCATATTTTCATAACGTGTCAGAAAAAAATAGTTTAAACATTTCTTGACGATATATAAATAGATATGAATCCATGTCTTCGATGACTTGGCCCAAAAAAGTAAGAATTTGTGCTTTAAACTCAACATTTCGATTTGATTTGCAAGCGATTCTAGATTATCTCATAATCCATTTTATTTTGTTATTTTTCTTTTTTGGAGATCAATTATGTTATATCCCCCAATCTTTTTGCACATTAACCATATCAAAAAATGTTGCTTTTACGCCAGCTATTTGTCAATGACTTTTGTATTGGTTTCGGATTATCCTAATCCCAACGGGACTCAATTTTCCTTTTAGAGGTAAATCATGACTCATAATACATTTCAATTTAGTTGTAAAAATTGGAATAAAATCTGCACTTTTGAATAAAATTGGCTCATTATTAAGGAAAATTGGTTATGATGGCATGACAGCTTAAGATATAATCTGTTTGACTTTACTTTCATTATATTGCCCCTTATTGAAGACGGCATGTTGGCCAAACAAACACACTTGCACTATATCAGTGCTGGCCTAAACACGTATTTCAAAATATGGAGTACTGCATGGATAGTAACATATATGAAACAAATATACGGTCACGTTTGTTTGTTCAATATGAAACTAATGAGACCAAATATCAAAATGTTCTCACACTCATATGTGCTTAATTGGGTCGTTTTGGCTACTATTGTGACATGTTACAGTAACAATAAAACAGTTTTGAAAATATTCTATATCAAAGTGCATTTCCGGTATTTCTGCAGGAAAGTACACTCTGTGAACGTATGGACACGATCAGTGCATTAGAGACGAAACACAGCACGTGCCTTGTTACTTTTGTGACACCCTGTAAGACACGACAATGGCCCTAATAATTAATATTTAAGTTGTATCTGTTAGCTGGAATAACCAAAGTACTGTTAATGTGAATTCAATCCATGGATGCATATACCCCCACTTTGTCAATTCAACTTCAATGAAACACGCATTTAAAACACACCTACATAAGTGGAAGTATACAGTCCCCTAGTGCCATCACTCTCACTATAATAACAAAAATATATTCTGACCGTAATGGTCGCGTCCTCCTGAACAAAACCAATCATGTCTGATTCATCTGCTTCTGTGACACATAACCCTGGCGTAGCAAATACGCTTTGGGGCCTATCAATACGTGGCGATTGTTTACTCATTGGAGTGTGACCTCTGATATGACCTTTTGTCATAGATGGCATGTCGGGTAACATATTAGAAGTTCCACCCAGGTGTTTTCGTGGATCACGAGAAGAGAGTCTACTACCAGATCGTCTTCCTTGGGACTGCAATAATTTTAGATTCGAGAATCTTCAAGGATATTTGAATAAGACAGTCTACTCCCTGATCGGCCAAGGAACTGCAATAATTTGATTTTCGAGAAACGGATATCATAAGAGAGTCTACCTCAAAAAATAGATATTCGAGAATCTTCAAGGAAATTATAATAAGACAGTCTACTTCCAGATCGCCCTCGGAATTGCAATAATTTGATTTTTCGAGAATCTTCAAGGAAATTATAATAAGATTGTCTACTACAAGATCAGCATTGGGACTGCACTAATTAGATATTCGGGAATCTTCAAGGAAATTATAATAAGATCATCTACTACCACACCGGCATTGGGACTGCAATAAATAGATATTCGAGAATCTTCAAGGATATTATAATAAGATCATCTACTACCACATCGGCCTTTGGACTGCAATAATTATATATTCCAGAATCTTCAAGGATATCATAAGACAGTCTACTACAAGATGTTGATTAGGTATTCGAGAATCTTCGATGATTTTGAATAATACGGTCTACCCCCAGATCTGCGTTGAGACTGCAATAATTTGATTTCTCTAGAACCTTCAAGACTATTATAAGACAGTCTACTACCAGATCGGCCTTGGTACTGTAATTATTAGATATTCGAGAATCCTCAAGTAATTTAATAGACCGTCTAGAACCAGATCGGCGTTGGAACTGCAATAATTAGATATTTGAGAATCTTCAAGGATATTATCAATAATAAGACAGTCTACTCCCAGATCGGCATTGGGACTGCAATATTTAGATATTCGAGAATCCCAAAGGACGTTATAAGTCCACCTACTACCCGATCGGTCTTGTAACTGCAATAATTAGATATTCGAGAATCTTCAAGGATATGTTTTTTTCGTTGCCTTCACATAAGAAATATTTGCTTCATATATCTAAAGCTCACTTAGTCTCGTTAGTTCCAGAATGACATATACAAGGTGTTCCAAAAGTAACAGGACTGGTGCTTGCATTTTGTCAATTTTGCACCTAGTGTCTTCAAATTTTCACAAATTGTACCTTTAAAGATTATAATTGAAATTGTTAAGTTTCAGAAAAAATGATGAAATGCGGTAGGAGTTACGGTTACTATAGTAACATGACATCCGAATACCCGGAGCAATTCTTTTCCTGAAAATGTGATATCTAACATTTTTGTATTACTGAAGAAAGTATCTAATTGACCTATTATAATACAACATTTCTTGTTTATTTCATTAGTTGCTTTGTTGTAAAGATGTAGCTATACAACTCAGATCCAAGTATAAGTTCATAATGATCATAATATTTATTCAATTTCCTGGAATGTATAACAGTCTGAACAATTCACGGTTGAGTTTTTGAAAAGGCCCAATTCGAAGCAAGTCATCCATCTAGATAGCACGCCTGCGCACAGGTCTCACTTAAAGACCATGCAGCTATAGAGGAGCTAGGTCTTGAGGTCTAAAACCCATGCACCATACTCTTCTGATCATGCAATATCTAATTTTTACTCATATTGAGGACGGAATGCTAATCAGTGCTGTAAGACATTTAAAGATGAGAATGACCTTCTCAAAATTGTCCAATTGACCCTGCGTGACATGTCCTCAAATGGATTCACTCATGTGTTTGGGTCATGAATACAGAGAACTACTCTTGTACTGACCAAAGAGGTGCCTATTTTTCAAAGTAGAGGATACATAGGAATATCAAATGATGTAAAACAAATGTAATTCCAACCAGTTGTTGCATTTCAACTTTGATATGGCATGGACAAAATGATATGTCACATTACTATAGCAACCATAACTCTACCCGGGTTTCATATATTTTGTTGAAACTTTGCAGTGTCAGTAACGATACATAAAAGTACATTGTATAAAATTTTGAAGACGATTTGTGCATATTTAACAAAATGCCAGCACCAGTCCTGTTACTTTTGGAACACCATGTATGATTTGTATACTATTATAATTATTGTATTTAGAGTGTATGAAAAACATGATTTGCAAATACCCACTTTATGGCCTTGCACATATAAACCAATACGGGGTTGCACAATCCTTTCTTATACTTCTCTGTTTAGTTTGACGTTCACCTTACATTGATTGATATGATTCTTTTGCGAGCTACACAATATCAACATTTAAACTGTATGTACGAGACTCGTATATACATGCAATATATGCAGAAAAATTATTAGGACAGAACAACGAAATACGAAAGAAGTATTTGGGAATAATTTATAATATATTTATTGTTTTGAAAAGTTAAGGAGTAAAAGAGCATTGTTGCAAATTGAAAGGATATAATTGTTTTTAAATACTATATTACTATAAGTAGTCGACTTACAGTCCCTGGTTTAAGTAGTCCACCCTTTCGCTTCCCAATTGACATTCGGGAGCCTATCATTGTAGAGCCTAGAGTTTTATTTGCAGCCAATATCTCCTATAACAGTATATATAAATATTTAATTAAACATGAGAGCATAATTAAATGTGTGGACATTTACAAAATTTTGTACTTGATCTTATGAGGGATGTCAATTCTAGGTGATTTCACAAGATGGTAATTTAAGTTAAATTACATCAATTAGTAGCATGTGCGAACTGAACTATTAAGCTGGTCTAAATTAAGTCACCTTTCTCTGGTCCAAATCTTCAGTTACAGGGTAAACTTTACAATATATTGACTATTGAGTGAAATTTTCGCATCAGCATCGGTTTAACATAATTACATGCATTTCCTCTTTCTGTCTGGTTTATTAGACGGTGAATGTTACAAACGATGATGAGCATACACGTATAGCACTATGTGTATTTACACTATATACCTATTTATCTTTATGCTGATTCCAGTCTGGCAACAATATGACCATTTCTGAATCGTTTGCTTATGCATGATGCTTAAAACATAATTAACTTTATCATAAATCTCCGAACTATAGTCGAGTAAGAAGTAATCATTAACAAGCTTTAACATGTTATCAAATTCTAGTTGCCAAACCTATAGAGGGGAATGTACCAACCAAACAATTCATTACAATAGCAACGACCTAACATTTATTTATAATTATATGTAAAGACAAAGCACATGATATGGCACTAAGGAGTGTGTATCAATTGGAGGACATTGAATGACACAAACTAAAGCTGGACTAATTTCTACTTTAACTGACTCACCAATCGTTCTTTGACAGCCTTAGTGTTGAAAAATATGTTAAGAAATGTACTTTTCTAAATTTAAAATCTGTCGATGTTTCAGTGTCATGACTAATGTTATTTTGTTTTTATTTTGTATCCTGTTAATTTCAAATATTAATTTGGCAAATGGTTTGACAATTTACACAATAGTATCCCAAATAATGTTCAACAACATTTGAGTTCCGCCATGCACTATAAATGTATTTGTTAAGAAATTCAATTTCTTTCCAAAAAATCTACAACCACGAAATATTTATTTAAGCGAGTACCTGTGCTGCTATCTGGCCAGATTTCATAGCTTTCCTCAAAGCCTTTGCTTGCTCCATTGCCTCGTCTATCTTTGCCTGATGTTGAGCCATGAGTGACCGTCTGGAAAATATGTATGTTGTGTTCTTTACTCTCTGATATAGATGTACACTCAATCTTTAATGTTTTTGTTTGCAAATTGATTTTATTATTGCATGGCACAAAAAACATACTGTTAAACCAATGTATTCCTTCAGTAATACACTGGTATAGTTGGTGTAGGAATGACAAACAGAATGTTGTGATTCATTAGAGACATCATAATACATCCAATAAGAAATATTTGATATTTACTGCCTTCAGTTTAACCCAAATGTTCTCAACCTTTTATATAACACTGAGTCGCAACACCCCCCTTGCGATTGTTACTTTTTTGATTTTAATATTGTTGGTAATAATGTTGTTGTAAACCTTATCCAATTACCTCTACGGAGAGTTATTGGTTTACAAGAAATGAAGGTAAACAAAGGTCAAATCGAGGTCAACGTGACCTAGGGAGTGTACATTTTAGATATTTCCGTGACATTGAATAGTCCGCATTTTCAAGTTCAACCTGTATTTGTCTTTAGCATTCATATTTCAAGATATTAAACAAATACCAATCAGTAATTTGGTATACAGATGAATGAATGTATGACTTGGTATTGTTCCAATATAATTTCGGTCCATGATATTGCCTAGCAACCACCTAGCAACGGCATGAATATCAAAATAGTGAAATTGAAAAATTGGGGGTAGGGGAGAATGAAAAATCATATCTAAAATTAGGAAAATGGTATCATCATAATTTATATTACAACAGTTTGTATTGACATTCAAAAAATACGCAAAAAATTCGAATATATTTATTGGGTAGTTCTTGAAAAAATGTTTTTCTCTAAAATCCGTGAGAGAACGCGATTAGTGAATACTTGGCGATTTACTGTTTTTAGAATTCAATATGCTAAATGCTGATCTTTCAAACAGAACAATAATCATCTTTTTGTATTTTAAAGAGCAAGGTTACAATCAATAATTTATAAATTTCAATTTCATTGGCATCAACTTTGCCCCTCTACCCCTTATCACTTGGTTTTTACGCCAACATGTGCCGTATATCTATGGCTCGTGTTTTAAAAATAACAGACACGCTAAATGATTTTGCAAAAAATAGTTTTGCAAAAAGGGGGCCTGATTGAACAGACATTAGGATTAAGTGGCCAGTAAATGAGAGTTTACAGTAATGATCATATCTTAGCTAACAAACCTATTGAGTGGCCATAAAACATTAATTTTTTAACACTCTTTAATATTACCAAATATAAAATGACTTTGATAAGTGAAAAGGGGGTTGACAAACCTATGGAAGTGTATTTCACTGTGTTGCTTTACTTTTTAGTCTTATCGTTTGTCAAACATTTTTTCTACAGTAGCATGTTTCGAATATATATTGCACCTTTTAATTCAGAGATATTAAAGTCCTATATATAATGCTCTCTGACTTGTATGTTAGTGATATAAGGCAGGAATATTTTAAAATACATTCGGTTATTAAAAACAAATATAGCAGAACAAATGTTCACACTTGAAGATTTCAATAATTCCCTTGACATATGAACTTGTGTAAGTACTCCCACTGGAGGCAGAAACATTTGACAATTGGCACCAACATAACACATCACATCAACGGACAAGTGCTAGTTCGAACACCTCACATGATTTGAAACAGTTAACAAAAGTGGAGACGGAATGATAACATGCCAAACGACATCACAATGACACTATTTGATGCGTTAAAATTGAACACTTAACATGACCGAAACATTCCCTTCATATTTGATCCCCAAGAGATACATACAAGTAAACAAAAGAGGAACATATGAGATGCTAAGTACATTAGAGAGAAACCAATTATTACATAGTGAATATAGAACAACTTTCATGTAACAAGACTGGCAAATTGTGAGCTGGATTGTGAGAAGCTCTTTCAAGTACTTTAGTGCGTATGGACATGTTTTACACGTGTAGCTCATCAAACGAGCGTGTACGGGCAATAGACATGTGTAAGTGAAAGCATATACATCGTATAAATCATGTTTTTACTTCTCTTTCATTGTTATCGTTGATAACATAATGCGATTCTTAACTGCTCCAAAAAATCGCTCCTCTCTAGTGCCATAGAAATAATTCACCATACTCGTCTAGAATAAAACATTATTACATAATCATGAACAACATCAACGGTATGTTATCAGGAACACCCACGTCACAGCAGTGTATACATCCATTTTGAAACAATTTCTCTCTAAAATAGCCGAAAATCACCAACTTGCAAAATGTTTTATAAAAAATAAAGGATTGAACTGTGCAAGGTTGAGTGTGTACAATGCTGTGTACAAGTGAATGTCCTCTAACTAAAGTTTTCTGGGTTAACTTACTTTTCTTTGGTTGCAATTGCAGATAAGTTCATACGATTTTTAACTGCGGCAAAGAATCTCTCCTCTCTTGTTCCATAGAAATAGTCACACATGCTTGCCTAGCAATGCAATTAACCATGCACACAAATACTAAACATTTCATAGCAAAACATTCATGAAAGCATATAGCGGACTGACATTATAAAATAGAGAACTATTAAAATATAGTTGGAATAAAATTATAAGCTAATGCATTAACAATTTTACAATAAAAATGTCTGCGTTATTTTAAAATGGGTCTGAAGTTTCATAATACAATAATATTCCACACATAATCAGACATCATATATCAAATTTCAGTCGATCATAATTCAAATAATATGTACAACCAATAATGGCTAATTTTTAGTTTTCTAGTAGTTCTTAAACTCTATTTTTAGATATCATCAATTTCATAATTTCAAGTTGACAGTCTTGTTCACTCTACCTATTTGTATATTCAACTGATTCATTGTTTTCGTTCTAAAAATTGAATATCTAGGCACTTACAAGTTAATATTAGATCACTCAGAGGGAGGATGCACACAGCCATCAAGACACTGGATGGAAATGGCCTACCTCTGTAGTTGAAATCTATTTTATTTCATAAAACTATTCTGCCATGTGTGAATTGGATATAAGCAACAAACCCAATGCTTAGTTAGTAAAAGGTATTTGTGGATCGTTCCTTCCTTAAATATCTTGGTAATAATTTTAGAGAGTAACAATCGATATGTTATATATTTACAAACTAAGCATTGAGTTCAGTGCTTAAATCCTTAATAATAATAATCATTTTTGCATGCATTCCAAAATATGAAAAATACTATACATGATATCTTATATTTCACCTGAACGTTTTTGTTTCCACCAAACAGCATACAGGCAACGAATGCCAGGACCTCTCTTATGATGTCATCCCCTGGTTTTGACAGGTGGGGAAGAACTTTCAATATCGCATCATGCTCATTGAGAGCGTTCTGTGCTTCTTCTATCCTCTTGAGTTTCCTAAATGACCAATAAAAATTATTCATAGAATAGTAGTCATAGTAAAATATGCGAATGAAATATTCAACACCATTTCAATGCAAAATTAAATACAGCTTCGGATACAATCGATTAAGTATGATAAAATACACAACTATAATATAAATAATATATACATATCGTATGATACTACTTCTTCCTTGTGAATATCACTGTGGAATATTTTTGATATTGAACCAAGTGATATTGTCCCTCCTCCTAATCCCTCTCACTAAAATCGTATTCACATCTCAATTCCTCTTACAAATTTTGTATTCAGGTGTGAGTACCGTAATCCAAAACGAAATTCGAAAATTATGTACACTTCTTTGCACATATGGCGTTCGTGACCAACTATGAAACGCTTACCCCCACCATAGTTTTATATATCAAAATGTACTTGTTCATATAGGGGTTCGATCGATCTACATCAAATTATAGGGAGTCTGGTTGAGATGACGGGCGCACGCGTAGTTAGCATGCTCACGTTGGAACTATTTTGACCTACATCGCTATTTTCGTAATTAAAATGAAAGTTGAACTCTTCTTCATTTTGAAACCAAAAAGGCATATTAGGTACCATAGAAGCCAACTATGGCGTTTTTTTAGAACGAAGTCACACATTTTTAAATGGACTATATAGGGGTCATGCCTTTTGGCGGATGGATATGAAACCTCACACCTTCAGCTTCCGGGTGGGAGCCAAAGTATTTATATTTCGTTCAGTTTGGTCGGTATAGCGTGACACAAAAAGTATACCCAACTACAATTCTGAGCAATGCTTTAAAAATACGAAGATAGCAGTGCTAGCAGTAAAAGGCCTATTCTGTCTTCAATCAAATGGTACTTAGATCATTATGTAACTGCCACGGATGACTGAGCAATCATGACCATTATGAAAGGTGGTAAAATCAACAACGTACCAAGTCAGCATTCAAGTAGGAATGACACAGTGAATGATTTTTTGTGTTCAAAACATTATTAATGTTCAAATTCAGACTTGTTTCATGTTCTTGGATCCGAAGAGCCTCCTGATCAGCAATGGAACCTTTACTTGATGATATGCATGTTTGAAGTCAATTGTATCCCCAAGTAAAGTCATTAACCATTGCTGAAATTCCCTTTTTTCAGTAGAACTCAATTTATTGAGTCTTAACAAGTAGATTTATGTGGAACAGTATAACTAGAATCCATTTCAATAGTAAGAATAGGGGTTCTATAAACAGTACATTGGACTTGCTTTTTAGAAATTTTTGTTGGCTCTACTGCTCAAGTGTCAGTTGAACTATTTTTGCAGGCCTATTTTAGAGCAAGTTAAGATATTTGTCAGCCCTGTTTTCATAAGAGAGTTACTCAGTCTCAAGTCCAGTTCAGTATGGAAGGTCTGTCTCAAACATAGTGACATTAATTGCATTCTTGACCGGCAATATGGACCACCACTATGACTTCACATATTGCTCAGGTCTATAACTTAAAATGAATGCCTTCTAAACTAGCACTAAGACCCCTAGAAGTGGCCCGGCAAGGTGGTAATAATATGTGATATTTCACTCTCCCCCTCCGGGCCCTAGCGAAATATCATATTGTTCATTGGAATAAAACCCATAGTTGATACAACCCGGTAAATAACCTCTAAAGTTTATTAACTGGGAGAGATTAACTATGTGGCCAGTATCAATATGAGATGGCAAGGTGATTTTTTAATGTCAAGTAATATATTCCATTGTGTTATTCAGCGGAAGTTGTATTATGGTTTACATTTTCCCTACTTTTTGTTATTTGTGATATCATTCTCCCAGTCATCTGGTAGTCTCACTATTTCATTGTGGATTGAAGCTCTCAACAACTGTAAAGATTTGATGTCAAGCATCTGCTGTTCTAATCGATCCCTTTCTGTCAATTGGGTGTGGGAAGCTGATATTCTAAAACAAGAGATAATATGTGTCATTCTTTGTAACAAACACTGATACATGTCCTATATACTTAGACTGAAGGAAATGTGCTAGTCTATATGGCGAATAAGAAAAACCTAACTTACTGGAGTTGTTCCACTAGCTTTCCAGCAAGTTGGTATCTTTGTGATGGGGTCTTATCATCATTCACAAAGCACTTTATGTGTTCTTGAAACTCTTGTCCTAATGGGAGTTCCTCATTTCCGCCAATATCAGTGTACTCTACAAGGCAGTACAATACCACATTAAACTGAACAGAAAATATAATGAAATCGATTCTTAATTTCCATTAACATCAGTGCACTCTACAAGGTAGTACAATATCTCATTTTATTGAACAGCAACGGTCATGAAATTGATTTCACATTTCCATTAACATCAGTGCACTCTACAAGGTAGTACAATATCTCATTTTATTGAACAGCAACGGCGATGAAATTGATTCCTAATTTCCAGTAACATTAGTGTACGCTATGAGACAGTGGAATATTACATTAAACTGAACAGCAAAGAGGAAGAAATTGATTCCTTATTTTCATAAACATCAGTGTTCTCTACAAGGTAGTACAATATCTCATTTAACTGAACAGAAAACGGCAATGAAATTAATATCTTATTTCCGTTAACATCAGTGTCCTCTACAAGGTAGTAAAATATCACATTAAACTGAACAGCAACGGCCATGAAATTGATTTCTTATTTTCATAAACATCAGTGCCCTCTACAAGGTAGTGAAATATCACATTAAACTGAACAACAACGGCAATGAAATTGATTTCTCATTTCCGTTAACATCAGTGTACTCTACAAGGTGGTGAAATAAAATTGATTCCATATTTCCATTAAATTAAATAGCATAGATGATGGGATTGATTAGAAGTTTGAATTTTATAAGTATATTGAATGTAACTTATTTCAAAATTACTCATGGCGCCACCTCACAATTGACAATGAAGTAGTTAAGTTATCACATACCTATATCATTAGGGAAAGAAATCTGTGTCTTTACATCATTTGGCCCTCCATAGATAACACTGAAGTTGACTGAGTAGATGTTCAACTGCACATTTAGTTCTTCTTCTGCTTGGTAGTATTCCTCATATGCCTATGAGTAAGTTCATTTTATTCAAATATATGAAGTTATTTAAACATTATTTATCAATAATTTGTTGCAGACTTCGTATGTTTCAGGCCCGGAGCCAGGATTTACCTGGGGTGAGTGTTTTTGCTAAGGAGAGCTGCCAAGGGGGCCTTTTTTGACAGTTTTGGAAAAAAGCATGCGAAAAATGCACAGCATGGTGAAAAAAACTGCATGATTTTAAAAGAATTTCTGGCCAGCGGGAAGATTTGGGTCATTTTATTCAAACATTTGAAGTTCTATTAAAAGTATTCATCAAGTATCTATGACACCTGACTGTGTTTGGATCAATTAGGCTTAGTGTCACGTATTTGGAATCTAGTACTAATCATTCTATATATTCACCTTCCTGGCATCACTTCTGATGTCAAGTTGTTCAGAACCAGCCCCGTACTTCTCTTGGAACTGTTCCATCACCTGTAAACGTAAAATATATCACTTCTTCATTAAATATAATGGCATATAACAATATAACAGCTCAAACACATGTAAATATGAAGTATAATACACCTATTTTGTAGGTAAGTAAAAGTTGTTAAAGTGCTTAATAAATAGTTAGTAGAGTATTCTATGAAGTATAATACTCATTTGTATGAATATATTGACAGATAACAACAATAACCGCTCTTATACTATTTCATTTTGCTGTCAACATAATGTCGCATAACAAAATGAATATATAGAACAGCTATATGCGTATAATAAACATCTCTCATCTTATAATAATGTGGCAATCAACTTGTATGCATTTGTATAATTAATATGAAGACGCACACATGCAAATGGTCTTTTAAAATAGAAAAATACCAAAATAGAAAAACTGAAAGAAATAATATAATGTTTCAGTAGCCTTTGTTAGTATATTGTTTCATTTCGTTACATCAGAAGTAACAAAATTGCAATTAACACACGGATCTTGTCTAGTTAATAAGATTTTACTTAGTCACATACAGCTTTAGAAATAACTCATGTCTCACACACATATACACTCCCCTCCATATGTTTGGCAACCTTAGCTCCCCCCCCCCATTGACATACGTGTTAAAGCCTCTCTACGTTTGAATTTTTATTCACTTAACCTGCAATAATATATAATAACTTATAATATTGATGGACACGTATCTTGATTTCATTTCCAATACCCTCTAATTTTGCCAATCTTTTTCCTCGATTACAAATACGTCGAAAATTGATGATAAATTTGATGAATTTTTGAAAATCGTCATTCCCATGTAAACCAATGGGAAAAGGTGGGTTCGGAGGAAATCAGAAATCAGGATATCTCTTCAGTAAAAGATTCAGCATATAGAAATATATATCGAAAATTGAATTGTGTAACTTTTTTGTACACTAAGTGTTTAGCTTACTTAATGAATACTAAAGTTACAGAGCTTCAAAGTTAAAATTTGGAGGTATTGGAAATAAGGGCAAATTACGTTTCAATCAATAGTATAAGTATTTCCATCGCAGGTTAAGTAAATAAAAATTCAAAAGTAAAAGGGCTTTTACACGTAGTTCAATGGGGGAGCTAAGGTTGTCAAACATATGGAGGGGAGTGTATATACCTATATATGTAAATATACTCATATACATATGAAATAGAAGTACAGTTCCAAGTCTGGCTTTGCATGCATGAACTGTCGGATAAAGATCGAACGATGTAGAGTAAAAACATAACTAGTCTAAATCATACAATTTGATGATGACATGCTCAGTATATTTCATTGATTTAACTGTATAAAGTTAAAAAGTATTATCATTACTATGTAGATATGAAAAATTCGCCATGCATTTGTAATGTTGACTACCTGTTGACTAAGCTTTGCCACTTTAAGGCGTACAACCTAAATACAATAATGTTAGATCTGAACATGTACATGCAATATAGTATATACATAAATATTGCCACGATGGTGTCCAAAAGCAAATAGCTTAAAAGTAAAGAGAAACATTTGGTATGGCACAACCATGGAAAATATTAGCAAATGTTGTGACCAGTAATACCTAAAAACCTGTTATTGGTGAAATCTAGAGATATCATTAATGTGATTATTAATCAAAAAAAATAATGCAGTTAGTGATTCTATTTTAGATTGACATTGGATGGTCAAAATAGATTACCTTAACAGGGAGAGTGGAGGCCGAAAGGACACTACTCATGCAGCTTGTCATTGTCTTCACATGTGTGGTGTCACTTAACAAAGGTCCACAGCAATCGACAAAGTCCTGTATTTAAAGTAAGACATACACATGATCACTAAACAATGGTATACGGTATTAACCAAACTTAGTCACAACTAAGTCATAATGGAATAGAAAAATAGCACTACATATTCCTTGTTAGGCAACTCACGTTGAATATTGCACTACACATTCCTTGTTAGGCAACTTACAGGGTGTCCAAAAAAACAGGACCGTAAGAAAGTTGAATAACTCGGTCAATTTTGCATATTTTGCCTTGAAATTTCAGAATTATTTAGTTCTTTCAATGTGAATTTTGTTGTGAAAGTTTGATAATAATCTACCAATTGAGTCAAAAACTACAGCTCCTTACAAAACATGCCCCAAATGTGTAAATCTCATCTCTATGCACAATTCAATCCGGCGAACAAAGCTGTTGATGATCCTCCTACACACATGTCTTTCTGAATGGACAAGTTTGTTCCAAGAACAATTGCTACTGGGGCTTACATCCTCCTGATGAAGTGTTACAGCATCCATTGCATTCTGAACAATGCACTCCCTGGGTGGCAATGAGGAAACATGGAATCATCAGTCCCTTTTGGTTCGGAGGTGACGTGGGACTTGCTATCACCATGAACAAGGAACAGTAAGTTCTCACCAAGTTTTGGAGGTCACTAAGCACCAGAAGGGACATCTAAGGAGATAATTAAGCAGTGGTTTCAACAAGTCAATACCACCCCAACACTGGAAATGGTTTAGGCAATGCTTTGGTGGTCAGCTCATCAGTTGCAGAACGCAAACCATATGGGCAGCTCATTTGCCAGATCTAAATCCCCCAAATTTGTATCTTTGAGGATTCCTCAAAGCCCATGCGTATACTTACAGGCCCCTAGCAATCTTAAGAGGGCAATAACTACCCCAATATTTACCATCCACATTAATGTGTGTAGGTAAGGGTCATTAACAACTTTGTTCGCAGGATTCGTTTGTGCATAGAGAGGAGAAGTGCCCACTTTGAGCATGTTTTGTAAAGAAATGTAGTTTTTGACACAATGAACAGATTATCATCAAACTTTCAGAACAAAATTCACATTAAATGAACTAAAGAATTCTTAAATTTCAAGGCAAAATATTCAAAATTGACAGAGTTATTCAACTTTCTTACGGTCCTGTTTTTTTTGGACACCTGTTACGTTGAATACAATAAAACATTACATCGAATTTAAAATTTTCTTAATCTAATAAATCGTTCATTATTAGTTCATTATTACACAACTGCACATTAATAAATTTACAGAATAAAGTAAATATATTGATGACGTGCATCTTAATCTTATTATTCACTACTACATAATTGCACATGATACATTTAAAGAATAAAGTAAATATCGTTGATACGCATCTTATTCTTATAAATCGTTATTATTATTATTATCTATTTTATGATTACGCAACTGTACATTGATACATTTACAGATTGAAGTCAGTATTACTTACCACAAGAGATTTTGCTAATGTATCAACACAATCCGCCTCTTGGGGATTACTTTCTCTGTTAGGGGAATAGTAAGTACGAAAGAAGACCTAATAAGCATAATGAGAGTGATATTTCAGACAATAATATACAAAAGATTGTTTTATTGTTAGATTCTCCTTATTCTCACATTATTTCATTCACCTTACACAAACCTATACATCTACTTGTTACTGAAAATGTCAATATCAAGGTCCTGTCAACGTTTTTAAAGTATCACAAATCCAAATGATACGTTTCAATATTTTGCCAGAGATTAATAATGGAGATAGACATGAAGATCAGATATAAGGGGTTGAAAACAGTCATTTTTAACTTCAAGTTGACCATCTTTAAATCATTTACAAGATTTACCGTATATTTGAGATTCAAATTTTTGACCTAAGTGATCATTGAAAGGGAAAACGAATATTTTAGAATTTTCTATTTGAATTCAGATACCCTAATGAGGTCTGAAAGTAAGGCCAAAGGTCAATATCATCATAACAGGTCACAAATGGTTCTCGTTTGAGACAACACACTATATTGTTTTGACTAACAGATGTCAGCTCATTCATTTCTCTAAAGGTTTAAACACATACGGTAGTTGACTATACCAGCTTTTAGATATTGACGTTCATAAACTAGAACAGTCAATGGAAGATGGATTGTGTACAGTCATATGTTAGATTTGGCTATTTTCTGTGGAATTGAACAGGCGCATAGGCCAATAAATTTCTTTCAGGAAAAGTACTTATAGAGGGAATAAAATAATTTCGACTTTGAGACAGGAAAGGCGCAAATAACCCATCCACATGTCTTTTTCTGAAATGTTGTCCTGATTTTCAACCCCTTCCATCCCTGCGTTTTCAATTTTTGTTGCATCAATATGTTGCGTTTTGACACACAGTTAATGATCCAATATCTGAGATGGCGCCTGTCTGCCGAGATGATGACAATGTCGTACCTATTTAGTAAAGTACCAACTAATGCTACTAACGTATTAAGTTGTTAAAATAACGTAATGCCTTATAGGCTAGAATCAGAGGGTTGAAAATATCATGACATCTTATATTATATTTTTATATATTTTTATATATTTATATTTTGACGAGCCGGCAATTCATGTTTACCAATTGAAAGGTAAAGGTTTTCTAAATTGGTACCGAGATTTAACAAGAAGAAATAGGTTTCAAAATGTGTTTTTGGGTAAAAAATGTGTTTTTTGCAGAAAAAAAATTTGAAATTAAAAAAATTGAAAATTTGTTTTAGTCCAAACAGTCTGATTAACTACAAAAAGTGAGTGAAAATAAACTATATTTGATTGTTTTTGGAGATTTTTGGGAGCTTTTAGGGAAATTGCTTGTGGTTGGCCAACAAGTGAAATAAATTGTCAATGTACTATTTATATGCATTAATAATAGAGATATTATTAAGGTTTACTACTCGAATTAGCACTTCACCAAGAAAATAATATATTTTAATTAAATTTTATTTCGTACTACATTGTGTTATATTCCAGTTCATATGTTACATTACCCAAATGTTCATAGAAGTAAAGAATTCAAAGGTAGTGCATGTCTCCAATGTATACTTTAATATATCCTCAAAACATTTGCAGACACGATGGTTGATTTACTATTAATCTAAAATGGATATTAAAACATATACTGTTATGTGGAAACATAAGTGTCAGTATCATCATCACAGCCTGTCATCGACTATTTTGAACAATGAGGTGGAGCATGTCATTTTTACAAGTTTCAATGTTTCCACACAATTTGATATTTAACTGAAAACTACTTTTTATTCTCAGATAAAATGAACCAGCGCAAGCAGTGACAATTGTCAATCATACTTCTGCAAGACATTTGGGAGAAACATTTAATGACTGAATACGAAGTTAATGACAAAGGCGTGAACATCCTCTACTCAAAACGATCAGTTTCCATTATTAATTTTAACGTTTTAGCGGAGGCTTCTGTTTACTATCTTGAATAATAGTCTGTATAGAGTTTGAATAAATTTTTGCTTCAAACAATTATGCCTTCTTTTATTTGATTAAAAAATATGAACAATGAGGCAGAGCAAGCAATGGGGGTGGAGCAATAAAATCCTTTTGGACAGCCTTAGCACATGAGCCATGTAGTCAATATCAAGTGGCTTGGTAGTTTGGTGCATCAAAATATATCTTTTAAGTCGCAGTGCTGTATGCACCATCTCCTGATAATCGTATTTTGCTGCTCCAATGATATAGCAGGATAATCCATAGTCTTGATCAGCATAATTTATGGGTAAAATAACAGTTTAAGCCATACAGCATATACCTTGTAATGAGACAATTAACTTGTAGAACTCTTTTATGTGCAGCTCTAATGCTTTTTGTTTAGAATCACCATCTAATGCATAGTATATTTTTGTCACATCTGACAACTTTGGAACATGTTCCTCTTTAGCAGTAGAAGATACATGGAGCTCACTTGTGAGAGAATGCTGCATGTCAAATAATTACTGATGCTATTGGAAGACTTCTAAATATCACTTTTAAATTTGGAAAAACAGTCTTAGTGATCTCTACATTTCTTTGACGTTAGTTCATTCATATTGGAGAGGTTAAGCTAACGATGTTTTTCACAACGTAACCGTGAACGCAAAGTACAAAAATTAACAAAGGAATGTATCGAGCGCTCATAGTTTTATGCGCGCTTAGTCTACTTCAGATACTCTTTCAGCTTCAGAGTTTCGGGTTCAGAACGGGAGATTTGAAATTTGACGTTGGGTCAACGGGAACCATTTTACTCGTGTCTATTGAACACTCTGCTGTCAATTTTGATTTCGATGCACAGTTGAATTCTTGCTGAACACGATGATGTATGTCATGCATGATTTAGCGCCAAAAATCTTACGAAACGAGCTCGTTTAAAATATGTATTAGAGAACCAGCTATAAAACCGCATCAATGACATACTATAGAATCATTACACGCTATGGTGTAGTCTAAACAAACACTGGATTTGAACGGCTATTTATATGAGAAGGCTACATGAATTTGTATATGGTCGAGTGATACGTACAGGTTCAGTTTCGATTATATATGCAAAGCTTAACCTCTCCATTATCTAGTCTTACACCCTATGATGGATGTACCGCATTGAGAATTAAATTACTGATTTGTATGTACTCTAACATTGCAAGTGTATTGTGACATTTTAACTGTTCTGGAGTTATACCTTTCCCATTGCTGAAAATGTCATAATATTTATCTGTTATCTTTTCTGTTTTGGTGTTATGCATCAATCATCTTTTTATCGTTCCCTGTATTGTATACATTGTTGTTTGTGTTGAGCATTTCATAAAGTTAAACCATGTTGTGGACAGAAGACACATCCTGTTTTCTCTGTTTCATACAATAGGTTGCAATTGAGATGAGAGTAATGATAGATCCCGTTAACTGAACCAATGACTAACAAATCTGTTTTGATAGGGAGATGATTGTGCATGGTGATTATTGGTACTAGTTCAATAAAGCTAATCAAACCAGATAACGTACAGTCTGTATGAAACCAGTGTGCAATTTCCAAAACACTGATTGGTTGGCAGGGCTCCAGCCTGGCACATTGACAACATTTATTTATGTGGTGATCAACACTGATTGTATATGTTGAACTAGTTAAAAAATGAGGAATACTCTTTTAATTAATTGTCAAATTAGTGCCTTTTGACACCTCGTTCGCCATGTTAAATCTCACATATCTTTTTTATATATCGTTATATATAAAGGAGTATTTTGATACAGGTCTCTTGCCGGCTCATTAAAATATAAGTACCTTCACTTTCTAGAGGCTTTTATCATCATTTGATTCTAGTCTATTAGTTATCTGATGAGTTTAACTTCAGTCATGAAGTAGCTAAGTAATTCTTTGTTCATCGAGCAACTTATTTTCTTTCTTGGTAACTTGCTTACTCACTAACTTGCCTATTAACTGATATCTAAAAAGCCTTCGGGGCCAACATAAGATTATTTGCAAAAGTGGCGTCTATTTTTATTATAAGCAAATTATTGTCATAATACCACAGCAGCTAGCTCGCGATCCTGCATATTTTAGAATAACTAGTATCATATACATATTCATGTTGCATTCAATTGTCTATTTGTGTGACTTCAGTTTTTTGTATTCTATTTCAGTAGCATATAGGGTGGGCCAATAAATACATGTACTTATATGTTGTTCTAATTCCTGGCCTACTCTGCATATCAAAATAAATAGTCCAAATACCTGTAGGAATGGCATGACTGCATCAAAGATGTAGTGTAGGCCGCCATGGTGTAAATCCCGGTCAGTGCTCCCTTGTTCACTGTAATAACACATATATTACACATATTGATGTGGCGATCTTTAATAAAAATGTACAGTTGAAGTTTATAAAAATAATCTGTGTGTACTTATAGCATACAGATCTATTCACATTAAGCAAAATAATGTTTTGATTATAACTTAACAGAGATATGGCTCCCAAACCACAGATCAGTATCAAATGAAGGTTACGACCGTCATCTTCGCATTTAAGATGGCGGACAGTAAGTGTCAATTTCGATATTTCTAGTTTTTATCAAATTAAAAATCGTGATAGATGACGTAATGCATAATTAAACTAAACCAGGATTATATGACATGAAAACTCTGGAGTGTGATTGATCATATATTATACTCAGGCGTCACAATTCAACGATATCTTCCGCCGCTTAAGGGAAGGTTACTGGGATTTTGGTTTCGTGACATTTCCCTATCATACATTTGCAGTTACCTTCCAAGAAGCGGTGGACGATTGGTTGGTTAAGAGGTTGAAATGTGGTGTCCGACTTCGATATACGATCAAATGATAATAGTCTAGAGTTCCCATGTCATATAAGTCTGATTTAGTCAACTATAAAGTAGTTTAATAAGAACTATGAAAATATCAAAATTAACACTTCTCGTCCGCCTTGTTAAATGCAAAGAAGACGGCCGTAGCCATCGCTTGATACTTATCAGTGCAAACAATGGAAAATACTATTTCAAAATAGTTTAGAAGTAAAACTAAAAACACCTCATTAGCTGGTCCAACTTCTCTGGGTTATCAAGTGGTATAGATATCTCCATCTTTCCATAACCACTGAAAAACAAAGTAATCCTAAAATTATTTAATGTATCCATCCCTGCGCATGAAGTGCGTGCAAACAATATGTTAAATTGCATCATGGAAGAGAGGTTATAATCATGATGGAGAGGTTTTAGTCATTCACTGTTCTGCAACCTGTCACTCTTGAGGTATAGAGATATGACCAATATGCAATGCACCCCAGTAAAAACCTCTATGTCTACACTTAATTAATACATCATATAATGATAAATCTGTTGAAAACCATGTGAAGAAAAAGTTAGTGGGATTTTTGCTTAAAAATGATATGATTTTCAATAAACAAAGTGTATTTAGGTGTATTATCTAATTGACCATTTAGATAATAGAGAGCTTTCGAAGTTATTTTGAATAGGTACACGCAAACTTGCACTTGTACAAGTCAAGTATAGCACTTGGGAGGACTTCTGGAAACGAAGATGGGGTGCTTTCATCCTTTAAATCAGAACGAAGCATTTGGCAAGTGTGTAAATCATGAGTTCCGGTTTCAAAATATGATTACAACATAGAAATTATGCCATTGTTGGAATATTCACAAATCAATTAGATTAGATTAGAAAATGAGAAAAAGTTTTTGAATGAAATATACATTCCTGGTTTGTTTGAAAAACCATCCTCCCCAGTATATTATTTAAAAGCTAAAGTTGCAGTAAAAGTTTGGTTGAAAACGTATATCAAAAGCTCTCTAATATACCAACACAAATATTAAAATCAAATAACATAAATACTTGACTATACCATTTGTCTGGTTGTTTTTTGAGGAGTTGTTTCACAGTTTCTATGTTCTTTGCTGTGTAAACAGTCAGCTGCTTCAGCTCTGCAACTAGGCTCTCTATGTATGCCCACACACGGCTAGAAAACAACAAATTGAATAATCTTCATGAGTAGTTAGTGGGGTGTGCAGTGACATATTTTAAATAATTAAACAACATACCATAGTGTAACATCAAACTGGGAGTGATTTGGATTGCTTTTGGGTCACCTTATATATCAAATTTCGAAACGCATTCTGCGAAATATATATTTCCCGATACATTCCCAATAATATCCTCGCCTGTTTCAATCATATGCCTGGTGACAAAAACGAAAAATCAATTTCGATGTATATCGCAAATTTATGTACAAAATTATGTAAATGCATTGATTTTAAAAACCTTTGATGGAAATGCATGAATTATTTTTGCAACTTTACAATGATTTAGGTTAAATGTTTCCTAAATCCCCAGCAATTCGTTTTAGCGAAATCCATGTATTTCCAAAAAGGTATGTCAAAATCAAAACTTGGGCGTTTAAGTTTAAGTTAAGTTATAAATGTTCTCGGCATGGTACATGTCTCCTGATACCTTTTCTGTTATTCCCCTTCCTCCCCTATTCTTCTTCAAATATATATTAAATTCTAAGTCACCTGTCATGGGGCATATCTCCGGATCCACTCTCGATCATCCCTCCAGCAGTGTTTAAGTAAACCCAGAGGAGAAAGCGCAGGTATGGTCTTTTCAAGTTGTTGGATATATCCTTGTGGTTGATCACATCCAGTAGTTCATCTACACTGAATATTGTCTGGCATATGGACTCGATGAATCGATTTTCACCCTAGATTTTATAAAAAAAAGTTCAATATCTCATCACCATGTGATTTTCCATTTGCATAGCAATTCCTGCTCTAGTTCAATTGACAGCAAAAGAAACGTCGTATCTAAACATAATCATACAATCTTCACAATAAATGAAAAAATAGTGTGCATTCCATTCCACGTATTTTTGTAACTTGTTTATATATTGAGGAGTGTACATATTAGAGTGTTATCAAGTGTTACGTATTGTGCTGGTGGTGTATAGTGTTCTATACGAACACGTACAATTATCCATTTGATAAGGAAATTTAGGTCTTCATTAATAATGTGAATAATCATATAATGTTAAACATTCTGATTTAGATGTTTCCAATCAAATTTGTTTGTTGCTCCTGATGAATCAATAGCCATCCAATTTACGCTATAGCTGTCGTTTTTACAAAATCTTACAAAACGTTTTTCTGTTGTAGCCAAAATCGTAAAATAATGCACACAAATATGGCCACTTACTGGCCAAGTTGTCATTTGAAAGTGTTATATGCTTTAAGTAGGCACATGTAAAATTTCAACAAAATGACGGACACTTCGTTTGATAGGATAATGAAACATGACAGACACCAGGTTTTTGAAAAAGGTATTCGGGGAACTGGCATCATTCAAATAACGTTGTAAAAACTCAAGATATCTCAAAAGACCATTCTCGGTTTGTAGAACGAAGTTCACGTTCCGCCTGCTTTGGACAATTTTGAAACTTTTACATATTATAGATTTAAATGTCTCTTTTGAATACGCATAATTTAATTTGGGTGATATTGATATATTTTCATAAAAAGTTTTAGCGCAGTACAATGATAAACTTCTTTCTCCAAATCGAGACGTGTCTTTTATTGAATCGGTCTACTGCACGCTACGTCTTTTGATATTTTTACATCTTGTAGATTTGAATGTCCTCTTTTGAATATTCATAATTTTATTTGGGTGATATTTCTATATCTTTCATAAAAAAAATTATTAGCCCGGGAGATTGTTCTCCAGACCGAGACCTGTTCTTTGTTTTTCTTTGTGGCTGAAACTAAAAAACAGTTGGTACGTTCAATTCATTATCAATAGAAGTATAAGTATATGAAAAACATGCATTCTTACGATAGGTCGAGATGTAAAGCTATATTCCAATATGCGTACGTTAAATACCTGATGAATATATAATTAAACAGTACACATTACATGCTTTAAACTAACACATCCTAATGGTTATGTTATAATCAACCACACACGAGTGGATACAAGCTCTGGTGGCTTTGTTTTAGTGTGCGATGCGCTGTGCCAATATGCAATGCAAATAAGATATCACTCTACAATTCATTCACCCTAAACGAAGAGATCGCACCATTTTCAAATGGAAACGGTAAAAGGACGAGAAACGATGGCAATAATTGACAACGTCGGATCAGCTATGAGTTTATTTTTGGAAGTTATACACTTTATTCTATTCGAACTGTCTTGTATCTTGCTGCTTAAAATAACAGATACGAAGTGAAATGAAAAATGTTAAAGACCACTTGTTTTCTTTTAAATTATTTCAATAGAATTATTCTTTGCACAAAATTCCCTATTGCAATTTATGTTGTTTTTTATGAACTAATCACCCAACATGTTTGGAGCTCGTATACAGGCAGGATGTCTCAGAAATGTCCCCAAAAGAACTCTGAAATATGTATACCAGGTAATGGTTTTACTGGGAAGTATATTCGTTTTCCTCATTCCAGAATTTTTTTATTTCTATATTCTATATATATTTTATTATTTTTTAAGACATTGGCGCTGAACTCACAATTTTTTTCACTTGGCACCTTTCGAGGTGGATCCCGGCTATGGCATTAATGGTTGAGAAATAGATATCGAAATCAGACATAGTTTTCTCCTGATGGCCATTGTGAATTATTGTGTTTTATGGATTATGGCGATGGCTTTTGTGAATGGATGTTGACCCTTTGGAACGCCTATGGACTTGGAGACTGGCTTTTATCTATCCCACATCATTTGAGACTGAATGCTCTATCTTGTATGAGTACTTGTATCTACAACTATTTTTGATGTTATGAGTATTGGCTATCAATTTCTAATTTTTTCTTCAACATGTATTGTAATGACTTCAGTATGAATAAAATGTCCCTTGGTGTTCTGGTCTTGGATTGTGATATCGGTTCTTGAATGGTGGGGAGAAAGGGGGTATTGGACATTGTTTCTTTTCACGTTAGATCATGGTTTTGGGACATATGGGGTTTGTTTTTCTTAACTGGTATGCACTTAGAGTTTGCATTTTCTTGCTACGTTCCATTACAACTTTTGGTCCTTTCCCTTGGCACATGTGCTTCCCCACACTTCCCCCAAAAACATTATCTAACGTGAAAAGAAACAATGTCGAATAGCCCTTTCCCCCGACCATTTAAGAACCAATATCACAATCCAAGACCGGAAGACAAAGGGACAACCTGTTTATAATTTTTCAAAATTAGTGTACACATACCTCTACATGCATCATTGATCGGCTGACATTTGACAATAATTGTACTTAAAGGCTATATATATACAAGGCGTCCACAAAAAAAGTATACCCAACTTCAAATCCAGGATACAAGAATGCTGAGCAATGTTTTAAAAATACTAAAATAGCAGTAAAATGCCTAGTTTGTCCTCCATCAAATGGTACTTTGTAGCTGTCATGGATGACTGTTTTAAATAAATTTAAGATTTTTCTAACAAAAAATCCTTCGAGGAAACATTTTATGAAATTCAAGTTTCACATATCACATTCTGATAACAGTGTGCAATACCACGATATAAACCAACACGATTTAAACTTAAAATGGAGTACCATCAAGTACTGTACAACTTAGAACGATTGTGGCAGTATTTTTATTTAATTTTTGTCACCGTTTGTCGTCCGTTACAGTATTTAAATAGGAATGGTGCGATCTTTTTGTATAGGGTGTTCAGATGAATATTCAAATCAGCGCTTGTCTGAGAGTTAAACAATTAACATGCAGGTCAACAAGGTATTATGATGAACGCCATCTCAAAATCCAAAACTCACTGATTTTGTATAACTTGCACCATTCGTTTTCCCTGTTGACGGTATGTCCTGGAACGCAATTTTATTGTTTCATAATGATAAAAAGTGTGTACCTTTCTGTCCTAGGATACTGATACTTATGAATTCAATTTTAATAATCACGAGTCTAGTGTGTGGCTCTCTGTCTTGAAACACTTTTAGTTAAATATTCGTTATATGTTATCACGAGTTCTTCAGTATGTGTACCTCTCTGACTCAAGACATTACTTCATGAATTTTGTTAAACAAATATGCACAAGTCTTTTGTCTACAGGTAGCTCACTGTCGTGATGCATCTATAAAATCTTCAAGAGTTTAGGACTGAAAAATCCAAAATTGCCGCTTTAACATTTATTCAGAATGTCAAAAAACTATTCAGTTCAAGAATTGCAAACAAAGAACCAAAGTGTGCACTTTTTAGAAAATGAACATGAAAAGGAATGACATAAGCAGAACGATTGTAAAATCTAAAACCAGAACAATTTTTTTTGGCTGCTCGCTAGATCCCTGGAATAGATCCGCCAAATGGTTCGCCTAGAAATACATAGACAAGACTTTAGAGCCAAGATTTGTAGATTGAAAATATGAAACTGTCTGAAAATAAAAGAAAAGATACAAGTTCTTGCCTATATTTTAAAAAAGTTGTCACATACAACTAGTGTAAACAGTGATATACGCTTTTACAATACAGGACAAAAAGAAAAAACTGCCGAGCGTACGGGGCTACATAGACAGATGCCAGTGGTTTCAGTAACTTTCTGCACAAGGGGCAGATGAAAAAAACAAGAAGCGCCATTCAAAACAACCAATTTTACACTCCCGGAAATGCCAATTCTTTTCCATGGACAGAAAGTGGACAAATGAACAAGGGCATGGACAGGCTTTGCCAAAAATGATATAAAATTCTGATGTGCATTATATTTTAAAGACAATGTATCTGAAATACAATTTTATTGTACAGTCAATCAAAGTTTTAATATTATTACCATTGGTCTCTGTGAGAACTAAAATTTCGAAATGCATTTGCCCTGAACCACTTTCATCCATGAATGAGTTTATTGTTTGCTTATTTATCAACCAATTTTCTTAATTTTTGTCGGCAAAAAACAAGTGAAGATGAATGCTATGTATCGGTGTTACTTATGTGTTAGTGTAACCTCTTAAAGTTAGTTTTTAATAAATTCACGATATTTTGAACAAACGGTTCTTCAAAAAAAACATTTTTGAAATTAATAAAAAGTTTCACACTTTGAATCCTATTAAGAGGTGATTTAAAGTTTTCCAGGATTTTACTTTTTGCAGGTTTGTCAAAGTCATTTCCGCATGTGATATTGGGTCAATTGGATTGACCACAAAACATGAACTACACAAATGACACCTTGAACTGTGGAATGACTATGCCAACTTATATAAAATGTCATTTACCTTTAATGAGATAACTCACCTCATAAAAGGTACAGTCCTGTGTATATATATAATTTACATCGAAAGTTTAAGGTATCTGCTGACTTTACAGTCCCAATGTAGAGTTTAGAAACATGTTCTTTTCATATATTTACTATTAATCATGACTTAAAAAATGAATAAAGAAATTTTTGAAAAGATGTTTTTGAAATAAAAGTTGTCAGCTTTTCATGTCTTAAATTCCAAGTTTCCAGCCATTTTTCAAATAAAGTTGAACTTTTTTAATCATCAAATATTTTACTATACCGTGCAAGAAAGTATTATCTTCTTACAGCAATGTAAAGATTGAACAAATGACACACTATTTCAATAATAAAATGTCATATCTGATGTGCCAATCCAATGTTTTAGCATATCGAAAATATTTTGCAACCCTAGTGACCTCATCGTGACATCATTTAGGCGGCAACATTTCTCCATGTCTATCTTTTTCTATGCTAAACTAAAAAATAAACCAATGTTGACTGTCTAACCAGGTTAATATTATAAAGGATAGTCTATAGAAGACTTTTAATTTCCCCAAAACTTTGACAATATTTGACTTCTGACAAACGGCGAATTATCGAAAACAAACGGCGATTTAGGGCGCTCGCCCCCTGCTATTGAAAGCCCAGGATGCGCCCAGGCCGACAATATGGCCCCACACTTTGCGGTCGGGACATAAAATGCGTTTAATTTAAACAATGTAAGTAGCACATATAAAGGAACAATAGAAATACACAACTTAACAACAAAATAAGGACCTGGTGATTTATGAAACATATTTTTACGTTTCTAATGTTCAGATCTAACTATACTAACTAGCCTTAAGCTGATTAGAGATGGAAATGCATGAAATACTAAACTGACGCCTTTTAAGCCAATCCAGAAAAAAACAAGTTGACTAAAGTAAATAATAGGGAGTTTAAGCTTACATATAAAATCGAAACGCCAACCTATACATATGACCAATCGACCATACAAATGCATCGCTTAAATATTTTCTGTTCACGTTTAGGTTGTGAAAAACATTGCAAGCTTAAACTCCCTGTTATATTGTTATATTTACCTCTGCACATGTAGCAAGTAAATCAACAAGGGATATCAAGGCGCTCAGATCTTTCGAATTTCCTCCAGTGAGAATGCGCATGCGCTCAGTAGTTCCCTGATCAATCATATAAGCCACTTCGCTCCTATACTGCATGAAATATTTCATTACATAGCCCTGATTCCTCTTAAGTGGCAGATTGAGTTCTTCTACCTTTACAATAGCGTTTAGGAGGTCAAGGAATTCGGGTGATGATTTCACATTAGCTGCCGCAATGGACATTATCTTCTGGACCTGGTGAGCAAGTATCTTCAAACACGTAGACTTGTTTCCTGTGAAAACCTAGAAGTGGAGACATGACCTAATATATACCATATATACGTTTCATATGTAAGACTACAATTAAGGAATTGGTGTCTTATTGCAGTTAGAACTGTAAACAAGAACAGAGTCTATAATTCTGATTGTCAAAAACCCATCGTCTCTAATTTGTGTTCCTCAAAATAAATTTGCTTTTTTGCTTTGTTCCATTACAACTTTGGTCCTTTCCCTTCGGCACTTGTGCTTAGATATTTACTTGCACCATCAAAAGGCTTTGGTTAAACTGTTCTAGTATTATCCCAATATTTCCAGATTACCGTGCATTGCTTTTAAGTACAAATGAAAAATAGAATAAAAGGAGTATTCATGTTTACCTCTGTTAGGCACTCGGCCATTTCTGACTCGGCACCCTTTACACCAAGTAGCTTGTCGAGTCTGTTGAACAGTCTATGTTGCACTACACAGTTCCCCCTGGATAGCATTTTCATCAACTTAAACGTCTTTTTGAAGATATTTTTCAAGCCAGCATATTGGTCCTAAAAAATACAACATAATTATTCGAAATATTTTGGTACGGCAAGAGTGAACGATTTGTAAGGTTGAAAAGGAAAAACAAACTCCAGTGATAATGTAATGAAACACTTATTATTGATATAAAAGTTATGATTAAATTTAATGGCATTCAGAAAATACACATGACGTTGAGAAATGTGGTGAAGATTAATGGTTGATTGTCTATGAATATATATTAATTTGACATTGTTGATATATCAAACAATAAAAGTTCAAAGCAAAGGCACACACAGATCACATTCTGACATACCCATATAAAAGCGCCGTCTGAAATGATTATTATGAACTTTTTGAATTTCTTCACTGCCATGTGTATCTTATTATAATACACTAATGGCAATATTACATGAAAACATATCGAGTGGAAAGGGCAAATAATAAAAATCAAACTATAAACAATAGGCACGTGAGAGATGTAATCTAAAAGAAAATTACAATTCTAAGGGTAATGAGAAAATAATTGCATAAAAAGATGAAAACGCGTGTACCGATAGTACAATAACGTCATTTCTGCGGTCAATATAGTGAAATATTGGACCGAGGGCTATATTGCCCGCAGAAATGACGTTATTAGTATTATTACCACCGTTAATGACCAGGACTGAAACCGCAAGAAAATCTTACGCACTGAACGATATCTAATTTCCCGGGGAAAATTGCCGGTTATTAACCGGCTATATTGACCGCCACTATGACGTCAAATATTGCTCAGGTCGATATAGTAAAATTAATGCCTTCTAAACTAGCATTAAAACCCCTAGAACTGGCCCGGCAAGTTGGTAATAATAGTAAATACCCAAGGTTTGGAAACACACTATGTTCAATATTGAATATATATTCCAACACAGCTCTAGAAATTATTAGAATGGTAACTACAAAACATGAATGTTCTATAATGGTAAATAAGAAAAACGTATAACCACTATTAGATTGGAAAGTTCAACTGTCATGATGTTAAAAATCATCGTTATTCTAATGCACTGTCCAACATCCCTTCTAACCCTTAACACGCACGGTGATCGTACAAAATGGATGGAGGGGCGGATTAGGCAATTTCTGCAAGAAAACTCAACAAATTTGGAAGATTTAGTTTTTCAAGAGAAAATGTACAGCTAAATTGCCAAATGAATAGGCGCAGTGCATCGCAAAATATGTTGGTCATCTAGTATTTTTTGAACTGATACCCTTCTAAGATATGAGATCAATTAAAAATGGCGCATCATCACCAACGTGCAAAAGTCAATGTTTTTGCTAATATTGGATGGAGGGGGGAGTGGATGGAGGGGGGATTTATATGTCTTTACGATAGAACAAATTCACAAGAACTCGTGTATTTAAAAATCTAAACTCAGTACCCCAGTAAGAAACTGGACATATATCTCTTGAGAATGAAAAATTGGAAAATTTGGAGTCATAAAAATAAATTCAAGTAGCATGTCTTATCATGTCTTATATACACGTTATCCCCCCTCCATCCAATATTAATTTTTTTCGATTATTTTTTGTATAATGCATGGAAACTAACTTTAAAAAGTGAGCAATGTCATTAGTATTGTGATAATAACGTGTACCTATTTATTAGTTCAAAAAATACTAGATGACCTAACATATTTTGCCATGCACTGCGCCTATTCATTTGGCAATTCAGTTGTAAATTTTCTCTTGAAAAATAAATCTTCCATATTTGTTGAGTTTTCTTGCAGAAATCGCTTCGTCCCCCCCCCCCCTCCATCCATTTTGTACGATCACCGGGCGTGCTTAACATACATAATCATTATCACAACCAAAGAATCACGAGTCAATCATACGGAAGTTATTACAATACATGTTAAAGCTACAGTGTCCTATATATGTTGTAAACAATATAATAAAGTATAATCTGCTCTAATTGCACACTTTGGCTCTTACCGTATCCTATGTTAAGATTAATAAGATTAATATTATATAGGTCAGATTAGCAAATCATTGGCTACATTAGTTGAATGTAAAACAAGTTAAAGTCATTGGCTACATGAGTTGAATTTTAAACAAGTTAATGTAATGACAACATAAGTTGATTGTTAAACAAGTCAAAGTCATTGGAGTTGAATGTTAAATGTGTCAAAGTCATTGGCAACATAAGTTGAATGTTAAATGTGTCAAAGTCATTGGATACGTGAGTTGAATGTAAACTATTCAAATTCATTGGCTACGTGAGTTGAATTTTAAACAAGTCAAAGTCATTGGCTACGTGAGTTGAATTTTAAACAAGTCAAAGTCATTGGCCACGTGAGTTGAATGTAAACAAGTCAAAGTCATTGGCTACGTGAGTTGAATGTAAACAATTCAAATTCATTGGCTACGTGAGTTGAATTTTAAACAAGTCAAAGTCATTGGCTACGTGAGTTGAATGTAAACAAGTCAAAGTCAATGGCTACGTGAGTTGAATGTAAACAAGTCAAAGTCATTGGCTACGTGAGTTGAATGTAAACAAGTCAAAGTCATTGGCTACGTGAGTTGAATGTAAACAATTCAAAGTCATTGGCTACGTGAGTTGAATGTTAAACAAGTCAAAATCATTGGCAACATGAGTTGAATTTTAAACAAGTTAATGTAATGGCAACATAAGTTGATTGTTAAACAAGTCAAAGTCATTGGCTACGTGAATTGAATGTTAAATGTGTCAAAGTCATTGGCAACATGAGTTGAATGTTAAACATTTCAAAGTCATCGGCTACGTGAGTTGAATGTTAAATGTGTCAAAGTCATTGGCTACGTGAGTTGAATGTAAACAATTCAAAGTCATTGACAACATTAGTTGAATGTTAAACAAGTCAATGTGATTCTACATGAATTGGATGTTATGAAACTTAAAAAGATCGATGCAAAGTAATTCGGTACATAAGTTGAATGTTGATAAAATCAATTAGTTCGATGCAAGAGGATTTGCTACATGAGTAAGAAGATCAAATAGATCAATGCAAAGTGATAGGCTAAATGAATTAAATGTTAAACAAGTATACTAGAATGACTACAATGTATACCAGATTAGTGTTATCTGCATCGGATATATCAATCAAAAAAAATTGTTGATCTTGGTATATTTTTATCAATATAAGAAGATCCAAATACACATTTACAATAAAGATATACAGAATTCAATAGTATGTATTATATTAAAGCCTAAACTATCTGACTTTACCAAACTGAAATGTTATGGAATTTAAAAAAAACGAAACTGTATTAATGTTTTTATATATGTTTATAACTATTTAAGCGAAATGGTCTTAGTTAGAAACATAAATGTGATGGAACTTCAGACAAATCTAGGTACATTTAGACAGTTTCAGGAATATATTAGCCTTTTGTCCATGTGACTAGTGAAACAAACAATATTATCCATGCTAAACTGCATGCTACATGATTGTACTATACGAACATTCACAGATAGAGGCTCAGTAATTTTTACACTATACATTAAACCAATTATACTGCTTTTTCAAAATCAAATAACTTGACTACGTACCAGGAGTCTCACGTCTATTTCTTGTGACAGAATGTTAAAGCAATCTGCGACGACTTCATGATTGTATAGGATATTCTGATTCATTGGGTGTCTCTCTTCTGGCTCGTTTTCCAAGTGACAAAATCTGGAACATGAATGGGAAGAACGCAAATATAATGTGTGAAATATTTATTCAATCAATGGCAAAGGATGCCCTTTAAGTCTGCGTACTGTTGAACATACCGCTACGTTTAAGTTTCTGGGACGTCAGTAATCTATTTTGACTTATTTTTGGCACCTTATCGAGCTACTCAAAACTCTGTTGTGCTCTGCGTGTTGTATCTTACCCTATCATCTTATCGAGAATGTTACTCATCATATTCGTCTGTTCTTGGTTCATCTTAGATGTAGCGAGTCTCCTCATACCTGGCAGCATTGCACGCAATTTGTGAAGAACCTCACACGATTTGTCAGTTATCAGAATCTGAAATATAACAATATATATTGTAGCAATTCTAATATTTTATCCCTCTGAGTTTTTTGTTTTTAAATTTGAAACTGTATATGAAAATGATTCCAAAAATGATTATGTAATAATCAATGAACATTCTTTTAATCATGGAATGTGACAGTTGTTTTACCAAAGCTTTATACTGAGTGAATCTCTAGTTTTACCTCAGCTTGCACGGCTCTCTTGAATAAATAGTCATGAGCCGAGTAGTAGCGATTAAGAAGCTGCATTGACTGGGTGACCATCTTATCATATTCATAATGCGACAGGTCTAGTAATATGTCCACCAAAGCGAAGCCTTTGAAATAGGATGACTCCGTGAACATCTCATTTAAAACTCTCATTGCGCAACTATTGACGCTAAAAAACAAGAACATGGATATGGTTTTATTGGCTATGTTTGAAAAGTTGTAATATACAATGATTCTTAGGATATTATGATATTTCATCTTTAGCTATGGTTAATTCATGACATTTTCTAAATATTATCATACTGGCAGTACACATTATACCTGCTGCTTTCCTCTAGCTGGAACGTTTCGTAGAGAAGTGATCCTAACTCTGATCCATGAGATGACTTGGTGTATGGACTTGTACTCATTTGGTGAATGGATTTGAATTCACTGACAAATCTCTCCAATCGCGTATTGAACCGAAAGTTAAAGAACAAGTCAAGCACTTCCATTGCCCTATGCGAAATGAAATTAATATGAAATATTATGTTTCAAAAGTGTTCCTTGTATAGATATATGATCATTTAGCGCTAAAATATCTCAATTTACTAACCTGAAATAGCTTATCGAGCTTTCGACAATACGTTTTTCAAGATGCCTGAATTTGGTGAGAAACTGTTATATTTGACCTTGACTTGATCTTGACCTAGCAACCTCAAGCAGACCTGGGGAAACAGTGTGTCTTACGTCTCTATTTAGTTCAGGTTTGACTTTACGAATATGGTTAGCTTCCTTAATCTTCCTAATTATTTGGACTCTGAGTCAATGATTTTGTAATCCCAGTGTATCTTTCAACAAAGAAAGGAATTGCCAATACTTTACATAGGAAAGACAGGTAGAGCTAAGGGAAGTAGAATAAGAGAACATAGGGATACCTTAAGAATAAACCTAAGACAAGTCTGCAATCGCTCAACATTCGTTTGATGAAGCACATAAGATATACTGAGATTACAAAATCATTGACTCAGTCCGAATGTTTTGATAGAAAGATCAAGGAAGAAGAAGTACAAAAATGATGAAGTACATAAAATATACTGAGATTACAAACTCAAGAATTAACCGAGACAAGTCTGCAATCGCTAAACATTCATTTGATGAAACACATAAGTTACTATGGGATTACAAAATCATTGACTCAGTCGGAATGTTTTGATAGGAAGATCAAGGAAGCTATCCATATTCATAAAGTCAAACCTGAATTCAACAGAGACATATGTTACATTTGGTTTCCCCGGGGTTGGCGGTTGCAAGGTCAAAGATCAAGTTTTGTATTGTATTGTCAATGTCAAATCTACCAGTATCCTGCCAAGTTCAGACATCTTGAAAAAGGCAACAAGTATTATCGAAGGCTCAACAATTATGCTATTTCAGATCAGTGAATTGAGGAATCTTAAATTCTAAATCAAAGTTTGTGTTTCTATGTAACTGCCTTTTATACATTGCTAAATATGTTTATAAATATTAATTCAAAAAATCAACAATTTCACAAGGCACGTGACATTTTTCATTTAAGTTCTCGTCATGTTGGGAATTAATACTGAGCTCCATATATTGTATTAGGAATATTCAACCTACTGATGCTTTGCATCTACAATTGCCTTTGTTTCGGGACTCTGCCTAAATCTTCCAACCTTTCTGTAGTGAGAAAGGACATTTTCCGAGACACCTGTAAGTATGAACAATCTTATACATTTGCATTAATAACAATATGTCTTACTGGGGAGTAATATTTACCAATATGTATTATAAGATATATGTATTAGTACCACAGTAACACTATGTTTAGTATATAATAGTATTTGTATCAGTATTTTTATTGTTAAATTAATGTATCCGTGTACCTGAAACGACAGGGTATGGTTTGTCGTTACGACCATCAAGTAGGCTGAGTAAAGGTCCGAGTAGTTTCTTAATATCATCAGTCTGGCCATAGTAACCATACTTTACGAGGTAATGAACCAGCCGCAATACCTGAAAATATATAATTGTTGTCCCTGGGTCTGTATAATATGCTGTGATATCTAATTACCACATAGCCAACAGTGTGTTCTATATTCAGGAAAGCCTTGTAATTGCTATAAAAAGGTAACAACTTAGTAATTGTATCAAAGAATAACAGTCAAAAGGTTTTAATATTATGTGAAGGCTTTGCAAAATGCACTTTAAATTTGTGAATTATTAAAGAGAAGGGAAACATTTCCATAAAAAGACAAACCTCTATATATGGTCATCTATAAATTATGTTGTATTTATTCCTTTTTATTTTTGAGGCATACATACCTGTTCGACGAGCATGTTGTGACCAATCAGAGATGCCGTCATATCCTTGTTCTCTTCTAAGAACACCTCGATCCAATCACGAAGTTGTGGGAAATATTTAGTGGTTGCTGATGATCTTGGTGTCATCTATAATTGAAAATGTATGGATTATATGCGTTTTACTTAATTTGTCTATTTTTTACATGCATACTCTTAAACGAGTTTCAAAAGGGCAAACTCATTTGAGGAGGAAAAACGTTTGACATGTTTTGAGTATATATAGTATATCACGAGTTTTAATTATTTTGCAAATTGCACCTACCCCTTCCTTGTCTTTGTTTTCTTTAATCGTGTCAGAGTTACCCAAACCTATGTCATCATAGACAAAGGTGAGGTTAATACGATCCAATACAGATGTGTTCTCACCAACGTCAACAAAGAGACCTGAGTAGAAAAGAACGACGGTTAATTTAACCACAAGTAGCAAACAATAACATATATTTGCATCTCAATTGCATCTTAATTACAAATTCGTATCAATAGAGTTTGATCATAAGTTTCACCTGCAATTAAGTATTCGTACCTGGTATTGTAACTACAAACCATATATGTATTTTACGAATCTAAATACAATCGTTTAATTAAATATAAACTTTAAAGATACAAAATCAAACTATCTAGTAAATAACGTGGACAATATATGAGAAATGGGTTGATGACACCTACTGATGATGAGATGGCAATACTTTGCCCTGAGTTGATCTGGTAGCTGCTTATTGGTTAGACAGAGGAATGCCTCTTGCCATGTCAGATAGCCAAGTTCCTGTGTTATTACATTGATGGCAAATTCATTGCGTCCCTGGAATTAAAATTTGCTTAACAATCGAAATACATTTACTGCCATCAATAAAACCACTGATATGTCATTCTTAGCCTCTAACTACTATATATGCACATTTTATCTGAAAGTTGATTTGGCTTGGCTTTTTGTCATAACGTAGTTCCAGTTTAGCCTAGAACCCTTGATTTTCAGACTTTTTTCAAAGTTGTAATGATTCCTCAAGTAAATGGTACAAAAACATATCTAAAAGTCGCAATAATAATAAAATGTTGTTCTAAGTTTCATAAGACTACCGAGGTTACCAATAACAAACAATGATATACTGGTGAGAATTGAGAAAAATTATGTCCAAATAATGAAAAATAAAGAATTAATTTTACCTAAAATTATAAAAAAACACAAATTCTTTACAATTGCAATAGCTGATTTTGGCGGTCACATATCTTATGTCTTGTGTTATGCTAAAATAACTAAAACATATGTGAGTGTTCCATTTTTATGTGACCGTACATATATATACATGTTGAACTATGGAACATTTATAAGAGTCTAGGTATAGATATAGTTATACGCATATTTTGATCTACTTTGTGGTCAACATGATGCAATAACTCATTTATGCTTTAATATTTGATGATCATCGGATCCAAAGTTTTAACATGCAATTACTTACATAGCAGAGTTTTCCAAAGAGGTCCAACTGATGATCAAGAAAGAGGAACTCCTCATCTATTTCCAACTTTTTCTAAAAAATATAAAAAGATATTAGTTTATATAATATATTTGTTAGTATGCACAGTGAAAATATATACATGTACGAAATGATTTAAATCAAAATTTTAACTTATCATCTCGACTTGATTGTAGTGTATTGTAACATCAATTTTATTGAATAAATAGTATATAAATTCAAATTGCTATGAATGTTAATGTGCTTATTGTTACGAAATGTCATCAAAATGCAATAAATAACAACATTTAAATAAGATATAATTGATGGTGATATACTACTGAGGGACAAAGCACACACCATTCCTCATCACTGATCATCACATTTCATCAACTTAATTATATATACAAGGTTCATTCCAATTCATATGATTGGCAACTGGAATTCTCCATTTGATACCAAATCGAAGCATGACATTGTTTGGATCTTAATCGATTTCTTAATTTACAATATTTCGGCAATTGTGTTACAAAAAAAATCTTTTTAAATCACCGAACATAAAAATAATTGCCAAGTGAATGGAGGGAGTTTAATTTATTCTTGTGTACATGTTACATATGTGTGCTAAACCCTAATCAAAACAAGAACTTATAATTGCCTTATAGATGAAATGAATATATACATTATACACGCACATACATATATTATAATAGATTGCAAATCCTAGTCTGAGTACGTTTGAAAACACGTCTACGTATGTATATGTAAATAAGCTTGGTGGAGAGCGATGTGAGTTCAAATGAAGATAATTAAATACAGTTTGTTTTATCGTAAGTCCTGGGTGGTTAAAGATGCAAAACTGAATCAAACGTGACATACAAAATCTATATAGCAACGCATTTACTGAATTTTATTTGTTTTATTGTCATGCTTTTACTTTTGTTATTATTCTTCTCCAGGCAGTCCTTTGTTTCTATGCGTGGAGAAATGAAAATAGTCAACATATTGTATACAATAATATACATATATATTATTTATATATGTAGATAAAATGAAATGAAAACATGAACGTTTACAAACTTAAAATGCAAATCGGATAACATGGATAATTGATATCCTCTCTTACCCTGTCATTGCAGAACGAAAATCAACATACACGTACACTCATTGTTGATCAACGAACGTTGTGATTGACAAGACTATTTACACGTGTTTTACACCATTGTCTGGTATGAATAGTGTGATGGGAATTGAGAGGAAAGACTATTCTAAGATTGAAAATATGTAACATTGCATTACAACAGAAGAAAATAAAACATCAAAAGGAAAAGCAATATTTACAAAGGATTTCACAATACCAGGGGATAAAACGTTTTATTTTCTTATTTCCAAAATATATCGGGCTATGATACAGATGTTGACGATTTTCATCTTGCTTAAAACATGGAATAGTAGGTATATAAATAAATTCATCAAAATGTATTGTGAAATCCATTTGTATTTGCTGTAAGGCTGACTACTTGGAGACATAAGGCCTTATCTATGATAGCAACTGGATGCATACAGTCAGAGGAGGTAGTTGATTTTTCTTCGTCATCTTTTGATCAGTTTTAGTATCCGCTTTCTCTTCAGTTAGTCCCCTCTTGAACACTTCATACTGCACGGAAGCAATAATTGAAAACGTGTTTGAAATAATTGAATGACGTGTGAACCATACTTTGTCAAATTGAATGGTGTTGGTAAAAAATCAATGCGTTCATATAAGTGCAACTAATGTTATTAATATTACAATGTTCTTCAGCAAAAAAGAAAACATCTAAGTGAACACAGGTCATAAGGAAAACAAACCACACGTATCCCTAACCATAATCCAACGTGAAGAGAAACAATGTCTTATACCCTCCATCCCCGCCATTCAATTGTTCCATTATAACATCCAGGACCATATAATGCCTTGGTCACATTTGCTCCGATTTTCATTACGGCGCCCGACCGATTGAGTATTTTGATCAAAATTGAATACAATATCGAACAAAATACTCAATCGGCCGAGCGCCGGCCGATGGATCGGAGCAAATGTGACCCAGGCATAACCAAGGGATATATCATTCATACAGAGGACATTCCAAAATATGTTGACGAATAAATTTTAATTGATAAACCGATACTAATGACATGTAAAGTAGTTGAAGATACAACTATTCATACGATATACGGCATTAGGTGTCTAATATTGCGTGATAGACAAAATCCAGTCACGAAGTTCATACACTTATCGAGGTTAAACATCTGTTCCCAAAGCCGACGTCATATTTCATTTAGAAAAACAATATTATTTCACCATGGTCATCAGGAGAAAAGTATGGCAGGTTTCGATCCGTATTTCTCAATCACTAATGTCATAACCTGATTCCACCAAAGGAGAAATAATGAAAAAATTAGGAGAAATTCTATAAATATAAACAATTTAATACTGCAACGTAATTATACAAATTATAAAGTAAAATCGTTAATGACAAGAAAATACCATTGGGGAAAACAAAGTACGCTCGTGATAAATCCAACTCGGCTGTTTCTCCGTTGACTTTTAATTTAAGGTGGATCAGCTAAACGCAGCATGAGAGGGTCACGCCAAACAACACATTAAACTATGTAAGATAATGGGCTCAAACGCTACAGCACTAACGGTTGACAGAAGGATGGGAATACAGTTTGTCATTGTACATGATTATTTATTAACTTTTAATTTCAGTGGTATAAGCATCGTCGACATTATATAAAAACTATTATTTGGATATTAAAGGATATGCTAATGATTAAGAGCTATCATTTAACAATTATTTGTTATCTAAAACCAACTTTTCCGAAATACATGTATGTTTAAACATTTGTGTTAATGATTGGAACAAGTGGCTTTTATTGCTTCAATCCAGGCATTAACGGTTTAAAAAAACACCATATAAAGATATAAAGTGGATAATTACCTGATGGACAAAGTCGTGTAAGGCAATCCATGTTCTCTTGTTGTCACATGAGACGTACACAACATTTGAATCCTTCTCTATAGCTTGGCCTAGTTCAGTGTAAAATACGCAGTTCTACAACATTCAAAATATCTTTTAAAAAACTTAATGTCAGTTTCAATTTTCTATTTTTTCTATCTGGCCTTTTTATAGCTCGACAGCTTTAAGCATGGATAATACAAATGAGCATTTCTTAATATGGTCATGGACTGAAATTACCAACATATACAAGGGGCGATCCATATATTCTGATAAAAATGCTCTCATTTTGTGATTTTTTTCACATATCCCTCTCATTTTTTCAGAACTTGAAGATTATGTAATTACACATACAATGCTAAAATATTATAGCTATATCTTATTTTTAAGATAAGGTTGCCATGGTAACTTGTATTTAGGGTAGGCAGGTCAGTTAAATTATAACGTATAAAATAGATAAATTTGTTAATTTAATCATTCCTCGGTACCTATTTCAAGCAGATCAAACGCATATCCAGGTCATTGCCAACTATTCCTTGAACTGCTGTATACCCCTGTTGCCCTTGTTTGCTATTTCCACAGTGGAGTAGTTCTTTTTTCATAAATTGCATCTCAAATTATCGTAGTGTTATTCTCTGTCCGCAAGCTCTTCTTACAACCAGATTGGGAATGATATTCAACAGTGACTAGCCTTCCTCAAATTTACAATACTACCTAGAGATCCTTAGAGCAGATATAACACCTTGTTGACATACACTATACGAGTCCATGTATGTCTCTGGCAGTGTCCTCTTACTTATTCTTGATAGTACATAAAATCTAATGGTACTCCTAATGTATCTGTTAATGTCACACTCTGCAACAGCCGCACTAACCTCATCTGATCTGTCATTTTGAATATTTGGTGTGTCTCATGACATGTAATTCCAATTTGCCCATCCTGTCATACATTGCTATTGTGAGTTGTTGTGATGTTATAGTGATCACAAATAAACATTTGTTTAGCAACAAACAACAAGAAACAAAACCAATTTTTTTTAAAAATGTATGATTTTCGCATGCTTTAAAATAATTAAAATAACAAGTTGTATTATGATATTTTATACGTTATAATTTAATTGACCTGCCTACCCTTAATACAGGTTACCATGGTAACCCTATCTCTTAATCAATTTAAGATGTAGCTATAATATTTGAGCATTGTATGTGTAATTACATAATCTACATTTTCTGAAAATATGATATGGATATGTGAAAAAATAGCAAAATGAGAGCATTTTTATCAGAATATATGGATCGCCCCTTGTATATGTTGGTAATTTCAGTCCATGACCATATTAAGAAATGCTCATTTGTATTATCCATGCTTAAAGCTGTCGAGCTATAAAAAGGCCAGATAGAAAAAATAGAAAATTGAAATTGGATCGCCCCTTGTATAGCGTTAAGTAAAGTTTGCACACTAATGACTTATAATACTAGAAGCTATTCATGTGTACAGTGTACAGTGTGTTAAAGTGTACAGACATGTTCTTTGGTTTGTACTCATCATGTCACATGCATAATACATACTATTTTACCCCTTATAGATTTACATTTCCTTAAACATTTTCAAGAAAGATTGTGGATTTTGCAATTTAAAAACTATGAAGTTTGCGAGGATTTTGCATTAAAAATTGAGATTTGCAAAAAGAACTAGCATTCAAGAAGGTAATGAAATAGTTTGTTTTTTATGTATGTTTGTATGTTTTGCATATTACTATTGCAACATACCCGCTGTCCTTTTGTGAGCCATATTTCCACAATATATTTCTGATTGTCTGGAATTGAGACACCATCACATACACAGAGCACGCTCAGCAAATCGAGGTATCGGAAATTCTACAATAAAATCACATAGACATGGTAATATTATAAGTCATACAGGGACACGAAGACCATTTTTTAATTTCATAAAACATTTCTGATTGGATACCTTTTTGATGTTAATATGAGTCACATATGAACAATGTAACATATGGACAATGTGGGAGTATGAATCACATATGAACAATTTGGGACTATGAATCACATATGAACAACGTTGGACTATGAATCACATATGAACAATGTAACATATGAACAATGTGGGACTGTGAATCACATATGAACAGTGTGGGACTTTGAATCACATATGAACAAAGTGGGACTACAAGTCTAACATGAACAATATGGGACTGTGAATCAATTATGAACAAAACAAACTATAAAGCATATATGGAGCAATAGAGGAAATTATTCACCTTGTTTCTTTGAAGAAGTTCTACAAAGCTGTCGATGTGAGCATGTGTTATTCGATCAACTATCTTTCTGTTATCCTTTACCAGTTCCATCACCATATGGGCTGCATTGAGACCAATATCGCCCTAAACAGTAAAACAAAACAAAAACTCTCTGTATTGCAACTCTAAATGCAATAAGCGTGAATTGTAGAATGTATTGCAACTCTAGAATGTATCTTTACTAATAAAATATCAACATAAAACATGGTAAATATAACATTGACTGTTATATCAAACTGATTTAGGCACCAAAACATTTATGAATTGGTTTAAGGCACCTTATCAAAGAATAAATGGTTAATGGTGTATATTACTCTTCTACCAATAGCAATAAACGTAAAAGCATGATTTTATGCCTTTTTACAAACATGTATCCAAATAAGCAGAATGGTACAGTGTGTTGACACGCTTTCTACCAATAGAAATAAATGTAAAAGCATGAATTCATGCCTTTTAAAACATGTATCTAAATAAGCAGAATCGTACAGTAAATGTACATCGACACGCTTTCTACAAATAGCAATACATGCGTAAGCATTGCTTTACGCCCCTTTACAAACACATATCGGACAACCAGAATGGTACAGTATGTTCACACGCTATCTACCAAGAGCAATATATGTATTGCTTTACGCCTTTTTACAAACAAGTATCTTACGGGCAGAATTGTCCAGTGCATGTATATTCACACGCTATCTACAAATATGTATAAGCATGAATTTATGTCTTTATACATGTATCAAGCAGAATGGTACAGTATGTTCACACGCTATCCACTAATAGCAATAAATGTATGAGCATTGCTTCATGCCTTTTTACAAACATGTATCAAACAAACAGAATGGTAAGTACAGGGTGTTCAAAAAAACGCAACCCAAAGAAATCACTATATCTTGGAAAATACTAATCCAATTATGTTCATATTTTCAGGAAAGAAAGAAGAGACTGTGTATGTATAGCCTCTGTTGTTAGTTAGTTGTAAAACATGATATCTTGGACACTTGCTAAAAAGACAATTATACTAGCAAAATACGAAAACCATGAATGGAAAATCACTATATCTTGGAAAATACTAATTCAATTATGTTCATTTTTTCAGGAAAAGAAAGAAGAGACTGTGTATGTATAGCTCTTGTTGTCAGTAAGTTGTAAAACATGATGTCTTGGACACCTGCTCAAATGACAGATGTACTAGGGAAATATGGAAATGCAGTCAGAGGTGACTGCCTCAGCAATAAAACCAAATAACTTTCTAACCATGGGTAACCATTATCCTCATTCAATGTTTGATGAATTTGTGGAGTTTCATCAAAATCACTTCAGGGACTTTACAGGCATGGTCAAAATGGCTTCTTCAGTCTCCCTGAACCAGGGCGTTTGACTGCGATTTGAAAGCATTTCAACCATAACTGTAAAGTCCCTGGAGTGATTTTGATTTCACTCTACAGATTTACCATGAATGAAGATGATTTGTGCCAAATTTGAAGAGCCAAAACACTATGGTTGGGAAGTTATTTAATTTTTTTGCGGTTTCGGTCACCCCTGACTGTGTTTTTCGTATTTTCCTAGTACAACTGTCTTTTGAGCAATTGTCCAAGGCATCATGTTTTACAACTAACCATTTACAGGAGTTGTAAATACACAGTCTCTTCTTTATTTCCTGAAAATACGAAAATAATTGAACCAGTATATTGCGGTTTTTTTAACACCCTGTATGTTCACACGCTATCTACCAATATGTATAAGCATGAATTTATGTCTTTATACAAACATGTATCAAATAAGCAGAATGGTAAAGTATGTTCACACGCTATCTACCAATATGTATAAGGATGAATTTATGTCTTTATACAAACATGTATCAAATAAGCAGAATGGTACAATATGTTCACACGCTATCTACTAATAGCAATAAATGTATAAGCATTGCGTCATGCCTTTTTACAAACATGTATCAAATAAACAGAATGGTAAGTATGTTCACACGCTATCTACCAATATGTATAAGCATGAATTTTCGTCTTTATACATAACATGTATCAAATAAAATGAATGGTAAGTATGTTCACACGCTATCTACCAATATGTATAATAGGCATGAATTTATGTCTTTATACATAAAATGTATCAAATAAAATGAATGGTAAGTATATTCATACGCTATCTACCAATATGTATAATAGGCATGAATTTATGTCTTATACATAAAATGTATCAAATAAAATGAATGGTAAGTATGTTCACACGCTATCTACCAATATGTATAATAGGCATGAATTTATGTCTTTATACATAATATGTATCAAATAAACAGAATGGTAAGTATGTTCACACGCTATCTACCAATATGTATAAGCATGAATTTATATCTTTATACATAATATGTATCAAATAAACAGAATGGTAAGTATGTTCACACGCTATCTACCAATATGTATAATAGGCATGAATTTATGTCTTTATACATAATATGTATCAAATAAACAGAATGGTAAGTATGTTCACACGCTACCAATATGTATAAGCATGAATTTATGTCTTTATACATAATATGTATCAAATAAGCGGAATGGTAAGTATGTTCACACGCTATCTACCAATATGTATAATAGGCATGAATTTACGTATTTATACATAATATGTATCAAATAAACAGAATGGTAAGTATGTTCACACGCTATCTACCAATATGTATAAGCATGAATTTATATCTTTATACATAATATGTATCAAATAAACAGAATGGTAAGTATGTTCACACGCTATCTACCAATATGTATAATAGGCATGAATTTATGTCTTTATACATAATATGTATCAAATAAGCGGAATGGTAAGTATGTTCATACGCTATCTACCAATATGTATAATAGGCATGAATTTATGTCTTTATACATAATATGTATCAAATAAACAGAATGGTAAGTATGTTCACACGCTATCTACCAATATGTATAAGCATGAATTTATGTCTTTATACATAATATGTATCAAATAAGCGGAATGGTAAGTATGTTCACACGCTATCTACAAATATGTATAAGCATGAATTTATGTCTTTATACATAACATGTATCAAATAAACAGAATGGTAAGTATGTTCACACGCTATCTACCAATATGTATAATAGGCATGAATTTACGTCTTTATACATAATATGTATCAAATAAACAGAATGGTAAGTATGTTCACACGCTATCTACCAATATGTATAAGCATGAATTTATATCTTTATACATAATATGTATCAAATAAGCGGAATGGTACAGTGTGTTAACAAGCTATCTACCATACAGGTATAACAATACAGGTGAAAGCATTGCTTGATGTAGTGACAATAGCAATATATGTATAAGCATTTATCATCAGCGATACATTGTATCAACCACGGGACACACTATCTACCAACAATTATATATTGTACCGACCATGGCAAACGCGTTCATGATTTCCGTGTGGCAGCGTTTCAATAGCGATCACTAGTCGCATATCTTTGCTACAGCCAATTTGTTCTAAATTAACTATTTGCCTTGATTGGAACAAAAAGTTTTCCTACGTATGATAAATACCGGATTGAGGGAATCTGGATCAGATGGTTGTTTCCTCCAAGAGTTATCCAGAGCCTTTATTATAAGAATAGAATCGTTAACATGATGAAACAAGTTATACTCTCCACCATAAGTTTGGCAATGGAGAGCTAGCATTGGATAGCATATCGAATCCTGTCGATGTTTATATATTAATTGTCTTTCTGGATTATAATAGTTTGGACTTACATGCAATATAATTTGATTCCAAACGCCAAAAACATAAACAGGCTTCAATCAGTAATCATCAGGGACTTCCTCTTTCCCAACTTATACAGAAGAGTGAAAAGAAGAGTGAAGATATAATAGCATAAACTAGCATAAGAGAATAGTTTGTCAATTTCAGAATGATACAAGTAGACAGTCATGCTATAGACTAAAATATAGTTTTAGAGTAAACTAAAAAAAGAAAATATTTTTAGGATAATACAAATACATCTGCACATTGCAAACATATTGTAGAGAAATGCTGAATTTTAGCAAGAGATTCCAGTCAAATAGTTATAACCAGAAAAGTAGGGAGAAGATTAACACCAGGTACAAATGTTACACTTACAATGATATTAATGCGCGTAGTCTGTTTCTATTTAAAGGAAAAACGTATTAAAACATGAAAACAATTCATTCCAGAAAAGCTTTCCGAATATAAGAATACATACTTATTGTATAACATTTAGAAGTTAAGAAATCAAAAAAGGATATAAAATGACATGCTATGACATTATACATAATCATAAATAAAGAATACATGCTGTGATGCGTAAGTGACCAATGGATTATTTCAGAATGACATTTAGTTCAAAATTTACCTCGTACGATATCTGGGATTGGAAGAACTCAATATGTTTAGCGATGTACAATTCATTCTTCCTGCTGTCACCCATTAGATATGTGTATAATACGTCATAGCCTTCCACGAAGATCTTTGTCAGGTGCCTGAAAGGTAAATTAAGCTTAGTAATGTACAGTTCATTCTTCTGGCTGTCACCCATTAGATATGTGTATAATACGTCATAGCCTTCCACGAAGATCTTTGTCAGGTGCCTGAAAGGTAAATTAAGCTTAGTAATGTACAGTTCATTCTTCTGGCTGTCACCCATTAGATATGTGTATAATACGTCATAGCCTTCCACCAAGTTCTTTGTCAGGTGCCTGAAAGGTAAATTAAGCTTAGTAATGTACAGTTCATTCTTCTGGCTGTCACCCATTAGATATGTGTATAATACGTCATAGCCTTCCACGAAGATCTTTGTCAGGTGCCTGAAAGGTAAATTAAGCTTAGTAATGTACAGTTCATTCTTCTGGCTGTCACCCATTAGATATGTGTATAATACGTCATAGCCTTCCACCAAGTTCTTTGTCAGGTGCCTGAAAGGTAAATTAAGCTTAGGAATGTACAGTTCATTCTTCTGGCTGTCACCCATTAGATATGTGTAAAATACGTCATAGCCTTCCACCAAGTTCTTTGTCAGGTGCCTGAAAGGTAAATTAAGCTTAGTAATGTACAGTTCATTCTTCTGGCTGTCACCCATTAGATATGTGTATAATACGTCATAGCCTTCCACCAAGTTCTTTGTCAGGTGCCTGAAAGGTAAATTAAGCTTAGTAATGTACAGTTCATTCTTCTGGCTGTCACCCATTAGATATGTGTATAATAGTACAATAACGTCATTTCTGTGCAGAAATGACGTCATTTATGCGCAGAAATGACGTTATTAGTTTTATTACCACCGTTAACGACCAGGAATGAAACAGAAAGAAAACCTTACGCATCTGAACGATATCTAGAAAATTGCCGGTCGTTAAATCCATTCTCGACAGGTCTGAAATGCCTTCTTGACCGCCACTATGACGTCACATATTGCTCAGGTCGATATAGTAAAATGAACGCCTTCTAAACTAGCACTAAAACCCCTAGAACTGGCCCGGCAAGGTGGTAAAAATACGTCATAACCTTCCACGAATTCGAAGATCTTTGTCAGGTGTCTTTTGTGATCTTATATGACCGTTGACCCCCAGTTTTACTCTTCAGGTTTGATATGAACTCTTTGCAATTTGTAAATGATTTTGAAGAATGTTTAATTATAAGATAGTAAACATAACATTTGGACCATTTTCTTGACAAAACGTACAAGGTAAAAAAGAACTTTATTTAACCTTGTTCAACATAATGATAAAGGTATGCGCCTCTGAGCTAGTGTGATTGAAATAAAACTATAGTTTTAATCTTACTCGCACTGTACAGAAAATGTTTCACAAATTGAAAACTGAAAGATATAATTCTAGATCTGCATTCTAACGTGTGCGCAAAATGCTAGCAATTCACTGAATGACGCATGTGGGCTGCATTAATTGATTGCTATTTACTAGAATCACTTCTTGACTTATAGATTATGATCTACTCGTCAACGTGGAAATGTTTTTGTGTTCTGTTACAATATAGCTGGACCGTTCCATTTGTTCCATTGATTTGTTGTATTGACTTCAGAATGTCCATTGGTGTTGTTTACTTGGGTTGTGATAATGTTGATGTGTTCCGTTATGCAATGGTGGACCTTACATTTGTATTGACTTCAGAATGTCCATTGGTGTTGTTTACTTGGGTTGTGATAATGTTGATGTGTTCCGTTATGCAATAGTGGACCTTACATTTGTATTAACTTCAGAATGTCTATTGGTGTTGTTTACTTAAGGAATAAGGACAGAATGTTAGTACAAATGCACTCACATTCGGTTCGTGCTTTGTACAACATTATGTCCAACTCGTGCTGAATTTCACCATATTGAATGGCCTATCATTATTTATTCCGATTCAAACATAAAAATTAGTAAAAGCCGTGTCTGTGGAGCGGGCATGGAGGAAGAATACGCATGCTGTCAAGATTCTGAAGTCGGCCGGAAAAATTTTAGAATTTGTTTGGGCTGTTCTTCCCCGTTTTAGATTTTATACGGTGTATAACTTGAAGTCAGCCATAGTTAAATAGTTACAATATTCGGAGGGAGTAAAAAGAACAGCTATCCGCGGACAGAGCCCCAGATGTGCAGCTGAGATGTGACGTCACTCAAAACAATGCAAATTGCAGATTGAATAGAGCATGGTCGTGCATCTATGGAGAATTAGAGAACGTTCTATATTGGGTATGCTGCATTCTGATTGGTTGAGAAATTCGAATAGAGCACGGTCATGTTTGAATTGGGTTGTGATAATGTTGACGTGTTCCGTTATGCAATGGTGGACCTTACATTTGTATTGACTTCAGAATGTCCATTGGTGTTGTTTACTTGGGTTGTGATAATGTTGATGTGTTCCGTTATGCAATGGTGGACCTTACATTTGTATTGACTTCAGAATAGTACAATAATGTCATTTCTAAGGGCAATATAGTGAAATATTGGACCGAGGGCCGAAGGCCCAAGGTCCAATATTTTACTATATTACTCGCAGAAATGACGTTATTAGTATTATTACCACCGTTAACGACCAGGGCTGAAATAGCAAGAAAATCTCACGCACTGAACGATATCTAATTTCCCGGGTAAAATTTGCCGGTCCAGAATATATTCTAGACCGGTCCATATGGACTACCACTATGACGTCACACATTTCTCAGGTCGATATAGTAAAATGAACGCCTTCTAAACTAGCACTAAAACCCCTAGAACTGGCCCGGCAAGGTGGTAATAATGTCCATTGGTGTTGTTTACTTGGGTTGTGATAATGTTGATGTGTTCCATTATGCAATGGTGGACCTTACATCCTTGCATTGACTTCAGAATGTCCATTGGTGTTGTGATGCAACTCGTTACAATTCAACAAACTACAGCTCAACTATTCATTGACCTTAGATCAGCCTTCAACAACCATCAGACAATTAATCCAAATCCAATCCAATTATATAGAGTGCAATATATATAAATATATACAGTACATAGACATCATTACGACTGACTTACAAAGTAAACTCAAAGTAACTGAGTTAACGCATATACAAGATAGAAAGGAGCACGTGGGTTATCGCAAACAATTTCAGAAGGTTATATCTTGGATTATGACTATTTTCTGACAATGAAGACAAGTTTATCTTTTAGATCAATTCATTATCTCAAAGAAAATTATGCACAGTAATAAGAAATTCAAACAAACTCGGAGATATTTAACTAGGAATTAATCCATCAACATACTTTTTGACCCCATTTTGAAGATGTTGACCCCATTTTCACCAAAAATGCAATCATTTTTTACAATGTTTAATGCATTACTATTCTTTATTTTGATGTATCAAATAGTTCTTGAAAGAAAAACTTAATTGCATTAAGATAAGTGTTCCCCATGTTATTTCTCCATTGAAAAATCTCATGCTATCCATTGGTTTCAGTTCATTTTGGTCATCCAAATTGAATATCTTTTAAGTCCCTGGAGCAATCAAATTTTCCTTTTAGGAAATCGAACATGTCTCAAAGTACATTCTAATTGTGCATTCAACAATATAATAATAGGTTGCATTTTTGGTGAAAATTAGGTCAACATTTTTGAAAAAGTATGTTGATTGGTCCATTGCCCCTTCAATATCACTTAGGTCTGATTAACTAAATTATCATTATATATACTTTTCTTGAAGATAATGAATGGATCTAAAGGATACACCCATGTTCATGATCAAAAAATATTCATAATTCAAGTTAGAATCGTTTGAAATTGTTTGCGATAACCTACGTGCTCCTTTGCATTTCATATAACATTGGAAAAACAAATACTAATATTGTATGAAATATCTCATGATAAATAATAACAAAGTTCGCTTACGTTTGATCAGGGCTGTGTCTATATGGGATTTGAAGCAGTTTCACCAATAGCTCCACGATCTGAAATAATTAATATTTATATTAATAAATATCTAGACAACATTTCAAGATCACTATTTAAGAAAAAACTAAACATGTTCCTCCTACTCATTCGGTTATTTAGCTGAGAAGCTTTCAATAATTAATTCAAGGAACATTTTCTGTAAGTCTCCATTTCTAGTACACTACATATGCTACCATACTAAATACTCGTATATTTTATACTTACTCTAAGATTCCTTAGCAACTTCTGTCTTTGTTTAGAAGGGACACTATTAACGATCATGAATTTCTTAGTTTCGTTCAGTGCAGTAGCGATCTCATGAGTTGTTTTCGAATTGAGGTGAACTCCTTTTTCTTTTTTCTACAACGTAAACTGAATATTAGTAGATAAATGTATTTTTACAAATACATTAACTTGAAAATAAAACCTTCCGGGGTAGCAAATCATAAACAAATTTTATCAAGCCACTCATATTTTGAACATGAAAATTATACCTTCAATATCACCCGGTCAGACAGACGAGCGAATTGACGTACGGCTTCTCTTTATCCCCCTCAAATATCATCCGGTGGGATGATTGAATGAATCAATAGATAGGTACCTAATAGTGATTTTTACCATTTATTCAGGAATAGTCACGATTGTCAATTTTAAAGTTTATCTATTTTGTTCGAACGTGTATAGTACATGTAAATCAGTAGCAATAATCAAACAATTGGGATGCACCGGTTTAATGTTTTGCCAAACGTATAAGGGGCCAATTAAACTAGACAAGATACACTGAAACGACAACATACATGTATAAATAATGTGCAAATAATCACTACAAAATCAGACATAGGAGCAAAGCAATGGGGCGCAGCTGAGATCAATCTGAAGTACGATAACTCCACTTTTACTTGAATGAACCGTATATTATGATTTGAATTAAGACATTTATATCACCATGAAACTAAAGCATCTTGAATATATTAAATTATCTAATGATCTGTTACGCAATACATTTTTTGAATCGATAAACCAGAAATAGTCACTTACAGTATATAGTAATATTATATTAAAAGAAACACACTTATGGAAAAAATACCTAAAACTGATTTTGACTTCTATGCTCAAAAACTTAAATCCAAGGCCAGATCAGGATGCTTTGGTCTGACCATTGGTTTTGAGAGATGGGGTATAAGTGATGGAATGTGTTCTTTTTGTAATATGAGCTGTAAACATCGATTTTTTACTCGCCCAATTTTTGAAGAGGAAGTATATATTTTATAACAGTATTGAGAATAGGCTACCACACATTTATAATTATTTTAAGACATGTATTCCCAATAATGGTTTAGAATGGGTGCTTGGGGATGCGGCCTATGCTATCTTGGGTCAAGAACAAGGTTATATTTTGTATTACAAATGTTTTAGTTTTGTTTTTATGTCTTATGTTGCAAATGTTTTTAGCTCTGCTTTAGAATTGTGCTTGTACACATGTGTTGTAAATTTGTAACTCCTGCACTAGTTTAACTATATCAAAGTGATTGCAATAAACTAATAATAAAAAAATAAAAAATAAATTGTGATGGGGACGATACTAGCATTAGGTTGATGAGATCTTACTGATCTCAATCTTATCGCTACAAATATAAAATGTACATCACCAGAACACGAAAGGAGTAGGCTGAAAGCTTATACTAAAAGCTGTGTCATTATAACTGACGCATTTATAAGGTTTTATAGTACCTGAGCATTTTGGCCGACGTAAACATGCATTAAGTAAAAAGAGAAAATTCAAAATGGACTCTATTACTGTAATGAAAGCTAATGGTAACTTCAATAGAATCACCTCTAAATAGTCAATAGACTGATCATATATATGCATTTCAATTCTAAGATATAAAAATTTATAATGAACCTCTAATAGTGAGCATACAGTCATTATTTTTATTTAAATGCTTACGTCTCTTCTCGATTTTCGGCTATGTTTCTTTTTCAATTCAAATGAATGGATTTAAGAAATGCATTATGCCCATCAAAGAACGTGTTTTTTATTCTGTTTCTATTTATGAAATCAATGATATTTCAGTATTTCTGAAAAGTGTTATATAAACAAAAAATATTACATAAATGCTTTACAGGAAAAATTAATAGTCAAAGTGCTATTGATTGTGATTGTAAATTACGAGCTCCTTAATACTTTGTCATTCATAAAACACTTATTGATTCAAATTCGGATATTTCGTGCTTCACGAGTGCTAATATTTACCTGGTTCTTTCTGTCCTTCATCTGAGAACAATTAAATAAAAACAACAAATATGGGAAAATGAACAATCTATCGTCTAATTGCGATTCCTATAACACCCCTTGTAAGTGATCTATTCCGATGAACTGGGTTTGTTTACATTACTAGGGAATATGATATATGATCGTTTCAGATCGGCGCGTGATATTAAAAAGTCTTAGCGAAGTAACCCCTAGGTTTACATTCGCCAAAACGTAGAAAATGGAAATATTGTCAAAACGTTTTGAAGCCTCGATTACTGCAACCAATTTAACTTGTCTGGTACCGTATTTTAGTTGTAAACGAACTGAATAGATCTGTGCGATTCGTAATAACCTTTTTCACCAGTAAAAGACATTTAATCCAAGGCCATGTGTTACCACGGAATGAGTCATTCATTAGAAATCCACAGGGATTAGTGCCATGGATAAGAGCACTTGCCAGGGGTGTTTTGTATACTAGCATTTTATAGGTTTTGTTTGAAAGGCCAAGCGATGTGAATCCTGTTTTGTAAGTTTCTGCACAAAAAGTAAGTTGATGACTCGATGAGTTTAAGTATAGAAGGCAATCGCAAATTGATAGAATATATATAACTCACATGTTTTAAGTTCATGTAGAAAAGTGATAAAAATGACTATATTTAAATTTCCATAAAGAAAGCTGAGAGAAGATATTACTCACGTCTTTTATGAGTTTTTGTATAAAAGGCACCATGCCAGCCATGAAGTTGAATATTTCCACGAGATCCTGCTCTACGTATTGTATTGTAAACGCATCATCATACTGCATCTCCTCGCTAAGGGTCAACTGAAAATAGTGTATGACATGGTCACTTAAGTGCTTAAGTTAATATAAATGGAAAAGTGGACGTAATGGTAACTTGACTGTTCAAGATAACATAACTGGAAAAGGTGGATGAAAAAGTCACTTGACTGTCAAGCATGATAAAACTTGAAATAGTGGATGGAAAAGTCACTTGACTGTCAAACATGATAAACCTTGAAATAGTGGATGGAAAAGTCACTTGACTGTCAAACATGATAAAACTTGAAATAGTGGATGGAAAAGTCACTTGACTGTCAAACATGATAAAACTAGAAAAAGTGGATGGAAAAGTCACTTGACTGTCAAACATGATAAAACTAGAAACAGTGGATGGAAAAGTCACTTGACTGTCAAACATGATAAAACTAGAAATAGTGGATGGAAAAGTCACTTGACTGTCAAACATGATAAAACTTGAAATAGTGGATGGAAAAGTCACTGTACTGTCAAACATGATAAAACTTGAAAAAGTGGAGGGAAAGGTCACTTGACTGTCAAACATGATAAAACTTGAAATAGTGGATTGGAAAGTCACTTGACTGTCAAACATGATAAAACTTGAAAAAGTGGATGGAAAAGTCACTTGACTGTCAAACATGATAAAGCTTGAAATAGTGGATTGGAAAGTCACTTGACTGTCAAACATGATAAAACTTGAAAAAGTGGATGGAAAAGTCACTTGACTGTCAAACATGATAAAACTTGAAATAGTGGATGGAAAAGTCACTTGACTGTCAAACATGATAAAACTTGAAATAGTGGATGGAAAAGTCACTTGACTGTCAAACATGATAAAACTTGAAAAAGTGGATGGAAAAGTCACTTGACTGTCAAACATGATGAAACTTGAAAAAGTGGATGGAAAAGTCACTTGACTGCCAAACATGATAAAACTAGAAATAGTGGATGGAAAAGTCACTTGACTGTCAAACATGATAAAACTTGAAAAAGTGGATGGAAAAGTCACTTGACTGTCAAACATGATAAAACTTGAAAAAGTGGATGGAAAAGTCACTTGACTATCAAACATGATAAAACTTGAAAAAGTGGATGGAAAAGTCACTTGACTGTCAAGCATGATAAAACTTGAAATAGTGGATTGGAAAGTCACTTGACTGTCAAACATGATAAAACTTGAAAAAGTGGATGGAAAAGTCACTTGACTGTCAAACATGATAAAACTTGAAAAAGTGGATGGAAAAGTCACTTGACTGTCAAACATGATAAAACTTGAAAAAGTGGATGGAAAAGTCACTTGACTGTCAAACATGATAAAACTTGAAAAAGTGGATGGAAAAGTCACTTGACTGTCAAACATGATAAAACTTGAAATAGTGGATTGGAAAGTCACTTGACTGTCAAACATGATAAAACTTGAAAAAGTGGATGGAAAAGTCACTTGACTGTCAAACATGATAAAACTTGAAATAGTGGATTGGAAAGTCACTTGACTGTCAAACATGATAAAACTTGAAAAAGTGGATGGAAAAGTCACTTGACTGTCAAACATGATAAAACTTGAAATAGTGGATGGAAAAGTCACTTGACTGTCAAACATGATAAAACTTGAAATAGTGGATGGAAAAGTCACTTGACTGTCAAACATGATAAAACTTGAAAAAGTGGATGGAAAAGTCACTTGACTGTCAAACATGATGAAACTTGAAAAAGTGGATGGAAAAGTCACTTGACTGTCAAACATGATAAAACTAGAAATAGTGGATGGAAAAGTCACTTGACTGTCAAACATGATAAAACTTGAAAAAGTGGATGGAAAAGTCACTTGACTGTCAAACATGATAAAACTTGAAATAGTGGATGGAAAAGTCACTTGACTGTCAAACATGATAAAACTTGAAAAAGTGGATGGAAAAGTCACTTGACTGTCAAACATGATAAAACCTGAAAAAGTGGATGGAACAGCCGGTTGACTGACTGGAATAAACAAAATAACATCCATTCCTTAGTATAAAAATAGTTGTTTCTTCTATCATGTGTCAAATTACAAAAGTATAGCGAAATGCTGTTAATTTATTGGATCACTAGACTATCATATTCACCTTCTTCAATGGGGCGTGGGTCCACTTTAAACCAGCCATCGAAGTGTCATTGTCATCAAAGACCTGAGTGCGTCCATATTCATCTAGAAATTAGAAATGAAGATTTTGCACATATTTAGATAAGTGGTCTAACGGCAAATTGCAAATCGGCATTTGGTCATTGTGCATAACAAATAACATATATCGCTAATTTTGCATTTTCTACAGGGTGTCAAATAAATATATTATTTTTAATTGTTTTTACAAGTTTAAATATGTTTTCTTTGAGAGTATGCAGTTGTAAATAATTTTTTGGACCATCATCTACCGCATTTATGACGGCAAATCCTGCAGTATTTGTTTTCAGAATATTTCAACAGTTCTATTGTATTTGTCGAGCATGAAAGAGTCTTCTCAATACATTTCGGGAGGATTTCTTTGGAATAATGAGTTTATTCGAGTTCTCTTTCTAGTAGGACATCTACCTGATCTCCTAGAACAGTCTTCCAATGCCTGGCTCCATTGAGCTTGGGGTCATTCCCCAAAAAATCAACATTTCATGATCTTTATAGCTGTTGTGTTGAGAGCCTTCATGCATGCTTATAATGTTTGTGCGCTCACTGTCAAGAAGCAGTTCAATTTCTATTGATTTAAATTACAGCTTCTCCTTTTGAAGACCATTTTAGGTTTCACTGCAAATCAATACAATACAGTATGGGTTCTGTTGTTCAAATACGCGGGACATGATTTGACTTTAATCCGGTGTTTCAAAATTCCTTTCCCACCATTTTTGGACAAACAATGCCATTTTTCATATTTCATTTGCAAGCTATTTTAATAATAGTTTTTTCTGGCATGCATAGTCCCATCGGACCCTGTCAATAACTGAATCATCAGGAACAACGAGGGTATAACAACTGACTATACTGAATTCTAAATATTCAGTACATGTGAATTTGTTACGACCAAGAATGTTATCAAATGAAGCAAATTGTATAATCAAATTTCTCATTTTGCGACAGGTATTACTTTTGTATAGTTTAATTCACTATTTAGACTTTTTTGGGGTACTCCAATACCTGAACAAGTTTAATTTGGCCTATAACATTTGGGATATTATCTTTTCATTAAAGTAAGGGGGAGAACATATTTATTTGACACCCTGTATTTTATTCGATATCGGAAATAATTTCAGTTTTCAGTAAAATCGAATCTACCATGTAAGGCATGAAGCCACGTCCCGGTGACAGCGTGCTCTATTCTGCAGTATGTCTCGTACATGATCTCGTCGCCCTCCTGAAATAGTTAAAAGCATCAAACCATTACCTTAATTAATAGCATCGTTAAAAGCTCTTCCTTGTATTTGTTACCGAAGCCGAGGACTGTCGACATCAGTTGTTAAATATCTTTAGAGGTTAGCAAAGTAATACACTGGTGGGAATTGCATCGATCAAAAATCATCGCATGACACACTGAACGAAATGAGAAAAGAAAAGCCAGGATGCATGAATAGCACCCAATAAGGCTACCTCTGTATTTTGATATCACCCAAAACATTACATAGCTTTTTCTAGTAATTTAGAGTCCCAATAAAAAGAACCTGAACATGATAATAAATGAGATAATATGCATTTGAGAACAGCTTACCTTTATGACAGGATGTAGTTTGAAGACAGTGGACGGATCATCGTGACTCTCTGTTAATGTCACAGCTGACTTGTTTACCTTCAACCACTTTCTTGTACACATATGTCTTATCCTAACCTGTTGTTCCCACTTTATGACACCCCCTATATATAGAAACGTTCACATGATAAACTAGGTAAAATTGGCGTAAAGTAGAGGATAGCTCCCATTATATAACACCCCTTCAAATATATACATTCAAATACAACTCGTGTTCATTCACTGGCCTAAAGTAGAGGACACATCATATGAATAGCTCCCATTTTATAACACCCCTTCAGATATATACATTCAAATACAACTCGTGTTCATTCACTGGCCTAAAGTAGAGGACACATCATATGAATAGCTCCCATTTTATAACACCCCTTCAGATATATACATTCAAATACAACTCGTGTTCATTCACTGGCCTAAAGTAGAGGACACATCATATGAATAGCTCCCATTTTATAACACCCCTTCAGATATATACATTCAAATACAACTCGTGTTCATTCACTGGCCTAAAGTAGAGGACACATCATATGAATAGCTCCCATTTTATAACACCCATTAAGATATATACATTCACATACAACTCGTGTTCATTCACTGGCCTAAAGTAGAGGACACATCATATGAATAGCTCCCATTTTATAACACCCATTAAGATATATACATTCACATACAACTCGTGTTCATTCACTGGCCTAAAGTAGAGGACACATCATATGAATAGCTCCCATTTTATAACACCCATTAAGATATATACATTCACATACAACTCGTGTTCATTCACTGGCCTAAAGTAGAGGACACATCATATGAATAGCTCCCATTTTATAACACCCATTAAGATATATACATTCACATACAACTCGTGTTCATTCACTGGCCTAAAGTAGAGGACACATCATATGAATAGCTCCCATTTTATAACACCCATTAAGATATATACATTCACATACAACTCGTGTTCATTCACTGGCCTAAAGTAGAGGACACATCATATGAATAGCTCCCATTTTATAACACCCATTAAGATATATACATTCACATACAACTCGTGTTCATTCACTGGCCTAAAGTAGAGGACACATCATATGAATAGCTCCCATTTTATAACACCCCTTTAGATATATAAGTACAAGTGCCAAAGGGAAAGGACCAAAAGTTGTAATGGAACTTAACAAGAAAAAGCAAACTTAAGTGCATACCATTCAAGAAAAACAAACCCCATATAGCCCAAAACCATGATCTAACGTGAAAAGAAATAATGTCTAATACCCCCTTTCCCCCCACCATTCAAGAACTAATATCACAATCCAAGACCAGAAGACCAAGGGACATTTCATTCATACTGAAGTCATTACAATACATGTTGAAGAAAAAATTAGAAATTGATAGCCAATTGATAGCCAATACTCATAACCTCAAAAATAGTTGTAGATACAAGTACTCATACAAGATAGAGCATTCAGTCTCAAATGATGTGGGACAGATCAAATCCAGTCTCCAAGTCCATAGGTGTTTCAAAGGGTCAACATCCATTCACGAAAGCCGTCGCCATAATCCATAAAACACAATAATTCACAATGGTCATCAGGAGAAAACTATGGCTGGTTTCGATCCCTATTTCTCAACCAGTAATGCCATAGCCGGGATCCACCTCAAAAGGTGCCAAGTGAAAATATTGTGAGTTCATTGCCAATGTCTTAAACAATCCCACATCCTTCAGCATCTCAAGTGGAAAAACTTGAAACTTCGAAATTAATGATTTGTATTTTTCAGCAAAGCCCAGAAAGAATTTCCTAAGCTTTATAGCATTATAACCTTGACTTAACAGTTTGATCACTAAAGTATTGTGTCTTGACTTAAAATCTAAATATTTAGAGCATGCCCTGCCATATCTAATAAGCTGGGATACATAGACCCCATATGCTGGATTTAATGGAATATTACTGTCTAAATCGGGAAAATTCACAATATCAAAGTTGAAATCATCTCGTTTATCATACAACTTACAATATATATTGTTGTCTTGTTCAATGTTAATGAGAAGGTCAAGATAAGGCGCATTCATGTTCGATTCATTTGTCTTTTTTAAATCTAACTCGGAAGGGTATATCTCATTTACATACACATTCACATACAACTCGTGTTCATTCACTGGCCTTAAGTAGAGGACACATCATATGAATAGCTCCCATTTTATAACACTCCTTAAGATATATACATTCAAATACAACTCGTGTTCATTCACTGGCCTTAAGTAGAGGACACATCATATGAATAGCTCCCATTTTATAACACTCCTTAAGATATATACATTCAAATACAACTCGTGTTCATTCACTGGCCTAAAGTAGAGGACACATCATATGAATAGCTCCCATTTTATAACACCCCTTAAGATATATACATTCACATACAACTCGTGTTCATTCACTGGCCTAAAGTAGAGGACACATCATATGAATAGCTCCCACTTTATAACACCCATTAAGATATATACATTCACATACAACTCGTGTTCATTCAATGGCCTAAAGTAGAGGACACATAATATGTATAGCTCCCATTTTATATCACTCCTTAAGATATATACATTCGCATACAACTCGTGTTCATTCACTGGCCTAACGTAGAGGACACATAATATGTATAGCTCCCATTTTATAACACCCCTTAAAATATATACATTCGCATACAACTCATGTTCATTCACTGGCCTAAAGTAGAGGACACATAATATGTATAGCTCCCATTTTATAACACTCCTTAAGATATATACATTCACATACAACTCGTGTTCATTCACTGGCCTAAAGTAGAGGACTAATAATATCTATAGCTCCCATTTTATAACACGCCTTAAGATATATACATTAACATACAACTCGTGTTCATTCACTGGCCTAAAGTAGAGGACACATAATATGTATAGCTCCCATTTTATAACACTCCTTAAGATATATACATTCAAATACAACTCGTGTTCATTCACTGGCCTAAAGTAGAGGACACATCATATGAATAGCTCCCATTTTATAACACTCCTTAAGATATATACATTCACATACAACTCGTGTTCATTCACTGGCCTAAAGTAGAGGACACATAATATGTATAGCTCCCATTTTATAACACGCCTTAAGATATATACATTCACATACAACTCGTGTTCATTCACTGGCCTAAAGTAGAGGACACATAATATGTATAGCTCCCATTTTATAACACTCCTTAAGATATATACATTCAAATACAACTCGTGTTCATTCACTGGCCTAAAGTAGAGGACACATCATATGAATAGCTCCCATTTTATAACACTCCTTAAGATATATACATTCACATACAACTCGTGTTCATTCACTGGCCTAAAGTAGAGGACACATAATATGTATAGCTCCCATTTTATAACACTCCTTAAGATATACATTCATATACAACTCGTGTTCATTCACTGGCCTAGAGTAGAGGACACATAATATGTATAGCTCCCATTTTATAACACTCCTTAAGATATATACATTCACATACAACTCGTGTTCATTCACTGGCCTAAAGTAGAGGACACATCATATGAATAGCTCCCATTTTATAACACCCCTTAAGATATATACATTCACATACAACTCGTGTTCATTCACTGGCCTAAAGTAGAGGACACATAATATGTGTAGCTCCCATTTTATAACACTCCTTAAGATATATACATTCACATACAACTCGTGTTCATTCAATGGCCTAAAGTAGAGGACACATAATATGTATAGCTCCCATTTTATAACACCCCTTAAGATATATACATTCACATACAACTCGTGTTCATTCACTGGCCTAAGTAGAGGGCACATAATATGTATAGCTCCCATTTTATAACACCCCTTAAGATATATACATTCGCATACAACTCGTGTTCATTTACTGGCCTAAAATAGAGGACATATAACATGTATAGCTCCCATTTTATAACACCCCTTAAGATATATACATTCGCATACAACTCGTGTTCATTCACTGGCCTAAAATAGAGGACACATAACATGTATAGCTCCCATTTTATAACACCCCTTAAGATATATACATTCGCATACAACTCGTGTTCATTCACTGGCCTAAGTAGAGGACACATAACATGTATAGCTCCCATTTTATAACACCCCTTAAGATATATACATTCGCATACAACTCGTGTTCATTCACTGGCCTAAGTAGAGGACACATAACATGTATAGCTCCCATTTTATAACACCCCTTAAGATATATACATTCGCATACAACTCGTGTTCATTCACTGGCCTAAAGTAGAGGACACATAATATGTATAGCTCCCATTTTATAACACTCCTTAAGATATATACATTCAAATACAATTCGTGTATAACTCGTATATAACAGTATAATTAATCAAGCAATACGCTTACCATCGATTCCCCCGCCTTCAAATTCAATTTCCCAATAGGTGAGTGCAGAACTTGAAGGGAAAAGTGTTTTTGGATTGTTCTGATCGAGAGCTCTAACACGTAGGTGTACTGAAAAAAAACGTACATTATAGCAGATATATTCTGACACGTAGCCCTACTATCACACCAAACTAGTTCTCTCTAGTTCCCGAAAACGGGTTCAAAATGTATACGAACGTACTAGACGTACTAAAAGTCGTTTGGGGATCTATTTACAAACATCGTGAACGAACGGGGATCGAAGTCCTCCATAACTTAAGAGTATGCTCAAGTCGTTCTGATGGTCGCCACATTCTGCAACTAGTTACTACTCCAATCAGCGTATTTAAGACGAGTTGTACGTACAGTTCTACGAATGGAACTGTCGCACATCCATCCTACTAGGGACGTTTTTTGAACGAGTTGAGGACGTATTGAGAACGAGGTAGAACTAATTGCAAGCGAATTTAAGGACGTATTTAAGATTGCTTATGAACGAGTTAGCAAAGTTTGGCTATTACACAAACTAGTTGTCATTGCGTTCTTGAAAACGTTTCAAACTGGTTTTAAATTGAATGCTAACGGAATAAACGTAGCTGCAACTTTCTATATTCGGTATATTTACGAATTCCATGGACGTGCCCGGTTGGAAGGTGATTTAGAATTTTGAATCATTCGGAAATTCGATGGCGACTTAACCGTTTTATCATTAGATCGTGTGACAACATACCTACTAGACTGGAGGTGTTTTAGAGAAGTTAATTATTTTAGACATATTTCCCGAGCACAGTCAGATTTAGACTTTTTATACGACTGGAAAGAACGGTTGAGAACTAGCTTGGTAAACACTGCTATGCAATATGACGTATATTTAAACCCCCCACCCCCCCCCCCCCCCCTTATCACACCAAACTAGTTCTTATCCGTTCTTCCCAGTTCTACGAAAACGTCGTAAAACGGGGTCAATCTGGCTGTGGTCGGGAAATATGTCTAAAATAATTAGCTACTTCGTTCATAAACAGTCTTCAATACGTCCATCTCATTCGCAGTTCGTTCAGGTCGCCCCATGTCGGTGTGCAACGTCGTATAACGCGTCCCTTAGTCTAGAAGGTCATCATGACCTGATTACAGAACGGTATGGTCGCCATCGAATTTTGAATCGATTCAAAATTCTAAATCACATTCCCCATCCGGGAAAGACCATGAAGTTGGTAAAACGTTGTAGCTACGTTCATTCTGTTCGCACACAGTTTAAAAACAGTTTTGAAGAACGCAGTGGCAACTTGCTTGGTGTGATAGCTATATTTTTGCTAACTCGTTGATAGATACCTTCTTAATCGGTTTAACCCGTTTGCAATTAGTTCTACCTCGTTCTAAATACGTCCTTGGACAGTTCAACTCGTGGTAAAAACGTCCCAAGTAGGATTGAAGTACGACGGTTCCGTTCATAGCACGTCCAGCTCGTCTTTAGTAGGTTGTCACTCGTTCTAAATCTAATTGTAGAACGTGACGACCAAGAGAACATTTTGAGCATGTTCTAAGTTCAAGAGGACCTACCCGTACGAGTACGTTCGATGAAGTTTGTAAATAGACCCCAAACGGTTCTAAGTACGTCCAGTCCGTTCGTACACAGTTAAAGCCCGTTTTCGAGAACGTAGTGAGAACTAGTTTGGTGTGATAGTAGTGTAATCAGGCACTTAACAGTCTAAAAGTCTTTATAGCAATCCATAATTCAACATGGGATATACAAGTATTAAGGCATATGTTCCAAAGCATCCATCTTGAGAATATTAATACTTATGTAATGCTACAAGGAGGATTGGCTTACAGGGACGCAATTCGATATTTTCAAACAATGAAAATGTCAGATCAGAATGTCGTTATTTTCTGAAAATTTAAGTGACTATAATTCATAATCAACGGTCCAACAAATATCTCGATCACCTCCTATGTGTTTTTGTATTCTTGTATGGAAATAGGACCAAAAATTGCGATTCGAATTCTGAAGTAAAAAAAATGGCGGTTGTTTGAATTCGAATTTTGAAATCACGACTCCAAATATGGTAGAATATCAAGTTGGAAGCTTGGGATACAATCCTCCTTGACAGTGCACACTGGATGCTTTCCCGGGACAAGGTAGTCTAATTACTTACCATCTTCCATGAGATCTTCACCGAATAACCCCTCTGCGACCATGTAAGCCTCCACTTCCTTATGATATAGGCGTATAGGCACTCCTGCCTAGAAAACAATGGTTCGATATGTCATATTCATAAAATATCGAAAATGTCTTTAAAATCGTAATTTTTTATTCTTCTTAATTTTAAAGACATTCATCTATAAACCGTCGTATACATGTAGTTGCAGTAGAAGGTTTAAATGCACGCTTGACGTGAGGCACATGGTAAAACCAATAAAAACCATAAAAACCAATCTGACGCCTTAAGACATATGGTCATTATCAACCAATCAGATTCCACAAGACATATGGTCAATAACAACCAATCTGACGCCGTAAGACATATGGTCGTTATCAACCAATCAGATTCCAAAAGATATATGGTCAATAACAACCAATCATATGGTCAGATGCAGAATGCTAACACCCCAATCACAATTGTCAAACTTGTTCCATTAAGAGCTGAATGCCCATGCAGTGTCTCGGAATATGTTGAAGACTATCACTGCTAGGGAGTATATGATAAAAAGCATATGATAAAATGTCCCCAGCTGTGAGAAGCGCCCTCTATACCAGAGTTGTGTACCAACAGAAAGGCATTTTTCTTTTGCTTTGAATGGAACAAGAGATGTATAAGAAAATCCTTGATTTCCAAACATCTGGTAGGTCTAAAATTCAAATTAACAGTCTTTCGTTTTTGATATTGCAGTATTTCTCATGACTGAGGTCAGACAGGTATGAATGGGCCTCGTAAAATTCTGCAATCTTCTGAATTGCAGACAAATCATTTTCCTCTCAATCATCCGATTCATTGGGAATGGTATCCTTTTGTTCTTCCTTTCCTCTAATAAGCGTTACCATCGTGTAGTGTCATTTAGTTGTGACCAGATTTCCTTAAGTTACTCGGGGTCTTGGTTCTTGGTCACTCAACACTTTTTATTTTGATACTATATCCTAGCACTATAAATAACATTTATAAATTGTACTTACAATGTATAATGTAGATTAAATAAAACTAGGCATTAACGTTTGTACAGCTGAAGTGTATGGTGAACGTACATTTGCCGCAGGGCCACGTTGCATCTGCTTTTGTATCAGGAAAAAACTACTCCCTCCGTGCGGCGACCGTGGTTCACCATTTAAAAGGCCGCACGGCAACCTCGTTTTTCATATGAACAAAATTCGCCGTGCGGTTGCCGTAGGAAAAGTGACTGCAAACGTACAGAAATCATAGACCGCACGGCGGCCGTAGCAAATGTGACTGGGGTGTTAAACAAGTTTTCATTGTATACATGTACCATTGGCTGAAATATCCAATTAGATTGGACATGGATGACATCTGGCCTAACTTGTACGAGCTATGACACTTAAATACGTTGAATATATAAGGTTGAGACTCAAGCCAAACTATGCCGATATAGCAATTTGCATACCTTTAGTTTGTTCTCGTGATCTGACGTAGGTTTGTCTCTTCGATAACAGGAGAAACCACTTTGACGTACAGATAGATTCAACTCGTGTCTGAAAAAAGTATATATTTAAATCAACGTACAAAATGACTTGATGAAATGCAGTATTACACTGTGTATAAACAGGCAGTGAAAATTTCGGAAGGAGACGTTGTATTTGAACATTTGGAATACACTCCATTCACTAGGATATCGTGGTACACCCCCCCCCCTCCTTCATAACGGAACGGAAAATCTTCTACATCGCGTGTTTGGCGATTCAAATATCATTAATTTTTTGTATGGATTTACGAACTATTGTAATATGGAATAGGCTTAAATAGGCTAATATGGAATAGGCTTAAATAGGCTAATATGGAATAGGCTTAAATAGGCTATCAAATGAAGACTTCCAGTTAACAAATTGATATGAGAGCGTTTAAATGAAAAACTTACTCGTTCGCATAAACAGATTGCACACCAAATTGTGATTTGCTAACGTGAAGGAATTGGCCTGGGGACTTTACACTTTCCAGGACTACTTGGTCCGCTACTTGTACCTACAAATAGAGAAAGCAGTTAAATACAGGCAAAGCAGTTACAATTAGATACGGCAGCTAAAACAAAAAAGGCAGTTACACTTAGACAGGTCAGTTCAAAATAGACGAGGTAGTTAAACAATAAGACAAGCCAGTTAAATATATAAACACTAGCGCCAAAGAGAAAGGACCAAAAGTTGTAATGGAACTTGGCAAGAAAAAACAAACTCTAAGTGCATACCAGTCAAGAAAAACAAATCCCATATAGCCCAAAACAATGATCTAACGTGAAAAAACAATGTCTAATACCCCCTTTCCCCCACCATTCCAGAACCAATATCACAATCCAAGACCAGAAGACCAAGGGACATTTCATTCACTGAAGTCATTAAAATAGACGAGGCAGTTACAATAAGACAAACCAGTTAAAATAGACGAAATAGTTACAATTAGACAGGGCAGTAACAATTAGACAAGGCAGTTAAAAATAAGCAAGGCAGTTGAAAATAGACGAAGTAGTAACAATTAGACAAGGCAGTAACAATTAGACAAGGCAGTTGAAAATAAGCAAGGCATTTACAATAAGACAAGTCAGTTAAAATAGACGAAGTAGTTACAATTAGACAAATGTCGAAATATGTTATCTGTAAATTACTTAGAAACTAACTCCCTTCAATCTGAACTTGCACGATATTTTCCTTAGTTCTGAACGTATACAGGGTGGTCCAAAAAGTCATCCACACTGTTGATTGCGTACAATTTTCTAATGATAGGAAGATTTCTAACTTTTTTCATAGACCTGTCCCAGAGACATGTAAGTTTTGTGTTGTCTACGTTTTATCATCATATACCACTATAATGTGAGCACAGATCAATGTTTGTAATGTTCTCAATCCAAGCTCCTCAAACACATTGTAATGTCCCTGTCCATGTTGTCATCAGGAACTATCCCGATCTCAGCTGTTTTAATATTATTTTGATCATCAGTAGTTCGGGGATTGTGTGTATAGATCCTGCCTCTAAAGTATCCCTACACTAAAACATATATGGGATATGTCTTGAGAATGTGCAGCTCAGTTGTGATCCATACAATTAGAGACTAGTCTGTCTTCAGATAATTCATGAAGGAGGTTTAAGAACCAATCAAGTGAAGCATCTGAGCACTACGATGCTGCTTCATCTTTCCGATGGATAACAGTATCCATGACAATCCCTCGCTTCCGCGCTAATGTCACAATGAATTGTTTTCTTATAACTACAATGTATCAGTCCATGTTCACAGTAAACGATTGTCCATTAACATCCTCAAACCAGTACGACTCAGTATCATCATTATGCCCTAACCTTTATCAGCCAAGTTTTCTACTTCACACATTTGATGCTGATGCTCAGAAGGCTAAATCTGAACCAAAAAGTGCATTTTCTATTTGTTGAAGGCCATTACAAACTCAAATGTGCAATCTTAACCACAGCAATTCAGCAGCCAAGACGTTGGATTGGCCACATCACCAACTGTTGAATCCTTGCTGCCATTACAGTGGTATTTCAAAATAAAACTTACACCACATAAAACTTACATAGCATACCTCATAAACTATCATACCATACAGTACAAAACGATTATTATATATACCATGACTATATACTATATTGTTTAATTGCTATTAGAGGCGCTATTAGACTAAACTATACAAGATGATGTACTTACGATATCTCCCTCAGCTTTGACTTTGTACCTTGGCATCACCCGGAACTGAGCTTGTTTCAAATTATGAGGATTTAGCTCCACCTGGAAGCAATTGAAATAATGTCTGGTTGTTTTGCAATTGCCATAATTGGTGGTTGCATGCAATCAATTGTCATAATCTATAATTGTAATGCGATCAATTGCCAAAATGTCTGGTTGTAATGTCATCAAGTGCCATAATATCTGGTTGTGATGCAAGAAATCGCCATAATGTCTGGTTGTAATGTCATCAAGTGTCGTGTTGTAATGCAAGTTATTGCGATAATGGCTGGTTGTAATGTCATTAAGTGCCATAATGTCTCGTTGTTATGCAAGTTATTGTCATAATGTCTGGTTGTAATGTCATCAATTGCCATAATGTCTGGTTGTAATGTCATCAAGTGCCATAATGGCTGGTTATGACGCAAGAAATTGCGATAATGGCTGGTTGTAATGTAATCAATTGCCATAATGTCTCGTTGTTATGCAAGTAATTGCCATAATGTCTGGTTGTAATGTAATCAATTGCCATAATGTCTCGTTGTTATGCAAGTAATTGCCATAATGTCTGGTTGTAATGTCATCAAGTGCCATAATATCTGGTTGTGATGCAAGAAATCGCCATAATGTCTGGTTGTAATGTCATCAAGTGTCGGGTTGTAATGCAAGTTATTGCGATAATGGCTGGTTGTAATGTCATTAAGTGCCATAATGTCTCGTTGTTATGCAAGTTATTGTCATAATGTCTGGTTGTAATGTCATCAATTGCCATAATGTCTGGTTGTAATGTCATCAAGTGCCATAATGGCTGGTTATGACGCAAGAAATTGCGATAATGGCTGGTTGTAATGTAATCAATTGCCATAATGTCTCGTTGTTATGCAAGTAATTGCCATAATGTCTGGTTGTAATGTAATCAAGTGCCATAATGTCTGGTTGTGATGCAAGAAATTGCCATAATGGCTGGTTGTAATGTAATCAATTGCCATAATGTCTCGTTGTTATTCAAGTTATTGTCATAATGTCTGGTTGTAATGCAAGCAATTGTCATAATGTCTGGTTGTAATGCAAGCAATTGCCATAATGTCTCGTTGTAATGCAAGTAATTGCCATAATGTCTCGTTGTAATGCAAGTAATTGTCATAATGTCTGGTTGTAATGTAATCAATTGCCATAATGTCTGGTTGTTATTCAAGTTATTGTCATAATGTCTCGTTGTAATGCAAGTTATTGTCATAATGTCTAGTTGTAATGTAATCAATTGCAATAATGTCTCGTTGTTATGCAAGTTATTGTCATAATGTCTGGTTGTAATGCAAGTTATTGTCATAATGTATGGTTGTAATGCAAGCAATTGTCATAATGTCTGGTTGTAATGTCATCAAGTGCCATAATGGCTGGTTATGACGCAAGAAATTGCCATAATGTCTGGTTGTAATGTAATCAAGTGCCATAATGTCTGGTTGTGATGCAAGAAATTGCCATAATGTCTCGTTGTTATTCAAGTTATTGTCATAATGTCTCGTTGTTATGCAAGTTATTGTCATAATGTCTGGTTGTAATGTAATCAATTGCATGAGGTCTCGTTGTAATGCAAGTTATTGTCATAATGTCTAGTTGTAATGTAATCAATTGCAATAATGTCTCGTTGTTATGCAAGTTATTGTCATAATGTATGGTTGTAATGCAAGCAATTGTCATAATGTCTGGTTGTAATGCAAGCAATTGCCATAATGTCTCGTTGTAATGCAAGTAATTGCCATAATGGCTGGTTGCAATGTAACCAATTGCCATAATGTGTCGTTGTTATGCAAGTTATTGTCATAATGTCTCATTGTAATGTAATCAATTGCCATAATGTCTCGTTGTTATGCAAGTTATTGTCATAATGTCTGGTTGTAATGCAAGTTGTTGTCATAATTTCTGGTTGTAATGCAAGCAATTGCCATAATGTCTCGTTGTAATGCAAGTAATTGCCATAATGTCTCGTTGTAATGCAAGTAATTGCCATAATGTCTCGTTGTAATGCAAGTTATTGTCATAATGTCTGGTTGTAATGCAAGCAATTGCCATAATGTCTCGTTGTAATGCAAGTAATTGCCATAATGTCTCATTGTAATGCAAGTTATTGTCATAATGTCTGGTTGTAATGCAAGCAATTGCCATAATGTCTCGTTGTAATGCAAGTAATTGCCATAATGTCTCGTTGTAATGCAAGTTATTGTCATAATGTCTGGTTGCAATGCAAGCAATCGGGTGTCTCAAAATGAAAGGTTTGGGTGAAAGATGAATAGTAAAGAAAGTAAGGGCAAAGGTTAGAGTCATGTTACTGTAAATATATTTATGACTCTAACCTTTGCCCTTACTTTTTTACTATTCATCTTTCACCCAAACCTTTCACTTTGAATAAAGTCTCATTACTTAACACTTAAAAGTACTTTTTATCCCTCAAAACTGAATGAACGTACTTTGGAAACGGATAACAATAAAACAACAAGGCGTTAACATGACAAAATGTCACCACCTTGTTGCTTACAATATTATGAGATTAATCTTTTCAGATTTTAATTTCTTAGAACTTGTAGATGATTTTGAAAAAATAAATTGGTCAATTTGAAGCAAGTAGTAAAAAGACCTTTTTTGACCCTGAGAAAGTCATTGGAGGTGGAATCTCAAATCTAAAGTCAGATTTGAACTTCTGAGAACTTATAGATGATTTTGAAAAAAAATTGGTCAATTTGAAATTTGAACTTTAGATGCTATATTTACATGCTATATTGCGATATTGGACTTTTTGACATGCATTTTTGAATTTACGAATTCTTCATAGAATATGTAATCAATCTCTTTCATATTTTGTAAAACGTGCTTATGATACACTTGGTCTAATTTATAGGAATTTAAAAAAATTGAGCTATCAACAAAATTACAAGCAACATGTATAATTGACCTACCAATCTATTCCTTACAATATCAAATACAATATCTCCCAAAGGATTCACAATATGTTATAAATTGGTGAAGTAATTAATTATTCAAAGTGCACAAATAAGTGAAAATGTTTAAATTCTCCCAAACAATAAGAATGGTAACTATTCTTATAGAAAAATGATACTTTATTGTAAAAATCTTTAGTTTTCCTGGAATAAAGTATGCACTTTTGTGATTTTTAGAAAATAGACATGACAAGGAATGACATGAGCCAAAAATATTCTAAAATTGAAACAATTTTTTGTTTGCTCGCTATATCTGATTTTCTCTTTAATTCTGACATCAAAAGAGAATATCGACCAAATTGAGATGTAACTGACGTGACATAAAATTGATAGTATATTAGAATGCATCATGGGATATTATGGTGGGCATATTAAAACCTGTGCATGTTTGGATTTCCAGTTGCCAAACTTATGGATTGGAATGTACGTATATACAACATGTATATCACATGCATAAAATGTCGTCTTCGAAATATAGATTATCTAATGTCGACATGGCCATGATAGCCGACAGAGCCCATCCCCTTAATTATTACCACGGGATTCATCAATGGCTCATTCAAAGGGGTGGAATACAAATAGACAAACAATTTGATATACAACAAAGAGTGATCTTGCATTCGATTTGAATACGCAAGCTGCACAAACAATACTGATTATATAGGAAAGAAAGGAAATGCCAATCAATAGATAGATGTGTATTCAAGAGATAAACCCATAACACACACCGGTGGTAGTACTAGCACTAGTCTTTTCCGAGAATGTGAACTCCTGCATGGGAGCTCGCCCATAACAATGAGTAACTCTGCATGGGAGCTCGCCCATAACAATGAGCAACTCTGCCATCATTTGCGATAACACAGAGAGTCAGCGAGAGGAATCAGAAATAATCAAATCAAATATGAAAAGAGAAGCTGACAGTTTGGTTAGAATTAAAAACAGAATAAGCTTATGATTGACTGTAAGGCACATCAAGATAAAAAGTGATCTTGAAATATTCTATGAAAATCATTTAATGTCTGTATACTTAATTGATTTTCCATCGAGATTTGGGTTTGTTAAACTGCCATATTAAGAAGTTGATAATGATGGTTCCAAAAGTTTTTAGAAAGTACATGTATTTAAAAAAATTAGAAAATGCATTCACGCTTCAGCTTTAGCTTTTTAGACAGAAGTAGCCTTTACTTTGTGTATTTATTTTTTATCATTCTTGCATTTTATCAACCTTGCATTTTTGCATTTTAGCAATATCACATTTGGCATTTTTCCATTTAGCCCCTCTATCACAACAAGCAAGTTCTGGACTGTTTGGTGTCCACAAACTTCATAAACGTACTCGAACGGGTAGGTCTCCAGAACTTAGAAACACTACTATACCCCCATACTGTATCCTGTATTCCTTTAAAAGAAATACAGGATACAGCGAAGTTGCAAATGGAGGACGCTTGTGTATTTCCATAGTTCTGAATGTATACTAGATTTTACATACATTCTAAATGTTTTACTATACATTGTCTAGATTCATCGAGCAGTTTGCAACGTATTATTACCAGAAAAGCCTTATATACAAAGATAGAGGATACCCGCCGCATATGCAACTTAACTGTACCCTGTATCCTTTTTAAATGTGGTCACGTGATAGGGTAGTGTGTGAAAGGAGGATGCACAAAAATTCCAGTACGTGTGCACAACGACATTGTGCGACCTTAACGAACTGCGAATGAGACGGGCGTATCGAAGATTGTTTGTGATCGAGTGTCACAACCACAGCCAGATTAAGCCCGTTTTATGGCTTTTTGTGGGACAGTTAACAACGGCGGAGAGTAAGTTTGATAGGTGGTCAGCAATGTAGCATTTTTAACATTTTTGTGTTTTAGCGATATTGCTTTCTAGCATTTCTGCATCATAACATTTATTATATTATTATATTATTATCATTATCTCATTTTAGCATTCTTGCAGTGCTTTGAGACTTTATGTTCTACAAAAACTTGTTATACATTTGTTTTTACCTGCATGTTCGAAGACTCCGTCTTTGATGTCTGCGTCGTACTCACGTGGATGAACTTCCCAGAGAACACATGCCGCAACTAAAAAAACACAGGTGTATAGTAAAACATGAAAATGATATAGCGCAATTGAAACATTGCAGTAAAAACAAGTGATAACACGACGCTGTTTGAAATAGCTCAACCAAATATCCCAATTCCTCAAATCGGAACAAAATTAGGAATTCGTGGCATCGATCGTACATTCTATAAACTTAATTATTAATACGTAAAAAGGTGTCACCGGACCCTAAACGTATCGCATCCATAAGAAACATCATTGGTAGGAGGTCCACAAAAAATAAACTCCTTTCGAAAAAAGATTTTGGGCGCAAAATTTGGAAAATAATGCAATAATGCCCAAATGTAGCCAAATGTTACATTCTACCTCAAAATAGAGAGAAAATCCTTCAAGAATGCAAAAATGGTAGGTCCATATTTTCGAAGGAGATGTAAGGAGGGGCGCTCGAACGAGTCTCATAATTAATCCTTTTGAGTTAATATTCACATTTTAATTGAAAAACGTCTGAATAGATGCATTTCAGAAATGCGTAGGTGAGACAGTTGCCTTTCCTGTCCCATGGCTGCCTATCCCGATGATCAATCAAAACTTAATAGTAATATAAGTGTGCTAAATGAATAATGCAAGTTCCTACGCAACCGATGTACTTCAAAACATAATTTCGTGATAACATGCACCTTGAATAATGAACAAAAAGGAACAGCTTAATAACTATTGAACCAGAGGCCTATGTTTACGCAAACTAAATGTAATTTCCTCCGATTTATACTTAACAAATTAAAGATGGTTTCATTTTACTGTTATTATTATTGATTGTTGCAATAACCAGAATTCATAGATGGACATATCTCCATATAAGGTTAACCCCTCTAATTCGTATTTTAAATCAACGAAGCAGTGACCAATGCTGATCTCGAGAAATTGGCGACTCTATGTTAGCAATGAGAAGTGAGTAGTAATACTTTATGGGCTAAACTATGAACTGTAGTTTATCTCCCCTCTAAACGTGGATTTAAAAATATTCAACTTTAGTTTATTCCTACATTGATCTTCCAGGTGATACATTTCCATTACATTATGTGCTAATATTAGAACGTTTTGAATATCCGCTGATCAACTTTAGAAATAGGTCAATTATTGACGAATAAATGCATAACGAATAATCGAAAGTGGCAGTTAGACCTTGCAATAACCTCAGTATTTACCTGTAAGAAAGCTAGTGAAGTAAAGTAAATAAAAAACTTTTCAGAATATTTGGTCTGCTTCAATCATTATTTAAACTTAAATTGATTACGATCTCAAATTGCTGGTAAAGGATTGTATTTGAGGCTGAAAGAACAATCTAGTTTCTCATTCAACAAACCTTTTTATTACAAAGTACTAACACAAGGAAGACCTCATGTGTAAATATGTCGCTTCGTGATGATGCTTGGTGAGGACTATAAAGTTGATAGTCTTCATAATAAACCAGAGGAAAACGTTTGACCCAATATGATAAATAGGAATAGTTTATTTCAATCTGAAAAATGGCAATAGTTAATTCCAATATGATGAATGGGAATAATTTATTTCGATGAGCTAAATAGGAATAGTTCATTTCAACAAGATAAATAGGAATCGTTTATTTCAATATGATAAATAGGAATAGTTAATTCCAATATGATAAATAGGAATAGTTCATTTCAACAAGATAAATAGGAATAGTTTATTTCAATAAGATAAATGGGAATAGTGTATTTCAATATGATAAATAGGAATAGTTTATTTCAATATGATAAATCGGAATAGTTTATTTCAATATGATAAATCGGAATAGTTTATTTCAATATGATAAATCGGAATAGTTTATTTCAATAAGATAAACAGGAATAGTTTATTTCAATAAGATAAATGGGAATAGTTTATTTAAATATGATAAATACAGAATATCACATCATTTTGAGTGATATCATTTTTATCGCCGAGTTGATATCAAATATCAACACGAGTGAGCGAAGCGAATGAGTGTTGATATTTGCTATCTACGAGGCGATAAAATGATATCACGAGAAATTATGTGATATTGGGTTTATCCCATGATTACAATCACCTAGTGATGTTCTGATCCAATTTCTAGGACACTGGCAGACCTATTTTCTCAAAGAGAATAAATTATCTGACCTATTTTCCAACAATATTGTGGCGCGAAATGCAAATGTGATATCACACGGATATGCGTGAGACAAACGATATCACACGCATATGAGTTTGATAAACGATTTTCTGGAAAATATCACACGGATTGCAATAATAATCAGAAATATCAATAGCTGTTATTGTACAGATAACACATTAATCGTGGGATAAACAGGAATAGTTTTTTTCAATATGATAAATAGGAATAGTTTATTTCAATAAAATAAATAGGAATAGTTTATTTCAATAAGATAAATGGGAATAGTGTATTTCAATATGATAAATAGGAATAGTTTATTTCAATATGATAAATAGGTATAGTTTATTTCAATATGATAAATAGGAAAAGTTTGTTCAATATGATATATAGGAATATTTTATTTTAATATGATAAATAAGAAAGGGTTTATTTCAATATGATAAATAGGAAAGGGTTTATTCCAATTATTTGTTGGACTAACAATACATTAACAGAACTCTACATTTGGTTGACTAATGAGAATATATATTTCAATATATAATTTATCAATGGGCTACTTAACTTTCAACAGTCGAACCCGATCAACTTTAACAGGTTTTGTTTAAGCATCGTTTTTATGATCTAACTTTCATCAATGTATTCACCAATGTAATGCTAGCTAGCTTATGGCCTAGTCACATAGCCCGGCCGATGAGGTTACTTTTGTTGTTGCTTAAAACCGCATCGATGGTAGCTCGGTGAAATTTTAACTTAACTTTTCACCGGGCTCTCACCGAGCTCCCTCATCATGTCATCGCAGCCCCATCGTAACCACATCGGAAAACACGTCGGCCGGTGCACGGCCGAGTATCGGCCGGTGTCCCGTGCATCTGAAGTAGCGGTCACACTAGCCGTGTAGGCTCACCGTTCGCCACCGTGTGGCTAATTATGGCCAGACGGCGGTGCACGGTATGGCCACACGGTGGGTCGTTTCCCGCCCGTTGAGAAACGTTCAGGGAACGTTGCCGTCCATCCACACCCGGCGAATTTTTTGAGCATGCTCAAAACTTTTCCCGTTTGAGTAACGTTCGGTTGCAAACGGTGATAGCGGTACGGGAATGGTATAAGGACGGTGCGGCCGTTAAGGACACGTTCGCAGAGCGGTAATGGGACGATGGTGGACGTTGACTCTATCAGTGACGGGCTGCGAACGAGAGTGTACCGCTTGGGTACCGTCCGATAAACGAGGTTCAAACGGGGGTTTGAAAGGTCACATAAAAAGGGTTTTCACGGTACCAGCCGCTTAACGCTTAGGTAACAGTCCATTAACGTGTTAACGGCCTTATAACTGCTCCATAACATCCTCTAAACATCCTATTACCGTGAACTCGCAATTGTACCGCCTCGTGACGCAGTGTTGTCACCGTGTTCTGCCGTTTCAACAATTTTGCCTCCAGTTTATTTAGATATTCAGGTATTGTCCAAGGTTTTGTCCCGTAACTCGAGACATCAATTCTTCGACTTTCTCATTTGTACTTTGAAGCCACAAATCCACTCAAACCACTTTGACAGAGATTCTTTTGAAGACACTGAGAAAAACAAGTTACAAATATATTTCTTTTATCATACACGAAGAAAATAAATAAATTGCAAAAATGATTAAAGCTCAAATAAAAGTGAAAATAAATGTCCAGTTAGCATTATAAGCCAAACTTCGAACTATCAACTGTTTTATGCATTTTACGTGATCTTTCTGTTCACGTTACCGTCCATCAAAAAGTTGTGAAAGCTTTATTTCTCATTTACACGACCAATTATATAAGAAAAAATTAATAGGGTGGAGGAAGAGCCGATTTCTGTCAGAAAATTCAATAAAACTGCAATATTCATGTTCATGACAACTTAACGTTCACCCATTAATCCCTTAATGATTAAGCTACGGTATAACAAAGGGGGGGGGGGTGTATAGAGGGTCTTGGAAATGCATATACAATATTTTTCAGCTCTCTTATACCATATACAATATTTTTTCACCATATACAATATTTTTCACAGCTCTTATACCATATACAATATTTTAGGTGAAATACAATATACGATAATTTTGAAATTGCTTTTGATTAAAGTTTGGATATTTATAAGGAAATAATATTATATTAGGAGAGAATTCATGTACTAAAGTAAATGTATTATTATAAGGCAACTAGACTCCACATACATACCACAATGATTTCATTTATTTCATTATGAATTAGACACCATTCGGGTACATCAGCATCAGAAAAGCTGTGACCACATTTTATTTTCAGGTAAACAAGTTGATTTAAAACACATTTATGATATAAGATTCATGACTTCTCTTTAGTGATTTAGCAACCTACTTTGACCAAAAAAACTAACCATGACATTGCTGCAATTTGCTAAAGCCATTAGCCCATTACCTGTAAAACTACCATAAAGATATTCAAAATTAGCACAAAACCTGCATCATTAGAATGGGTGGAACCCAGTGCTCCTCTTTCTTATGACCTACTTTCCCATGACTTATTTAAATGTCCTTCATAGTGAGCCAGGGAAAATTCTTGAAACATAATTGATGCAAAATTGAGAATGTTGAATAAAAGATTCATCATGTGTTCTATGAAAATAAAGTTTGCTGAGGAAAATATTTATCAGATAGATAATGAAGATTCACAATGCACAATAATTTTGTAAAGCAGTTACCTGGAAAATATTAAGTATTTAAAACAGTTTCAGAAATAAAGGACTTCACAAACTTCCATGTAGATAATTCATTTTTGATTGGACTCGAGTCTGGAAACTAGAGTTTGAAATAAAGGCAAGATGAGACTTGATTGTTTAAACATTTGAAACATGAGACACTTC